TTGCTTTTTAATTAATAAAAAAAATGACGTTTCTTATGTTTCTATTATTTTCTCCCCCTTTTTTTTTTTTCTTTTTTAACAATTACTTTTTTTAAATAAAAATAAATTTAAAATCATTTTTATCCAATTGATTTGATTGAATTGAAAAAAAAAATTTTTTTTCCCACTTTTCAATAATCGTCATTTGTTAAAATTCTAATTGTATTGCATTATTGTTAGGCGTGTATTGAAATCAAATATATTGAAAGCGCTGTAAAAGTTAATTAAAAAAAAAGTTATTTGATAATTACAAATAAGAAATAAAAATATTTAATATTTAATAAAAAAAATCAAGCCGCATTGATTTCAGAGTTTTTTTTTTTTTTAAACACCAGATGTTTCTATATATATATATATATATAAATATATATATTTATTTAATATTTTGTAAACAACTGTTGTTGCAACAAATAAAAAAAAATTAAAATGAAAAATAAAAGTGTATGTAATGTATTTTGTTGTTGTTGTTGTTGTTGTTGTTGTTGTTATAATGTTCTCCATATTTTTTTTTTAAAAAAATAAATAATAATCTAAATATTTAAATATCTACATATCTACATATCTACCTACATGTTTTATATATTAAATATATATATTTACATGATTACGTTTCTACTTAATTAGGATTATATAATGGGATTTTTTTTTTAAAACATTTAAATTAAAATAAAATAAAATAAAATAAAATAAAATAAAATAATAATAATCAATTCATTTGAATTTTAAGAATTCAATATTTAAATTATTTAAATTTTTTATTTATTTATAAAAAGACCCCTTTAAATCCTCTTTTTTTTTATTTTTTTTTTTATTTACTAGTCAATCAACAAACTGATTCTATTTAATTCGTTTAATACTAATACTACAATATTATTAACTAACAAAATGAGCTGTTCTTCTTCTTTAATTTATCTCTCTTCTGGCCCTGTCAATAACCTTGGACCTGAATGCATCTGCGTCTATGGTGACCACCCCAAGTGTCCTTCCTGTCACCCAAGATAAATAAAAAAAAACTAACAAAAAAAAAAAATACAATGTTATTTTTTTGGGGAATTTCAAAACTGGTGATTGATATATATAAATTCATATTCATATATATATATATATAATTTTTAATTTTATTTTTAAAATGTTTTTTGTTATGTTTTTTTTTTTTCTTTCTCTCTTTTATGTTTCATTTTGTTATTCTACTCTGCTATTATTTCACTTTTATTTACTAAAAGATTTTTAAAAGTGCGGCTTATTTTCCATTTTAGGAAATAAATCAAATCTTTTTTTTCTTTAAATTTCTATTTAGATATATAAAAAATTTCACAATTTATCTGTATAGTAATATATATATATATATATAATTTTAATTATATATATAATTTATTAAAATTATTTATCTTTTGAAAAAAAAAAAAAAAAAAAATTATTTATTTTAATTTAATTTAATTTTTTTTTAAATATATAATAAACTAAAATTTCCATATTTTTTTATTGATTTCTTTTTTTTATACACTAATAAAAAAAAAACAAAAATAAAATATTTCTTAAGTTTAACAACTTTAATCAACCAGTCATTTCACTTTTACAACAACAATGTGCTGTTCCTCTTCTTCTTCCTCTTCTTCTTCCTCTTCTTCTTCCTCTTCCTCTTCCTCTTCAACTACTACTACTACTAATACTAATACAGCTCCCATCGACAAACGCTTTGAAGACTGCATCTGCAATCCTCAGTATAGCAAGAAAGATCGTGACTGTCGCCACTGCTACAACCCAGGCTTTAATTGGTAAAAAACAAAAAACCAAAAAAAAAAAAAGTTAATTCTTTTTTAAAAGTTATACATAAATATATATTTATAACAACTTAAACAAATTCATCTTTTAAAGATGTTTTTTATGTAATAATTTAATAATAGTTTAAGATAATTATTTAAGATAATATATATATATATATTAAATATATTAAATATATTAAAAAAATGAGCTCAATGGATTTAAATCTTAGTGAGTTATTTCGTACTTATAACTGAATGTGTGTGTGTGTGATACAATTGATTTGTTTTCCTTTTTGAGCGATCAACAAGCACTCTTTTTTTTTTTTACAACAAAATGTTTTAACTTAATTAATATTATTTAAAATAATTAAAAAAAATAATTTTTTAATTATAATTATAATTATAATGAAGAAATGAGTTTTTTGTTTATGTTTTATTGAATAAAAAGTGAGGGGAACTTATTTTGAAATTTGACAAAGATTTGAATATTATTATTAATATGCTTGTAATCTGATTAGTAATAATAATAATAGTAATGATAATAATAATAATAATAATAATAATAATAATAATAATAATAAGATATCAGATTATTTATCTGCCCATGAAATGAAATGCGTTATTTTTGTATATATATATTTAGTTTAACTAAACTAAGTTAGTTGGTGAGTTAATTCTAGGACCTTTGTAAGCCCCACAGGTTAGGGTTATATACTCTACTTTTTTTTTTTTTTTTTTTTTTTTTTTCAAATTTGTGGATTAACAAGGGTCTAGGAATTCTTGTGTTTCATGATGAAAGGATAGATGAGAAATTGAATTTTAAGATAAAACTAAATGTAAATAAATATAAATAAATATAAATGAATATATAAACAAAGTAAAAGAACTTTTAGATTTTTATTATTTTTATTATTCATTCAAGTTTATTTTTTCCTTCGATAATAAAAATAAAAATAAAAAATGACTGATCATTATAATCAAAGTTATGATCATCACCATCATCAATGTGACTATTATCCAAACAATATTAATCAAAACAGATATCAGCAAAACCTAATGAATGAAACCACTCAGTTATTATCATTTGATTCCTTTTTAAGCCAGGAATCTTCCCCAATTAACTTATCTGCTCCTCACTGGTGTCCCAATCCAAACTATTATCCAATTTGCCCTGTTTGTGGTAGAAAGTGGAGATAAGATAGAATTATTATTATTATTGAGTTAATGAGAAAAAAATCAAAAAAATTAAAATTATAAAAAAGGTCAACAGTACCAGATAATTATTGTATTTTTAAGAATTAAAATTTATTTTTTTATTTGTAATTAAATTGAATTAAATTGAATTTGAAAGTATTCTCTTGTTTTTTTGGGGATATCTTGTAGTAGTAAAGTATTTTCATTATCATAAAATTTAAAATTCTCGTTTAAGTCTTTTATGAATGATGTATTTTATTTTATTTAAACATAACAAGTTTTGATTTGAATTTTGATTAGGAAGCAAAAAAATATATATATAACCCAACTTTTATAAATACAAAATTTCAATATTTCAACTATAAAAGAATTCAAAAATCATTTAAAATTTTTTTTTTTTTTATAAAGAATAAATTTCAATTAAAAAAAATTAAATAAATCAATTTCAAAGAAAATCTATCTTGTTTTTTTAGTCAATTTATATATATATATATATATATAAATATAAATAATGTGCTATCCAGTATTAGAATTTTGGTCTTGTGGTCATCTCAAGAAAAGGTATCGCGAAAAATGTCAGGGCCGCAAAAACAAGAGTGAATGTACAAATCATAGTCCTGAAATTCTTCATATCCGCATCACTTGTGGATCTCGAGAATGTCGAAGTTTTAAATAGTACATATATATATTTATATAAAAGTTATCATAATAATAATTAAATAAATCTTTTTATTTATTTATTTATTTATTTATTGATTTATTTATTTATTTTTTTTTTTTTATTATATAAATCTTTTATTTAAATAAATTCCCCTAACCCTCTTTCTTCTTGGGTTTCCTTTCTATTTTTCTGTTAAAGTAGTGGAGTGATAAGTATATTATTGTTAACTCGGTTATATTTACTTTATTTATATTTATATATAAATAAATATTTTATCCGCTTAAAAGACCTTTTTCTTTTTTTTTTTTTTTTTTCATTTCTTTATTTTCTTCCTCATAAAAAAAAACATTTCCATCTACTTTTTTTAATCAATCAATCAATCAATCAAAACCTCTTTTACTTCAAAAATCTCATTTTATTCATTTCATTAATATATATATTCAAACCAATTCATAACAAATAATGTGCAGTTACGTTTATGAAAGATATGCCTGTGGATGCACTATCCGCGAATTTATCCATTTCTGCTCTTTTGCACGTGCACGTAACAATATTATGTGCGAATACTTTGATGCTTACTACGAAGACTCGAGGATCCCCTGCACCCGACCTGAGTGTGCTCATTTCAAAAGTCAACGAAGAACAAGAGCAAGACAATCATAATGATGATGATTTATAATTGATCATCTATTTATCCATTATTTTGTTTATTTATTTACTTATTTATTTATTCATTCATTCATTCATTGATTTAATATGCACTTTTTAAATTCAGTTAATTATTTTAATAATTTGGTCATTTTTATATTTTATTTTATCTTATTTTATCTCTCGCTTAATTTTTATTTGCTCGCTGGTGTAGGAAAGTTAAACAAAGAACTCCCTCCCCCTCCCCCCCCTCTCCATTTAAATATAAAGTTACCAGGATACCCCTGTCAAAATTATTAAGCAAATATCTTTGAGCCTCATCAAATCATCTGATTTATACTTAACAACTTATACTTTATACCTTAAGTTTTAAAACTTATACCTTAAACTTTATACCATTTGCATTATTATTTTATTATTATTTTTTTTGTTATTAGTTTATTCACGTGATTTATCTTTTTGATCTGGATACGTGTAACTTACTCATTTTGCTTAGTTATCATTTTTTATTTTTTATTTTTTTTTTTTCATCATAACTAATAACTAATAACTAATAACTACCCACCCAGTCTAATATTCCTTCTATATTTTTTTTTATTTTTTATTTTTTATTTTCATATTTTTTTTTCTTCTCTCATACTTACATATACCACCATCTAATAATCTTAAAAAAAATCTCCCAAAAAAAAAAAAAAATGAAACCACGGATCGCCCCATTCTTATCCCTTATAGCCCTTTTCCTTTCGGCTACAACTGCTGTCATTCTTAGTATTGACTTTGGCGAATCCTTTACCAAATCTGTCCTTCTCGCTCCAGGTGTCCCCTTTGAACCTGTCCTCTCATCTGACTCAAAGCGTAAAGATCTCTCCGGTTTAACCTTCAAGGATGCCCCTGGTGAAGATAGTATCCTCCGTATCTTTGGCAATTCTGCTCAAAGCTTCTGGACAAGATACCCATCCCAATCCCTCTTCTACTTCAAGCCCCTTCTTGGAGCCCACGTTAACGAAACAATCAACAAGTATAATGATCGCTTCCCTGGTCTTAACTTTGTCGCCACCAAAAACAACCGCTCTACTGTTTCTCTTGAACTTTTAGAAGAAACTTATCCAATTGAAGAACTCCTCGCAATGTACCTCCTCGATATTAAAACTCGTGCTGCTGGTATTCTCAAAACCACAAAGGCTTCAGAAACATTCAACTCCGTTTCTGGTTCTATCATTGCCGTCCCTCCAAGCTTTAACATCTTCCAGCGCCAGGCCCTTGAAGATGCTGCAGAACTCGCTGACATTAACCTCATTTCTTTGATCAACGACGGCGCAGCCGTCATTACAAACTACGCCTCCAAAAATGTCTTCACTACAACCCCAGAGTACCACCTCATTTATGACTTTGGTGCAGGTACAACCTCTGCCTCCTTGTTCTCCATCCGTCACGTTGACTCTCCTGAGTCTACCCTTATTGAACTCGAAGGAATTGGATATGACGATTCACTTGGTGGTAACACCTTCACTGCAAAGCTTCAAGCCCTTCTTGTTGCCCGCTTTTTGGAACATAACAAGTCAATTAAGTCTCATGCCCTCAAGGCTGACTCCAAGGCTATGCGTAAACTTTGGAACGAGGCTGAACGTGTCAAGCTTGTACTCAGTGCCAATAATGACGTCTTCTCTCATGTTGAATCTCTTCACGAAGACATTGACTTTAAGACTAAGGTTACCCGTGCTGAGTTTGAAGACCTCATTAAGGAAGATTTGGAAAAGGTTACTGCCCCCATCTACACTGCTTTGAAAAACACTTTTGAATCTTCATCTTTTAAGCATGTTAACCAGCTCTCGTCTATTATTTACATGGGCGGTTCTACCCGTACTCCTATCATCCAGGACACTGTTGCCAAGGCCTTTGGTGCTGAAAAAATTTCCAAAAAAGTGAATACCGATGAAGCTGCCTCTATTGGTGGCTCTCTCCGCGGTGTTGATATCTCCAAGATTTTCAAGACACGTAATATTACTGTTGTGGACCGTGCTCTTAATGAGTACACTGTTGGCGAAGAAAAGCTTGAGCTTTTCCCCCGTGGTCAGATCCTTGATACTACCAACACTCTTATTCTCCCCAAGATTGAAGGTGAAACCCCCATTGTTCTTTATGAAAATGGTGTTGCCTTTGCTGCTCTCGAGCCCAAGGACTTTGAAGCGTCTTTGGCCAAGGCATGTGAAGGTGCTGAGGTCCATGCCACTTTTAGGCTGACTAACTCTCAAACTGTTAAGCTTATTGACTTGTGGGCCGAGTGCAAGGATGAAGAAGATAAGGTTACCAAGACTACTCTTCCTAAAAAGCTTCGTGCTCGTACTGTTCGTCCCATGGGTCTTGCCTCTAAGCAGTCTTCTAGTGCTCGCATTGAAAAGTTTACTCTTGTTGATCTTGAACGTGCTAAGAGAGAGGCTCTGCGGAATTTAATTGAGAGCCAGATTTATGCTGTCAAAAACTTTTTGAGCCAGTACGAGGATGAGACTGAAAACAAGGCCGAGGACTTGCCTGTTTTGGAGGAAGATGAACTGGAAGACTTTAAGGAGCAGCTTACTGCACTTTCTGAATGGCTTGATTATGATGCACAGAATGCAAAGATTAAGGACTTGGAAGAGAAGGAGACCCAAGTGCAGGTCATTATGAAGCGTGTTCTCAACACTGATGAGCTTATTGTTGAAAAGAAGGAAAGACCCAAGATGTGGAGTGATGAACTTGACCGGTTTTCTCAGACCAATGCAGAAGATGAGGAATATGTTCAGGACTTCCGTTTGGCTGCTGACCGGTTGAGATCGGTACTTGAAGATGGCAAGGTGAAGCGGGAAGCTTATCAAGAAAAGGTTGATCGGTTGACTCACCGAATCAAACGAGCAGCTCGCAAGTCGGATGTGATTTTGAAGAATGAGGCCGAGGTGGAGAATGATTTGGAGAAGTTAATTGAGCATAAGATTGAGCAAGCAAAGCTGCAGAAACTGTATGGTGAGTCTTTGCGTCTTATTACCAGAGCTTCTGCAAAGAAGCCTGAGACTAGTGAGGATAAGCTGCAGGTACTTTTGGATATTCAGAAGTTTACTACGGATTATGAGAATCTTGAAAAGGAGCTGCAATCGGATCGTCCACGCAAGATTGCTGGACTTAAGCGGATGCTTGCTGCTTATCGTGGAGAAGGAGCTCCCGAGCATAAGAAGAAGAAGAAGCGCGAGGATAATAAGGAGGAATTATAGAGAGAGAGATGTGTGTGTGTATGTGTACATAGAAAAGATGAAATATAAAAAAAAAATTATATGAAATTAAGCCAAATCTGGGCGGCCATTGTGTAGAGGTGGGATGGGATTCGAGGATTTTCTTTCAGCACAAGAAGAGGATGAAAAGGAAGACGAAGAAGATGATGATGATGAAGATGATGAGGATGATGAAGATGATGAATTTTTGTTACGCTCAAGAGCAGCCCGTACAAAGCTACCCAGATCGACTTCATCCTTGTGTTCTGAATACCTTTTGAGCCATGGGTGAGCAAGAAGCTTTGAATAAGTTGGTCTTAGGATTGGGGACTTGTTGAGACAATTTGCAACAAAGGATCGGGCTTCTGGGGAAAACCTATCTGCTGGGAGTGATGGGGTATCACCGTAAATGATTGCAGAAAGCTGGGAAAAAAGGTTTGTGTAAGATTCTGGGGGGTACGGGTAACATCCCATGGCCACTTCAAGGACAGAAAGTCCTAAAGACCAAATATCAGATTGAGCAGTATATGTGAGAACATCATCTGGGTTTGCAGCCTTGATACGTTCCGGAGCCATGTAAGATTGACAGCCAATGTTTGTTTTAGCAATAGAGGCAACAAGATTCCCTGAAACACCAAAGTCACAGAGCTTGACTTTACCATGGGTATTGACAAGAATATTTGTAGGCTTAACATCTCTGTGGATAATGTTATGGGATTCCTTGAGTTGCTTAAGACCGCGGATGACTGAATCGGTGATGACTGCGAGGTAAGGTTCATCAACACCGCCTTGGTAGATTTTGTCAAGGGACCCGCCATCCATGTATTCCATGCAGAGGTAGACGGCACCCTCGACAAAAAAGGCTCCGTAAAAGTCGACGATATAAGGGGAGACACATTTGTGGAGGACTTCTAATTCCATAATAATTTGAAGAAACTTTGCTTCCTCTAGTTCAAGATGGATTTGTTTCATGGCCATGATAATACCTGTTGGTTTGTGGAGGACTTTAGTTACAGTTCCATAATTGCCGCGGCCCAGTTCTCCGAGTGGTTCCAATTCTTCTAGTGAGATGCGAAACTTTGATCCAGAGCTAAAATCGATACCCTTGGAGTGTAGGGAAGCTTTCCCTGCAAAATTGAGTGATCCTGTTTTGATGTCGATATATTTGCGATGGTTTGAAAACAAGTTTTCAGGTTTATCGAGCGTCAGTTTGAGCGAGGATCCTGGTTTGTCTAATCGCAGATTGGGTTTCTTAGAAGAAGAAGAAGAAGAAGATGATGATGATGATGATGATGATGATAATGATAATGACGACGACTGTGAAGGGTTTAAAGTAGCCGGAGCACTTGAAGATGGAGGAGGCAAAGACCCGAGAGAAAGTCCGCTTAGTGACATGCCGTTGGTCGCCAGCCCGCGGCGCGCCGACAATGATTGCGGTTTAGGTTTGGAAGATCCATTTGTTTGTGGAGTAGATTGTTGTTGTAGTAGTTGTTGTGGTGGCAACAGTGGGGGTTGTATAGAAATTGAAGAGAGTGGGGGTTGAGAAGTGAGTGGTACAGAAACAGAATGAGCCGTCGGTGCCAGCTGTTGTTGTTGCTGTAACTGTTGCTGTAGCTGTAGCTGTAGCTGTTGTTGTTGCTGTAGTTGTTGCTGTTGGCGGAACTTGCTATAGTCGGGTATTGCTGTTTTGTAAGCTCGTGGAACGGTTCTAGAAGAAGATCCCAATGACGTAGCTGAGGATGAAGATGAAGATGAAGATGAAGATGAGGATGAAGAAATACTACCAGTGCCTGAACTGGAAGGTCGCGATTTCTGGAATGCCTCAATACGTGCGTGGACTTCAGGTGAGATGTTGGACAACAGTGACGCGACTTCTACAGGCGATGGTGGTGTTGGAAGTGTTGAAAGTGTTGAAGTTAGTGTTGGAGGTAGTGTAGGTTGTTGTGGTGGTTGATGTTGTTGATGTTGGCGATGGTGATGGTGAGAATGAGAATGAGAATGAGAATGAGAATGAGAAGACCGTCGTTTAGAATAAGAGCCACTAGAATTAGAACCGGAACCGGAACCGGAACCGGAACTGGAACCGGAACTGGAATTTGAATTTGAATTTGAATTTGAATTGGAGGTAGAGCTATTACTGCTGGAAATTTTAAGAGATAATGCTGCCGTTCCAGAGACCAGCGCGTCGGCGGCCAGCGCGTCGGCAGGTGAGTTACTACTACTAGTCCGGCGTTTTGTGACCGGGTCGGAGCTCATTTTTTTTTTTTTTTTTTTTGTGTGTCTGTGTTTTTTTAAATGGGGTTGTTTGTTTGTTGTTTGTTGTGAGGGGGGAAGAAAAAAGAAAAAAAAAATAGCAAAGAAAAGAAAAAAAAAAAATTGATTTGGTGGTGGTGGAGGGAAAAAACAATAAGAAATTTAAAATTAATTTAATTTAATTTAATTTAAAATAAAATAAAATAAAGTTTATGTTAGGTTAAGTTAGGTTAAGTTAAATGTTACGTTATGTTAATTAAAAGTAACTATAACATATTAATTTACCAACTGGTAACATATACGTTATCTTATTCTACTCCTCCAATAACCAAAATTACACCTGCCGCACGGCTCCCTTTTTCTTCTTACTACGCACCGGTTTCGCCACCCGACCACTGAAAAGTCCCGTCAACGACGACAAAGCTCCAATACCAGTCCCAGTCCCATTAATACCGCCCGATCCTACTGCCCTCTTTGCTTTAAACAACTCTCTTGCCAGTTCTGCATCCCTTTCCTCGGCATCCTCCTCATCCTCATCATCATGACCTTCTTTCTTACTCCCAGACCCTCCATCCAATAACTCTGTTGCTTGTGCACGCGCATCTAGAACCTTACTTCTGCGGTATAACGCATCAAGTTCTTCAGCCTGCTCTATTTCTCTTCGAGTAGCCTCCATCTGAGATTCAATCAGATCCATGGCATCCGCACCTTCAGGTTTGGGTTCTGCAGTTGGACGTTTTGATAAAGCCAAATCTTGTTGCCGTTGTAATCTCGCCCGTTCCTCTGCATCTTCTTTTTCCAACCGGTCCAGCCGGTCCTCCAATGTTTCTTCAGGACCAATGGCCTTGTCATCAACTGTTTCGTAGTTACGTACAGCACCAAGTTCTGTCGCATAGTCGGCGTTCTTGGGATTTGTTTTGAACCGAATCTCACTTGCACATCGCGGACATCTAATATAAAATCGAATCACTTTGATTCCCAAGTATGAATCCCCAGTAAGCTGTTTGCGAGCATTAAACTTCTTGCCCTTGTAAATGTACTCGCCGCATGTCGTGCACCTCATAGAAAATGGAGCCATAAGACGCACCGTAGGCAGAACCGCAGCTGCCGAACGGTCTCTTTTGGGGGCCCGTAAGATCTTGGACGGATCAAAATCAGGTGGGTAGTACTTGTTGATTGTTTTTCTATCAGCCATTGTTGTTGTTGTTGTTTTGGTGGTGGGAATAAAAATAAAATAAAAATAAAAAAAAAATTGAAAAAATGGGATTTTTAATTTCTAATTTTTAATTTTTAATTAATTGTTAATTTTTTTTATTTTTATTTTTACAAAACATCGCCAAAATGAGATTTGAATGCAAAATCACAGCTGTTAAACGACTTCTTGGTAAGCCCTTTAAACCCTCCCCTCCACTTCCAACTCAATTCAACAACTAATCTTCGCTTACCTAGATGTCGTAGCATGCATCTACCAGCTTCGTAGAGAATGCCAGATCGAGTTTGGTCTTGGTTCAGTGACTTTCCATTCCCCACGAATGAAAGCGTAAGTTTTAAAATTCACATCCCCCCTCATCCATTCCATTCCATTCCATTCCATTCTTTCATACTTTCATACTTTCATTATTTCTTTCTAATATCAATTTCAACTCTCATACTCCCCTCCTTTTACAAGAGTTTTCCCTATAGATACATTCTTTGAAGATTACTTCCTTGATACCCCTACTAATACCCTCCTTTTGGACGTTGGTGCAGATGCATTATTGCGTACCTTGCGAATGATTGTCGACGACTCTGCAATCCGTATGTCTATCCGCAGCCAACGCACACTCTTATCTGGAAGACAAACTGATGTATTGCGCATCAACTTTTCATCACTCCAAACTCTCAAAACTGGAGGAGAAGCTGTAGCTGCAGCCACTTTTAAAGATGTCTTTGCACGACCTGTATCTGAAGACCCATTATCATCTCTTTTCGAAGGTGACTCTTCTTCAGTAACCAGCGCACCATCTCGGTCGGTGGTTGTTCCTGGAGATGTTTTGACAGCCATTGGTAAAGCATCTGCTCGACTTAGATATTTGGGCAAAAACACAACCATCGAGTTAGTTAAAGGTGGTATTCTGCGTGTTGTTGTTGCAGAAAGTTTGGTCACATACTCAGCATCGTTTTCCCGGCTCCATGAAATCGTGCGAATCACTGCAGGAATGGAAAATGAAGCAGATAATGAAGCACCTCTTAAAGTCCGTGTTACGGTGGCTGCACGCGATTGGTTCCGGGTGCTTGCTAGGCCCGAGATTGCGCGGACGGTTGTTTTAAGTGTGACAAATCATTGTTCTTTAGATATGTATCTAATGTGTGGAGAAGGGCTGGACCTCGATTCCGGGTACATTCACTATCATGTTGGCAATGTTTATGAGTGATCTACCTATATATAGATAGTTTTATAGATTTGCAGATTTGCAGATTTACAGATTATATGATTTTGGCAAATGACTCCATGTAAGTAACAAGAATGTCAATGCTCTGTGGAGTCACGGCGTTGTAGTTGGAAATACGGATACCGCCAACTGAGCGGTGGCCCTTGATGCCGTTAAGACGGAGCTCCTTAGCACCATCGAGGAACTTCTTTTCAAGTTCAGGAGAGGGGAGGGTAAAGACAATGTTCATGATACTACGGGCATCCTTGGCCACAGGTGCATTAAAGACTTGGGGGTACTTATCAATGACCTGGTAGACTTTATCAGCCTTAGACTCACTTTCTTCTTGTTGGGCCTTAAGACCACCCTTGTCGAGAACAGACTTAACACAGAGAGACAAGACATGGACACCAAAGATGGGGAGGGTATTATAAGTGGAATTGTTTTTGGCAAGGGTGGGCCAATCAAAAACAATGGGAGGAATGGGGAGGCCAAGGGCAACTTCTTCCTCATGGGGGAGACGAGAGAGAAGATCCTTACGAACAATGTAAACGGTAATTCCGGCAACACCAATATTTTTCTGAGCACCAGCAACAATGGCTGCAAATTTAGAGATGTCAATTTCGCGAGACAAAATATTGGAGGACATATCAGCCACAATGTCGACGCCTTGAGGGAGGTTTGCCGAGATGTCAGCTGGGAATTCGACACCGTTTACAGTTTCATTATCGCAATAGTAGACATAGGAGATGTCATTGGTAAATTGCCAAGTGGCTGAGTCTGGGATTGATCCGTATTTACCTGCAGATTGCTTTGAGTTTGCAGCAATATGGGTAGTAAAGCCAAGTCGTTTTGCTTCAGCAGCAGCCTTTTCACTCCATGAGCCCGTGACAAGGTAATTAGCAGTACCCTTTTTGCCTGTTTTTTTAGCGTAAGCGGCCGTTAAGTTATAAGCAACAGCTGCAAAGGCACCTGTACCACCACCTTGGGCAAAGAGAATTTCATGGGTATCTGGGATAGAATATGCTTGAGCCAGACGAGCCTTTGCAGTGTTGATGATATCAATTGCGTCAGCGGAACGGTGAGAGATTTCGCAGACACCAACATCGTTTGAAAGGTAGGTGATGAGATCTTGAGAGGCTTGTTTAACAACGGACTCAGGGAGAAGGGCTGGGCCAGCGCCAAAGTAGTGGGGGGGTTCTCTAGACATTTGATTGTAGTTGTGGTGATGTTAAAAGATTGTAGAAATGAAAAAAAAAAAAAAAAAAAAAAATTAAATAAAAAATTATTAACGATGGTTTTTTATTTTTTTTTATTTTTTTTTATTTATTTATTTATTTAATTTTTATTTTTATTTTTATTGATAATTTTAATTATTTTTATTTTATTTTTATTTTTTATATACAAAATCGGACTTTTTTTTTTATTTATTTTTTTTATTTTTGGTGACTCTAAAAAAAAAAAAAAAAAAAAAAATTTTTTCTTTTTTGGTGCGGTGACTGATTTGATTTATTACATTTAAATTAAAATTAAAATTGAAAATAAAATTTAACAAAAAAAATAAAATGCAATTGCACTTTTAATATCACGTGAAATAACATTTATAAGTGTGTGTGTGTGTGTGTGTATGTATGTGTTTGTTGATTTTAAATGAAATATTTGAATGGATTATAAAAATATGAAAATATGAAAATATGAAAATATTTAAAAGTCTAAATGTTGAAAACAAAAAAAATAAAATAAATTTAAAAGTAATTTAAATTTGTAATAATTTAGTTAGTTACTGGAAAAGAGTTAATTATAGTCTTAATGAAATTAATTATGAAGTTATACATACTTAAATAAGTATTACTTAAAAATAAGTATTAATTATTTAAGTATGAATAACTTCATATAACTTTTTTTTAAAAAAACTGTTAAAATTATATTTGATTATTCTTTTTTTTCTTATTATTAGTTTGTATATTTAAATAAACTCCTATCAAAACCACAGTTTGCTTTTCATTTGTTTATTTTTTTTTATAAAATTATACTCTTCATTAATATATAATTTTAATTAAAATAATTTTGGAAAAAGGAAAAAAAAAAATGCCATGGAAGTAATATATATATACAGTATATTGTTGAGACATATAGTTGAATTAAAGTCAAATAATGTTTCTTTTAAAAATGAGCCGCATTTCTTTATGTAGTAATATTTTCTTAAAGTGGGCTAAATGCCATCACAAGTCTAACGATAAGCATTTTTAAAATTTAGTCTTTTTAACTTAACTTATATTTAAATTTAATTTTGTTTATGTTAACCTAAGTTAAATAATATTTTTTTTAATTTAAAAGAAATCACATGGTTTGTTACATAACATATGACATTCACGTGATACCACCAATCACCGGCCACATAAAGCGAATTTTACATTTTAATTTTTTTTTATTTTTTATTTTTTATTTTTTATTTTTTATTTTTTAAAAAAAAACCCTCCAAAAATTAATCAAAAAGGCCTTCAAAAATAATCACAAAAAAAAAAAAATCAAAAAAAATTTAAATCACCACCACCACCATTAACACTAACAAATAAACCAACCAACCAACCAACCAACCAACCAACCAACACAAACACCAAACCCAAACCCAAATCACCCAATACACACACAACTTCACAATGGCTGGCCACGGACCCTCTACTGTTAACCACGATGCTGCTATCGAGAGATGGTATGCTATGCGCGAGAACCTTGCTGATAACTTCAAGTTCAACCGCAAGTCTGGTCGCTTTGTGTTTCTTGCCCTGGGACTTGTTCCTGCCATTATGTTCTACGGTGCTTACAAGTTTGCAGTAAGTTAAAAAAACAATATATATATATATATATAATAAAAACTAACAATTGTAGGGCCAACTCGACTTTACTGCTAAGCGACGAAACCAGTCCATCTGGAGAAACTAAATTTGCATTTTTCTTAAACTTTTTTTTTTCTTTTATAACTCAATAATATAAAATATAAATATACATAAAGTCCATTTTTTTTTCTTCTTCTTTTTTAAATTATTATTATAATTTATATATATATATATATATATAATTGTTTATATTCATTCATTCATTTTCCAATCTCTATCATTTCAATAACAATAACAAAAAAAATCTCTCCATGCCTTTTTTTTTTAATTTACTTTCTGTACCAAAGCCGTGTAATCTTTTGGTTACGCATCTTCTTTTGCAATTGGAAAACACCATACATGAGAGCCTCAGATGTTGGGGGGCAGCCTGGAACATAAACATCTACAGGCACAATGCGATCACAGCCACGAACAACACTGTAAGAATAGTGGTAGTAGCCACCACCATTGGCACAGGATCCCATGGAGATGACCCAACGAGGTTCAGGCATTTGATCGTAAACCTGTCTAAGCGCCGGCGCCATTTTGTTTGTGAGGGTACCTGCAACAATCATAATATCAGATTGACGTGGAGAAGCACGGAAAATGATACCGAGACGGTCCTGATCGTAACGGGGGGCAGAGACGTGCATCATTTCAACAGCACAGCATGCAAGACCAAAAGTAACAGGCCAGAAAGAACCTTGACGAGCCCAGTTGGCAATAGCATCGAGAGTAGTAAGGGCATAATCGACAACACTGGAGGGCTTTTGTTGAGAGGCCAGAGGGTAATCTGTAGGCAGAGAAGATGTGTGTTTTGCAAGCGAGGAGGCTGGGCGTGTAGTCAATGCGATAAGGGCTGGAGTAGCGGCAGCTCTAAGAGCAAGAGCTGATGGGGACGCCCGGGCAATAGGCGCAAGGGATCTTGAGAGCATTATTTATAAAGGTTGGGAGGTGGAGATTAGATATAAAGACCAAAAGATAAATTTGGTTATATTATATATAGGGGAGGGATAATAGAAGGAAGGAAGGTTTAGTAGGAGGTTTTTTAAAAGGGGAGAGAGAGGGAAAAAAAAAAAAGACCTCTCAGCGGTATGCCTTTTTTTTTTTTTTTTATTATTATTATTATTATTATTCTAGCCCAGCAACAACAACTACAACAACTACAACTTAAAAGAAAAAAAAAAAAAAGGCAAATCATATTTGGTAGGTGTTTGATTGGGCAGGTTTAGATCACATGATTATGGTTCACGAAGCAGTTATAAATATATATACTAGAAATAGAATCATTATGTAATATAACTAATATCATATAATTTAACATAAATTAACATAAATTAACATAAATTAACATAAATTAACATAAATTAAACTAATTATTAGTTAAAATTAAACTAATTTAAATTAAAAATTAGAATTTTTCACAACCACCAAAACATTCAAAATTAAAATTAAAATTAAAAATTCAATATTCAAATCAAAATTCAAATCAAATCAAATCAAATTAAATCAAAATTTAAATATAACAACAATAACAACAACAACAACAAGCTATGAATCAAGACCAACAATCATTCTTCGCTTCTTGGAGCAAAAAATTCTCTTATCTGGCAGGATCTATGTCCCCCCAGGAAGAAGAAGCTTTCAAAACTCAATTAGAACTTGAAAAAACCCAACGCGAGTGCACCCGATGTGAAGAATACAAGGCTTGGATGATGGCCTACTCTCCCTCAGTACGATTCATGATGGAACAAATTGCCCGAGTAGGTGGTAATATCTCTTCACAAAACATAGTTTGTGATGCATGTGATGAGTTTAAGAGTGGAGGGTTTCATCCAGAACTAGGTATTCTATTGTGTCAAAATAGATTCTATTCCAAGTGGCATTTAGAAGATACACTAACACATGAACTGGTCCATGCCTATGATCACTGCAAGTTTGATGTCGACTGGGCAAACCTACGCCACCATGCATGTTCCGAAATCCGTGCATCCAGTTTGTCTGGAGAGTGTCGTATGATGAACCAAATTGTTAAAAATAAAATCTTTAAGTTTTCTAAAGGTCATCAAGACTGTGTGCGCCGTAGAGCAACACTATCTGTTAGAAGCAATCCAGCGTGCAAAAGTGATGAAGAGGCAGCCAAAGTAGTAAATCAAGTGTTTGAATCGTGTTTCAACGATACCCGGCCATTTGAAGAGATTTACCGATGAAATTATTACTACTATCATTACCAGTACTATTACCATTATCATTATCATTACTACTACTACTATTACTTTTTCTTCTACTTTTTCTTCTACTTAAATACTTACTATACTACCTTAAAACGTCAGGTATAATGAGCACATGAGTGAAGGCCCTGTCATGATGCCCAGCCAGAAAATCACATTTCCCAGCACTTTTTTATCTCTGTAAATAGCAAAAAAAAAAAAATTAAAAATTAAAATAAAATGAAAAAGATTAGGTTTTTTTTTTCTTCATAACAATTTCATTTGAATCCTAGGATTTCTTTTTTTTTTTTTTTTTAAAAACTCACCTCAAGTAACGCGTGCGCGAAATGGCCACCAAAGGCAGCTGACACATTTGCAAACAAAGCAAATATCCTCGCAGTTTTTTAAAAATAACAAACATGACGAGCTCATGGATACACGAAGATAACAAAAAAGTGTATACTAAAAAAATTAGAAAAGTCAAAAAAAAAAAAAAAAAAAAAAAAAAAAAAAAAAGAAACTCACAAGTAGCAGTCCGTTTAGACACGTTAAATACAGAAATGGTGCTGTGGTAAACGTGCTGGAGTAAAAAAAGGTGCACAGGGGTGTTCCAGTCGCGCGCAAATTGGTCCCACGTCACGCAATTCCACCATGCACCATAAAAGCCGCGGTCTGCAAAACGTGTAAGTTCCGCGATTCCGTTAAGAATGGCATCCCAGATAATATAAAAAACAAGAAGAATCATGAGCACAAAGGGAGGAATTAGGTCAACCAGAATAGCAGGGTATCGCTGAACTTTCTCCATTGTTGAAAGCCCACGTAGAGATAAAGCCTCCATGGCAATGGGGTAAAGACTATTTTCAGCAACAATAATCATGAGCAGAAATACCCCAAAAGTGGCTAGGGTTTTCTCACCTACATACCCCCAACGGATAGAAGAGGTTCGTGGGTATGCCATACGATAAACAAGAGTGGGGAACATTGAAAACTCAAAATAGTTTTTGAGTGAAATGTTATCAGGGAAATTAGGTCCGTCTTGCTGGGTAAGTTCTTGTGCTATAAATGTTCTAAACTCGGCCAGGTCTTTTGTATCTTTGAGGGACAAGGTACTTGTGTCCTTTTTCAAAGCCGTATCAATGACTTTAACTTGGGTTAAGACTGACCAAAGGTAGCCATTGAAAAAGGCATATGAGTGCTGCTTCATTAGTAGCACGAGAGAATGAAGTAATAGGAAAACTCGAGCAATCCATGGGAATTGCATATACTCTGCGACCCACATGAAATAAAATAAAAAAATTGTTTGCCAGACCTATTAATGTTAAAGAAGTTTGAAAAAAAAAAATTTAAATAAAAGCATTTCTAACATACATTTTGGAGAATCCATCCAGTTTGTGTCCATGAAACAATTCCATGCTTTACAAGCAATTGAAGGCCTACTCCAAAGTAAGTTGCAATATACATTTGGAGGTCCACTAGGGCCACTTTAAGTAGATCCTTTTTAAGATAATTGATAATATGAGGACCCAAAAGTGTATGAGTACGTGCATAAGTATCTCTCATTGAGTTAAGTATAAGAAGTGCCACAATCATCCAAAAAAGTGTAAAAAATCCGGAAAACGGACCTGCAGAAGCTTCCAGAAGTGTAGCTTGTGGTTTAAATTCAATGGCTTTAAACCGGTGAGTACGTTTCGGAGCATTATAGAGCCGCCGGAAGTAGTCTTTGGAAATTAATTTCTGTGCTGGCTGGTTAAGAAAGGAACGGGTCGCGTGAATAAGTGCTGGAGGTGGAGACGCAGGGTCCGGTCCGGAGTCATAACCTGAAGATGAAGAAGATGGTGAAGATACTGTTGTTCTTTTAGACATGAGTTTTTAAATAAGTATAAGCAAAGATAAGGAGATGATGAATTAAGATGAACAAGTACAAAAAGAAGAAGAATAATAATAATAATAATAACAATAATAATAAGAAGAAAAATAGGAAGAAAAGAAGAAGAATAAAAGCCCTTTGTTTGTATTTTTTTATTATTTCATTTAAATTAATCCCTCTAATAATAATAATAAAGAAAAAAAAAATTTAAATCCATTCTAGGCTGTTTTGTCTTTTTTTTTTTGTTTCCAAAAGCCGTCGTCAGCCAACCCGTCTTTTGGTCTTATCGCGTGGCTCTAGTTGTGGTGGTGATATTATCTAAGTAATTATGTAATTATTTATTTTATATTTTATATATAAAATCTATTTAACCTTCACAATCAAAATATCTCAATTTTTAATTTTTTATATGGAATTTTTTTTTTCAAACACGTGAATGGCTTACAGTTTAATTTTTATTAAAATATGTTATAACTTCTGGAATATACACACAAAAATAACATAAATTTCACCAAAAAAAAAACATTCCCCTCTTTAAAATAATCGCCAGCCAACCATTCAGGCCAACTTTCTTTTAGCCTTTTAACCATCCAATAACCAAATGGCTCAACAACAACAACAACAACTCTCTTCAAGGTCTACAAAAGACCAAAAGACTGAAGATAAATCACTTCCTCCTACTCGTAAAATCTTTGATCCTACCATCCAATATGGTACTTTCCATTACGAATTTGGTGGCCCTCTTGGCGTCTCCTCTATGATGGTCTTTTTCCCCATCCTCATGTGGTACCTTTGGGCCTCTTACAAGTTTTATGACTGCCACCTCGCAACCCCTCGCCAGGGCCAATCTATATTAGAATTCCTCAAAGAACTTGCTCATCACGTCTACACTGATGCATACCCAACTCGCACCGCTTGGGCAATCATCTGGGGGTTCCTTCTCTTCCAGGCTGTCAACTACCTCACTCTTCCGGGTATCTGGACCGAAGGTCTCCCCATTCCGCAAAACAAAAACCGCGGTCTTAAGTACTATTGTAATGCTGTCTACTCGCTTTACTTTTCTACCATCGTCGCCCTTGCTCTTCACTTCTCAGGTATTTTCTCTCTTTCAACCATCATTGATCGCTTCGGCGAAATCATGTCGGTCGCAATCATCTCAGGATTCCTCATCTCAATTGCCGTTTTCGTCCGCGCTCTTATCGAGGGGAAACAAGTCCGTATGACTGGCAATTGGGCTTATGACTTCTTCATGGGTGCCCCCCTTTACCCCCGTGTTGGACCTCTTCTTGACCTTAAGATGTTTTTTGAAGTCCGTCTCCCCTGGTTCACCCTTTACTTTTTGGCCCTTGCTGCCTGCTTTAAACAGTATGATGAATATGGCTATGTTTCCTTCCAAATGCTCCACTGTTTCCTCGGTGCTTGGCTCTATGCAAATGCTTGCGCAAAGGGTGAGGAACTTATTATCCCCTCATGGGACATTTTTTATGAAAAGTTTGGCTTTATGCTTATTTTCTGGAACATTGCTGGTGTTCCTTATACATATTGCCATAACACTCTCTACCTTGTTTCCCATGACCCGGCCACTTACCAACACTCGGCTCTCTACAACACTTTTGTCTTGGTTCTTTTACTTGGTGCATACTACTTTTTCGATACAACAAATGGCCAAAAGAATGCCTTCCGCCAACAAATCGCTGGCACTTATAAGCCTCGTAATACTTTCCCCCGTCTACCCTACCTCGTTGTCAAGAACCCTCGTTACATCAAGTGCAAAAATGGCGGAACCCTACTGGCCGATGGCTGGTACAAATACGCCCGCAAGGCCCACTACACGGCTGACTTTCTCCAAAACCTTTCCTGGGCTCTCAACTGCGGCTCTGGCTCTTTCTTGCCCTACTTCTACCCGACTTTCTTCTTTTTTATGATTCTTCATCGTGCCCAACGTGACGAGGAAAAGTGTGCTCAGAAGTATGGTGAAGACTGGGTCGAATACAAGAAACAGTGTCCCTATGTCTTTATTCCAGGTGTATATTAACACTCTATAGATATTTAACATACCAAGTATATATATATATATATATATATATATATATAATATATAGCATAGTATATAATCTTATTACTATTACTATTACTTGCGACTTCCACGACGCTTTGCCTTGTCCCATACAGACTGGTTACCCTTGTTTTTCTTGGTGGCTGCTTCGTATGACCCGGTCCCCCAAGATTCACCAAACAATGCATCACCATCGTTTCTGCGGCCTCGTTTTTTGCCTGCCACTCCACGGTGTCGATCTTTTGTCTTTTCTGTAAGTCGCGTATAATTGTTTTCTTCATACTCGGTGATTTCCCGCTCCTTTCTGCGGTCCCGCTCGCTCCGAACACTACGTCCAGAATCCACAATGTTGGACCCAATAGAAGCTTCCAATGAAGGAGCCCCAGAAGTCTCCTGTAAATATTCCTCCAGCATCTCGTTTTTGCGCAGACGTGCCGCTGGCTTCCGTGGCCCGCCAACGGTTTCTGTTGATGGTAGTGTAGCTGAGATCTTGGGTGCTCTGTAAAACTTTTCCTTGGGCTCTTTTTCTTCCTCATCAACCTCCTCATCTTCCTCATCCTCATCTTCATCTTCTCTATCTTTCTTAGCTCCTCTTGTGGGTTTCTTACCAGCAAGTAAAGCCAATGGATTAGGCTTGAATGCCAATAAATCACCAGTATCTTGTTCTTCATTATCTTCATCTTCATTTTCATCCTCATCTTCATCTTGTTCTTCCTTCTCCTTTTTGGCCCGTACTTTTTCATAATTCCGCAGAGCCTTATCAATTTCATAAGCCACTCGACTCTCCAACCCTCTCAGTCCCTTTTCCAGAACCACTCTACCACCAATCGCTCCTTTAATAGCCTCCTTTCGTACCTTTACAGCCTCCTCTTGATTCCCAGAGCCTACTCGTGAAACAAGCTGTGCTGCAAGAACAAGTGCAGTGTCGTGCACGTACCCAAGAAGTGCCTCATTCTTGAGCGCAAGAAGTGACATGCCTGAGGCTGTGTCTAGATCAGTCAGCTGTTCTGTCAGCGTATCTAATGCTGTGGCTGTACTTTGTGAAGCTGCTAGAATGTCGTTCAGCAGATTGTCCATTGTAGTTGTTGTTGATGCTGTTGTTGTCGTTGGTTGATTTACTTAATTAATTAAGTCTGTCAGGATTTCTTTAGAGGATTTTTTTTTCTTTTATTTTCATTAATAAAAATTTTGATGCACGGCTTGACGTGCGGCTTATGGTTTAGGGTTTTAAAAAATTTTTTTTTCCCAGCAAGGAAAAGAATTTTTTTTTTTTTTTTTCTAAACTTCATTTTAATAATCATCACCAACATCACAGCCAGCATACCAACATGGTAAGTCAGTCCACTTTAAATACCTTTAAATACTATATATATATATATATAAAGAATCCCATCTAACTTTAATAATAGCCTCAAAACGAATATATTGAGCAACATATCAAGAAACACGGCAAGAGATTAGATGCCGAGGAGCGTGCGCGTAAGAAGCAGGCGCGTGAGGGTCACCGAGTAGCCAAGGAGGCTCAGACCCTGACGGGCCACCGTGCAAAGATGTTTGCAAAGAAGAGATACAGCGAGAAGGTCGCAATGAAGAAGAAGATTAAGCAGCACGAAGAGTCGAAGGTGGCCGGTCCCTCGACACCCAACCATGCCCAGGATGAGGCCATGCCTGCATATCTGCTTGAACGTCAGAACCAAAACACAGCTAAGGCTCTGTCAACTTCCATTAAGCAAAAGCGTCTGGAAAAGGCTGAGAAGTTTACCGTACCATTGCCTAAGGTTAAGGGTATCAGTGAGGAGGAAATGTTTAAGGTTATTAAGTCAGGTAAGCGCCGCAATAAGTCATGGAAGCGCATGATTACAAAACATACATTTGTGGGTGAGGGCTTCACCCGAAGACCCGTCAAGCTTGAGCGCATTATTCGACCTTCAGCTCTGCGTCAAAAGAAGGCCAACGTCACTCACCCAGAGCTTGGTGTTACTGTGTGTCTCCCCATTTTGTCTGTCAAGAAGAACCCCCAGAGTCCCATGTACACCCAGCTCGGTGTTCTCACTCGTGGTACCATTGTCGAGGTCAACGTTTCGGAGCTTGGGTTGGTCACGGCTGGTGGCAAGGTTGTTTGGGGTAAATATGCCCAGGTCACTAACGAGCCTGACCGTGATGGTTGTGTCAATGCTGTGTTGTTGGTTTAAATTTAATGACCTTTTTGATTGATTATTGATTCATTTTATATTATTATTATTATTATCATTATTATTATCATTATTATCTTTTTTTCATGTCTTTATGTAATTGTGCAGTTTAAACAGGATACCCTCAATGTCAAGTCCTAAATGGCCCAAGTGCAACTGCTCCGGCCTCCCATCCACCACTACTGCAACGCTATTGAGTGCATGACACCCCCCACCTAACGGGTCTCTTGCGCCCACTGCTGCAACAAGCTCTCCGTATGTATCCAGCACCAGCGTCAGCCCATCGTAGGGATTTGTTTGGGCCGTGACTTTTTCCGGACGGCAGTACCGGACAATGGCCACATGTTGTTGTAGCCATGGGTTGGCAGCGCACACTCGTAAGGTTTCTTGCACGTGAGGGTCTGGCCCGGGACCCACTAGAACTAAGGCAAGAACATGAGTTATGGGCCATTCTGTAAGAGGTTGAAGAAGAGATCCATAAGGACTTGGATGGACCAGGAAAAGTCCTGGGAAAGTAGCAGGTAGCGTGGTTGTGCGGCGGCGACGTGTTGCGGGTGGGTCTGCGCAGACTTTTTTGTCAGGTCTCTGCGGCTCGCAACAAGATCTTCTTTTTCTTGCAAGCATTTTTTTTTCTTATAAAACTGATGATCAGAATGGAATGGAATGTAATGGGAAAGCTTTTTTTTTTTTTTGAAAAATAAATATATATATATATATTTATATGTGAAATATGTGTGAAATATAAATATAAATATAAAACATCTACCTACATACCTCTTTGGTCTAGCCTTTTGGACCGTTGGATCCAAATTTTATATAAAACATTCTGGTCCGTCTATTCATCTCACCTCCCCTCCTCCCACCCCACCCCACCTCACCTCACCTGCTGATTTTATGCGGGCCGAGAATAGTCTAGCAGAGACCACGACAGCTGATCCAGCGTCCGTGCAGAAAGTGCTTTATGCTTATTGTGTCCTGAGACAACCCCACTATTCCCTACTGCTGCTGCTATTCCTGATTGCAGTGCACCGTCATTCATCGCTGTTGCTGTTGCTGCTGTAGCTGTTGCTGCTGTAGCTGTTGCTGCCACCGCCGCTGCTTCCTGTTCCTCCTTTTTTTCTTCCGTCAACAACCGCCGAAATCTTGTCGACAAACTAGCAATGCGATCTCTAATTTCGTCATTTGATTCCCGTAATTTGCCAATCTCCTCTCGCTTGGCCGCAATCTGCTGCTCCAACAATTCTAATAGCGACTCCCTCGATTGGTGCGGCCGGTACTCGTTCAGCAGGTGGTGCACATTGATTAGTACTATCCGCATATCTTCCACAAGCGCAGGGAATCCCTCTGGTTGTACCGACATGACCCCGGCAAGCTCCACAAATTTCACCAGCAGCGTTGCAACTAATTTCTTGAGTTCCTGCGCCCGTCGTGGCACTACTCTGGTTGTATCCTGTGCTAAGCTATTCGACTCTTGAGATTTATCATTGCCATCATCATTGTCTGAATATAACTGTGCTATCCCTACATCCTTTAGCGACATGAGCTTGTTATCAGTCTGCCACACGTTCCCAAAACTTCGGTATGCTCCGGGCGACTCTGGCGGCGCAGGTGGCTCTAGAAGTGTGAGTGGGAACTCTACAGGCGTTCCCTTGGATGCAGCATCTCTTTTTTTAGTGACGTTTTCGTTTGTAAAGAATTTATAGTATGCTGGAGGCGGCGGCACCGTGGCCGACAGCTCGTTTTGTGGGGGGTCCGACATGGAGTTTTTGGGTGATGTTTTTTTTTTTTTTTTTGCTGTGCCTGAAAAAATAAAGATGACCAGGAGGGGCTTTTTTTTTTTTAATTTTGTTGTTGTTGTTGTTGAAATAAATGAAAAATGAAAGTTATCATATTATTTTTTATTACCAGGTAACATTATAATAATAAGTTATAGTTTACATACCGGGTAACATAAATATTCTTAAATCTTCACCATTCCTTAATATACTGAAGATTTTCGCCAGCACACCACAAATTTTTTTTTTTTTTTTTCTTCACCACCACCTTTAAAAAAAATCAAAACAAACTCATCGCCACCAAAACTTTCCCTCAAAACAAAAGTTCAGTGCAGCTTTCTATCAACCTTTGTTTGACCCAATCCAATCTCCTATTAGACTTTCCTTCTTTCACAATGCATTCACGGACCCGGCCCACGTCCGAGATCTACGTCCAGAGTCCACTTCGCTTCTCGGACGCAGATACGGGCCACCGCCCTAACGCGCTGCTCGCAAACTCGGCCCTCCAGCACCCCATTGGTGACCCTGGTGAGTACGGCTCTAATGGATCCGGACTCAATGGCCTTACCGGTGGTGGTGCTCCTTCTGCAGCGGCTGTGGGCACTGGTGGCTCCAGTATTATTGGTCCGGTGCCTCTTTTTTCTCAAGTTCAGCAACAGCAACAGCATCAACATCAACATCAACATCAGCATCCACACCAACATCAACATCAACATCAACAACAACAACATTTACTGGCTCCTCAACCAGATCGCGTGACAGACCAATGGATCGCAGACTTGGAACTTTACCAAAAGACTTTAGACGAAATGGCATCAGTCAGTATTGACGAGGAATTCAAAGATGAGCTTTCGGCAGTCCAGCAATGGTTCTCCATAATCTCCGAGGGTGAACGTACTGCCGCGCTTTACGCGCTCCTGGCTCAATCCAACCAGGTCCAAGTTCGTTTCTTCATTACATTTCTTCAAAACATGGCTAAAAATGATACACTCTCTGGGGTTCTTTCTCCATCAATCCCAGACTTTGCATCTCAACAGCACTTTACTCAACAACAACAACAACAACAACAACAACAACAACAACAACAACAACAACAACAGCAGCAGCCACTACCGCCATCTTCTTCATCTTCATCGTCAACAGCAAATTCTTCCTTTCACCCTCATCATCAGCACCATCACTCTCTTAATGCACCTTTCCCAAGCAAGTACCAGGTGGCCTCGGATTATCGCTCAAATCGATTCTCATCCCCACCAATCCCACTTCAGGATAACTCGCTTTCTCAGCAATTCCAAAATACGCTTCCACATCATAAGCACTCGTACTCACAAACCTTGTCGAGTAATAGCAACATTAACAATAGTAATAATACCTCTACGGTGGCTTCCGCTGTTGCAGTAGCCACAGGTACCTCCTCATCCTCCTATTCCCTACCCCCAGATCTGATATCTTCCATGGGTCCATCCCATTACCAGCAAATTAAACACCCCATAACCACCGCAGCTCCTGTGGCCATTAGAAATACCCCCTGGGCCACTACTCGTGAGGAAATCAACCGCCCCAAGTCTGCAGACGTAACCATGACTCGACTGGGCTTTCAAAATAACAACATTAACAACAACATTACCAACAATAACAACCATAATAAAAACAATATTAATACCTCTCGGTCACGACTCAATGCATCGTCGTCTCCTACAGGGTCTCCTGAAGAGGAATCATGGCTAGACGCCGATTCAAAGCAATTAAGGAAACCTCAACGTTCAGGATCATCACAATTCGATGACGACAAGAAGGCTCCTACTCCTCGCCGTAAAGACGAAGCAACGTTTGTGCGACCTATCCCATTGCACCCGGATGAACAGTCTCAGTCTCAACAACAGCAGTCAGGCACTACTACTTCGAGCGTTGCTGCTTCTCCATCCCCAACCCCAACTTTATACAAGTTTCCCAAGGATGATAAGGACGCTGCAGCGCAGCCGTCATCTTCATCTACTTTGACTACTACTTCTTCCTCCACTACAGGAATTCCAGCCTCGGCATCTCCTGGGCCACCAGCGGGCTCAGCTTCGCCTGAAAAGTCCAACGAGGCGTACCTGCACCTAGCTCTTCTTGAAGACATTAATGCATGGCTTAAGGCATTGCGATTGCACAAGTACAAGGATGCTCTTGGCGATCTGCATTGGCGTGAGCTTATTATGTTGACGGACGAAGACCTGATTAATCGTGGTGTGCAGGCGCTGGGAGCACGCCGCAAGATGCTCAAGGTGTTTGAGACTATCAAGCAGGCTGAGTCTGCAGGCACTCTTTCGTAGAAGACGAAGAGGAAGAAGGGGAAGAAGAAGAAGAAGAATAATAATAATAGTAAGGTATAAGAATGAAGGACAAGAATGAATGAAAGAAAGAGATAAATAAATAAATAAATAAAGAACGAAAGTAAGTAAGAGAAAAAATAAATAAAAAGATACAATATAAATTGTTTTTTTTTTAAAAATTAGAAGTATATATACAAAGAAACAAAAAAAAAAGAGGAATAATAAGAAAAAGAAACAATTAATGGCCACCACAACGACTGCCGAGATTTGTTGGAGCACGTTTTGATTTGCCAGTGATTGGTTTTTGGGGTGTAATTTTGGGTTCTTTTACCGTATCATTATACCCGAGTTCTGTTTCCTTATGGATCTTGAGGTGATACTTATTTGGGTCTGCCGAGTCCTGAACTCCCTGGACCACGTTTTGGCGCAGAATGATATTGACATCTTTAGCAAGTTGTAGCTTCTCTGCAATTTCTTCAGGTTCTGAGAGTGATTTATCTGAATGGAAGCGTGTACGAATTTCAGCGAGTGCTGCAGTGAGTCGTGGGACGTCATCTGGAGAGAAAGGAAGAAAGTGTTAGAATATGAGTATATATATAATAAATAAGAAAGAGAGAAAGAGAAAATACGTACTGGCAAAAAGATATTTGCATGAACGAAGAAGGTTGCGGTAAGATTGAAGAACAGCGGCTGGCTGTGACATTTTAGAATGAGACGTAGAATAAAATGAGGTAAGATGAGGTGGTCAAATGGTTAACAATAGATGAACTTTTTTTTTGAGACTTTTGAAAGAGGCAGAGAGTGAGAGAGAGAGAGAGAGGAGACAAATTGAATTTTTTTTTTTCAGTGTGTGTGTATATATAAATGGGTTAGGGTATGTTAATGGAGGTTTAATGAATTTTTTTTAAGAGAAACTTATCAATTTAAAATTAAGATATTAATAAAGCTTTTGTCACAAACAAATTTTTTTATAAACAAATAATTAAATATTTAATTATTTTTTTAAAAAAAACATTTTTTTTTATTCAAGGGTTATAGAATTATATAACATCAGCATCTGCGCTATCCTTCTTGTCCATACTATATATCTTTTCATTTTAATAATAAACTTTCAATTTGGGCTTCAACATTGCATCTGCAACAGCCCGAAAATAAGTCCTGATGCCAGCTTACGAGGAACAGGGGGTTAAAAATAACCAAACTTTCCCAACTTATCTCCACAAAAATCATTCTATAAATGTCACGTGATTACATATTTTATATTTACTTACTTTTAAATATTCTAAAATATTTTAAAATATTTACATTTTTAAGTTATTCCTTGTGGCCCAATGGCAAGGCGTTCGCCTACGATCATGAATGGTTACATAGCGAAAGATTCCAGGTTCGACCCCTGGCAGGGAAGCTTTAACTTTTTTGATATATATATATATTTTTTTTTAATTTGTTAAATATTTTTATATTTTAATTTATTTTTATTTTTTTAGTTAAATATTTAGTATATATATATATATCGCCAAGAAATATTGGAGAGAGGAAGAGATTTTTTAGTATTTTGTTAATATTTTTATTTTTATTTTTTTATTATTATTTAAATTACAGTGCTTTTTAGCTTGGCATAAGGGGTCTTTTTTAACTTTACTTTTACCTTAAATACATTCACATTCATTCGATTAAGCTTTGATATGATATTATATATATATATATATATATATATATATATATATAAGGAATACTTTTAATAATAAACTTCTTCTTATTTATCTATTTATCTATTTATCTATTTATTTATCTATTTATTTATCTATTTATATCTAATCAATCAAACAATCTTATCAAATTTAAAAGTACATCTAAAGAATTATTAGTTTGTAAATAGATAATTTTTTTACAATTCCTTTGTTAGTTTTTAATTAATACTTTAAGCTCGTATTTAAATAGATATATATATATATATATATTGATCCATTCCAGCTAAGGTTTCGCTTAAATCTTTATTTATTTATATTTTGATAACCTAATTCAAGAAATAAGTTTTTGCTAAATATTTTCATTTAAGTATCTTGCCAAGTTCTTTCTTTCTTTTTTTTTTTTTTTTTTTTTCTGTATAACGAAGAACCATAATGAGTTATATATATTAAAGATTTATGCATAAAATAAAGAGAAGATATATATAGTAAATATAGTAGATAATGTAATTATAAAAAAAAATTAACACTTAAACAAAAAGTAGTTTAAATTTTATATATATACAAAAAACATTATAATGTTTATGATAGACTTAAATGAAAATTTCATTCATTTTTAATAAACAAAATCTACTATAAATATATATAAATTTAAAATCAATTTGAATTAAAATATATTTTATTTATATATATAAATAAAATAAATCTTTTCAAATATCTCTAATTTAATCCCTATCATATCACGTTAATTTGCCAAACTATCTAAATATTTAAAATATTTAAAATATTTAAAATATTTAAAATATCCAAATTAACCAAAACCGCCAAGCTCCCACCCACTGCAAAATAATAAAAAAATAAAAATAAAACTTCTAAAATATCAATTTATCGATATGCTCAAATATCTTTTAGGATAAGTCTTTGGATAAAAAAAAGCCTCCCTCCTTTTTCACTTTAAGAATATTAATGATTATGATAATGTTCTATTTTATTTTTTATTGCTCATTGCTCATTGCTCATTGCTCATTGCTCATTGCTCATTGATATATTTATAATCAATCTCATCAAAGAATATATAATCCTTTAAATCCCCACTTTTTTTTTCTTTCTTTCTTTTTTTCATACTACTTCCCATTCAAATAATAATGTTCTCCTATTTCAACATCTTTCATTTCATTTCCCTTGCTGCTCTCATTGTCACTGTCTTTGCAATCTCTGAAGAAATGGTCTTGAACTCTCCAGACCATCCTTCACTCGACTCGCCACTTCTTGAGAAAAGATTTTCATATAGATTTTCAATATCATCAGCTTCAGTAAATTCACAGAACTACAACAAAGTGCAATTCTATGACACCCCTTACATATCTAATCTAGTTTCTTCTCTTAGCTCCGCATACACAACTCCACCGACAACTTTTCAGATTGAAAGCACCCTTAAAAGCTTCTCCAATTCTTTACCTTCAGTTTTGTCAGAAAAAGTAGAGAAATCAGCTAAAATTATGGCTAATGATAATTCCATCACAGATAAATTTAAATTCAAGATTCTAAATGATGATATTAGCCAAGGTGACACGATCCAGGTCACAGACTCTGAAGGAAGCTCAGAGAATACAGTCACATTTACTTATGAAGAAATCATGGAGTATAGAAAACAATGGCGTTCAATCCTGGCTAAAATTGCGTCTTCCGGTTCGACCTCTACTTCTAGGATTTCAACTTCAACCATTCCTTCACGTACTTTAACTTCAACCTCTACACCAAGGGCTTCAACATCGTCAACATATTTAAGAACCGAGGAGCAAAATATTTCTGATAAATCGGGCAATGGAGCTATTGGAAATGCAATTCAAAGATCTTCGATTTGGACTGGCATTTTTGGTTTTCTTTTGTTGTATATTTAAGTAATATTTAATAAATCTAAACCCTTTTTTCTTTTATATATATATATTGAAAAGTAGGTACAATTTCAATTGTTAATGATTTTAATTAATGGGAATATTGCTTTAAAGATGTTTGGATCCAATATAAGGTTAGGGTTAAATATTAATATTTTTTTTTTTTTTTTTAGAAATCATCAAAAAAACCAATTTGATTAAAAAAATCACTTAATTTAGTAAAAAGGTTTATAATCCATTCAATATATATACCAAGGTTTTAATTTTTTTTACTTTTTCAGTTTAAAAAAAGTGGAAAAAACAAGACCATTTATTTCATTTAAAGAGCACTGTTTGAAATCAACTTTCTAAATAAATGTTTTAGGGTTAGGGTTGATATTTGAAGTTTAATTATTACATAATTGATTAATAAAAAGTGATGGGGGTAGAAGAAGCATCACCACCACTTCTCTTCCAACACATTCTTTCTTCCTAATATACCCAATTATTATAATACCATAACGCGTAGATTCACCCCCTTGGGAAAATTGAATTTTTTTTGTCTTTCTTCAATACCAAATTTTTACATGTGTCTTCCCCACTAGTCACATCCCATAGCACTGCTGTTGAACTATGTAACTTCAACCAAGATATATATATATGTATATCATCATCATCATTATCATTCTACTGCCCATTTTCGACGTTATACTGTTTAGGGGTAATTACAAAAGTGTGTCTAACAAAAGTTGAATATGTAGCCACTACATTGCTACTCATAATGATAAATATATACTTAAATGACTCAAATTTTATAAGAATATCACAACCTACAATCACAATTACAGTTACCACCTCTCAAAGTATAATGAACACTCGAATACCATCATTCTGAATGCTCAGAAAAAAAACTTTGTTTGGATTATTATTCAAAGTAGAAAGTGTTGGCACTATTGCAACTCTCAATTTATTCATCATTGAATTCTAATTAGATGCGCAGAAATAGACAGTGACAGCAATGGGATGAATGACCTGGTGACTTTTCTTAAATTTTTTTTTTTTTTTTGAGCTTCGCACTGTAAATATGTGGCTGGATATTTTAATAAATAGGCTTTTTGGATTGGAATTTAAAATATTTAGTAGTTATACGGTGGTTCATACCCTGACCAAGAAGCTAGTTGAGATTTAGACAATATTTAATGGCTTAAAGAAGGAACTTAGAATTACAATTAAATGATATTAAGAAAAGAAGATTTGTGCATTTTTTTTTTTGAATTTGCCTTCTCAGTTCAAGCAAAGTCTAAGCTGATTTATTGGACTTCATTTAAAAAAATAGAATTAAAACTGGATGAAAGATTCAATAACTCAAATCCTCATGGTTTCGGTCTAGAAAGAGTCCGAAAGAAGATTAAAAATCTATTGAAGGATTTTTTCTTTTTATTTTTAAAGCAAAGAACAGCCATGGATTATTCATTGTTTTTAAACTCATCATAACCTGCTGGTATTTAATATAGATAATACTTGCCATTTTGAATTTATTTTCTCGGAAACAGCTTTTTATTAGAGACTGATTCAGAAACAAACTAAGTGAACAATGCAAAAATCTGTTCTTTTACTAATGAAAATTGTTCTTTTTTTGTGATCGTTTTTCAATGAGGTAAATGAGATTAATTTTTTTTTTAAAAAAAAATTTGTCATTACTATTGCTGACTGAAAAAATCCTAGCTTTTTTTCTCTGACAAGAAATATAATTTTTGCTAAAAAATAAAAAAAAACATTGTTTCTTATATTTTTTTAATCTAATGTGAAAATTTTATAACTTAATTTCATTACTTTTATAAAATTTATGTATAGACAATTTGATATCTTTAAAATGAAAAATTTTCAAATAGATAGAGAATCGATACAATCTATTAATAAAGTCATTATTTTTTTTCCAAAAGATGATTGAAACAATTATTATATTCAGCTACGTACAGTCAACTTTCTTTAATTCTGAAGAAGCCCCAGTTATGGTTTAAATGAGAAATTTTAGGATCACTATCTTTTAATCAAATCTATCTATCGTGTTTTCATAAAAAAAAAGTAGCATAAAACCACAATACACAGACAGTTTTCTCTTGTTCAAGATACCAAATTTTAAAACTTCGTTTACTTGAAGTTTTCAGAGTATTTTTATTTTTTTACAAGCTCAGTTTTTGATCATAAATTTTTATGTCTTGTTTTTGAAAAAATAACTTGAACTATTATTCAAAGTTATTTTTGAGCGCGCGACTAAGGTTATATCCGCAAAAAATATAAATACTATCGGTGTAAGGAAGAAAACTTTTATTAATCAACCAAACAACCAAACAACCAATACTTTTAAATTTAATTGAAATAGTTTTAAATTTGTTTTTTTTTTTATTTTTTAATTAATTTATACACTTTAAAATTAAAGTTGTTTCTTTGTTTTTTTTTATTCAAGGGTTATAGAATTATATAACATCTGCAACTGCGCTATCCTTCTTGTCCATACTATATATCTTTTCATTTTGATAATAAACTTTTAATTTTGGCTTCAACATTGCATCTCCAACAGCCCAAAAACAAGACCTGATGCCAGCTTAAAAAGCAATCCGCCTGTTTTTTTGTTTGTTTTTATTCAAAGATTAAAAAACAATCCGCTTGTTTGTTTGTTTGTTTGTTTGTTTTTATTCAAGGATTATAGAACTATATAACATCAGCATCTGCGCTATCCTTTTATTGTCTGACTATGTGACTTGCCGGTTTTCATTTGTACCTTTTTAGTACTGGTGGTTTCTATTCTGTGCGTCTCCGGTAGCCCGGAAGATGGGCCCTGATGCCAGCTTACGAGGAACAGGGAGAACCAGTCTGTCGGTCCCAAAACCTTCCCAACCCATTTCCACTTATCTTCACGGATGCCCATGTATTTCTTAATCTCTTCCGTCAGAGATACGGCCCGCAATCACCTGCAGGCTATTTAGACTGTATGGAAGAGTCGGCATTCCTGTAACCAGGGTAGCCTATGGTTTTCAGTATAGGTGTATACTCCCGTACACATCCTCAGGAAAAGGGGGTATTCTGGGAAAAAAACAATCCGCCAGCATTCTCTAAATTTACTTTTTTAACCAGGTTAGCTTATTTTCATCGAAATGGTCACTCTTTCAACAAGTTAAAAGGTCTCTTGGCCCAGTTGGTTAAGGCATCGTGCTAATAAACAAGCAACTTCCTTGTGATACGCGAGGATCGGCGGTTCGATCCCGCCAGAGACCATTATCTTTTTGTGTTTTTAAGTATCTATATACTTGGTTTTTTTTTTTTTTGCCTTGGATTGAGATTTTTGAAAGAGTTGAATAAAGATGTTGAGGTAAACAGTTATAAAGTTTAGTGTGTTCTAGTTGTGAAATGTTCACTATTTACTAAAAATTATAAATATAGTGGTTACCATTATAAACTAAGATTGTTGAACGGTATTGAAATGGAAACCCCATTCTCATTATTGTGATAGCTATTTGATTGTTGTATATGCAAATAATTAGTTGAACTATTGGCATATTTTTTTAAAAATACAATTGTATTAATTGTTAATATACCAAATAAAATACAATATGGTTTAATATCACTTTTTTTTTCTAATATTTCAAAATAAATTCTGGGATAAACATCAACCACTCTTCTCAAAGTCTTATTCTGCACCATTTCCAACTTGCCAATTCTCCTTCAAGATTTTATGATGCCAAATTTCTAACCCATATTTAACAAATGGTCTCACAGAAACATTATATAAGAATCTAAACTTTTTAAACCATGCGCCGAAATTGCCATAGCCTATGCGAAACTGAGTAATATTACTCAAGATCCTTCGACTATCTTTCTTCATGATCACTCCCGTGACCATTTTGGAAAGATTATCAAAATTAAAATTTGTTTGTTTGTTTGTTTGTTTTTATTCAAGGATTATAGAACTATATAACACCAGCATCTGCGCTATCCTTTTATTGTCTGACTATGTGACTTGCCGGTTTTCATTTGTACCTTTTTAGTACGGGTGGTTTCTGTTCTGTGCGTCTCCGGTAGCCCGGAAGGTGGGCCCTGATGCCAGCTTACGAGGAACAGGGAGAACCAGTCTGTCGGTCCCAAAACCTTCCCAACCCATTTCCACTTATCTTCACGGATGCCCATGTATTTCTTAATCTCTTCCGTCAGAGATACGGCCCGCAATCACCTGCAGGCTATTTAGACTGTACGGAAGAGTCGGCATTCCTGTAACCAGGGTAGCCTATGGTTTTCAGTCTAGGTGTATACTCCCGTACACATCCTCAGGAAAAAGGGGGTATTCTGGGAATCGAACCCAGTATCTTCCGCTTTTGAGCGAACGTGTTATCCTTTACACCATCCAGCCCTTTCCCCTTAACTTTAATGTCATTTGTTTGTTTTGTTTGTTTTTATTCAAGGGTTATAGAACTATATAACATCAGCATCTGCGCTATCAGGGAAAAGGGCTGGATGGTGTAAAGGGTAACACGTTCGCTCGAAAGCGGAAGATACTGGGTTCGATTCCCAGAATACCCCCTTTTCCTGAGGATGTGTACGGGAGTATACACCTAGACTGAAAAACCATAGGCTACCCTGGTTACAGGAATGCCGACTCTTCCGTACAGTCTAAATAGCCTGCAGGTGATTGCGGGCCGTATCTCTGACGGAAGAGATTAAGAAATACATGGGCGTCCGTGAAGATAAGTGGAAATGGGTTGGGAAGGTTTTGGGACCGACAGACTGGTTCTCCCTGTTCCTCGTAAGCTGGCATCAGGGCCCATCTTCCGGGCTACCGGAGACGCACAGAACAGAAACCACCCGTACTAAAAAGGTACAAATGAAAACCGGCAAGTCACATAGTCAGACAATAAAAGGATAGCGCAGATGCTGATGTTATATAGTTCTATAACCCTTGAATAAAAACAAACAAACAAGCATCTGCGCTATCCTTTTATTGTCTGACTATGTGACTTGCCGGTTTTTCATTTGTACCTTTTTAGTACTGGTGGTTTCTGTTCTGTGCGTCTCCGGTAGCCCGGAAGATGGGCCCTGATGCCAGCTTACGAGGAACAGGGAGAACCAGTCTGTCGGTCCCAAAACCTTCCCAACCCATTTCCACTTATCTTCACGGACGCCCATGTATTTCTTAATCTCTTCCGTCAGAGATACGGCCCGCAATCACCTGCAGGCTATTTAGACTGTACGGAAGAGTCGGCATTCCTGTAACCAGGGTAGCCTATGGTTTTCAGTCTAGGTGTATACTCCCGTACACATCCTCAGGAAAAGGGGGTATTCTGGGAATCGAACCCAGTATCTTCCGCTTTCGAGCGAACGTGTTGTCCTTTACACCATCCAGCCCTTTCCCCAACTTTAATGTCTTTGTTTGTTTGTTTGTTTTTATTCAAGGGTTATAGAACTATATAACATCAGCATCTGCGCTATCCTTTTATTGTCTGACTATGTGACTTGCCGGTTTTCATTTGTACCTTTTTAGTACGGGTGGTTTCTGTTCTGTGCGTCTCCGGTAGCCCGGATGATGGGCCCTGATGCCAGCTTACGAGGAACAGGGAGAACCAGTCTGTCGGTCCCAAAACCTTCCCAACCCATTTCCACTTATCTTCACGGACGCCCATGTATTTCTTAATCTCTTCCGTCAGAGATACGGCCCGCAATCACCTGTAGGCTATTTAGACTGTACGGAAGAGTCGGCATTCCTGTAACCAGGGTAGCCTATGGTTTTCAGTCTAGGTGTATACTCCCGTACACATCCTCAGGAAAAGGGGGTATTCTGGGAATCGAACCCAGTATCTTCCGCTTTCGAGCGAACGTGTTATCCTTTACACCATCCAGCCCTTTCCCCTAACTTTAATGTCAATGTTAAATATTTTCTAATATTTATATGAATGATAATAGAAAGAACGGATTTGTTAGTGTACAACAAGTCACGTGGCAATCTGGCCGAGTTGGTCTAAGGCGTAGGATTAAGGTTCCTATCTCTTCGGAGGCGAGGGTTCGAATCCCTCGGTTGTCATAATATCTGAGTTGAAATACTCTTATACCTTTTTCTTTATAAACTTTGTTTATACTTTTTTTTTCTTTTTTTTTTTTTTTACAATACTCAATTATAATTTTTGTATGATACTAATTATTAATTGATCGATTGTTCAAATTGCTGTTTTTTTTTTAATTTTTCAGTAATTACTGATTAATTACTGATTATAATGAAGTGTATCTTTTTAAACACCAAAACAATTGGTAGATTGAGTTTTTTTTGACAAACATTGAGCAAAACCCAGAAAAAATCTCAATTCAAATTCTGTTAAACAGCAAGTTAATCAATGTGATAAAGGCTGAAAAAATGAATTAATTAACTATGGATATGTTTTTTTGGTAATCAAAGAAGTGGCCTAACAGTAGGGTTAAGGTCGGCATTCCTTCATTATGTTGCGACCAGCCATCATAACATTGAAATAAGCAAAAGCATAATGGGTCGATATACTAGAAACACAACACAACACAATCGACAAATAAAAAATAAAAAATAAAGAAAAAAAAAGTTAATACATATGTCATTAGAACATTAAGTTTGCCTAAAGTAGTGTAAGAAATGTTATGAAGATCAGATTTAGGGTTAAATAATTTTAAGGTCACTGTAAAGTCTTTCTCTTTAAGTTAAATTGTTAATGTTTTTTTTAATTTCTTCTAGATGTTTAATTTTGAAATTGTAAATTTTTAAAGCTATTAAGTTTATATCAAATGTTTTTTTATACTTTTTATTCAAGGTATTATAGAAATATATAAATTCATCATCGATGCTATTCTTTTTATATCAACTATATATCTTTTCATTTTTATAATAAACTTTTGATTTGACTTCAACATTGCATCTCCAACAGCCCAAGAATAATTTTTTGATTCCGGATAACGAGGAACATCATGTTAAATATCAATCTTATTAAACTTATTTCCATTTGTCTTGATCAACACTTTAATTTTTTTTTTATTTCGTCCAAGAAAAGATAAAGCTCACAGGTTTATGCCCTTTACTTAGGCTATTAAGAGAGTTGACATGTCCATCTCAGGAGAGATTTATGATAGTCTTTTTCTAGTAAAGGACATTTGATTGAAATGTGCCTAACTGTTTCCAGCTCACTACGCTTGCAGTTAAAGTTAGATAGCTCTTGTTATCAATATCAAAGTTTTGAAATCAAGAGCGCTAAAGTTACCATCATTTCCTCTGAAAGATTGAATAATAACGCCCAAGAGTGTTCAGCGATTTGAGCATTACAGCAATTGTTTTTTTTTTTTAAGAAAAATAGCTGTTAAAAAAATGCATTATAAGACCTAGTATTTAGCCGCTTTTTTCTATTTAACCCAATAAATAATAGCTTGAGTTTAATTTCTATGACTATGACTTTATATACTCCTCGACCTTTTCCAGTTGCGTTTGAATTTAAATTTGAAGCTTCTGTTCTGCTAGACCTTTTTTTTTTGCTGACATACTGTATATTGTAGTGGTTCATTCACGTGATTCTTTTTTGTAAGCTGTGAATGGTGGATTTAATCGGCAGAAGTAGTAACTACTATAATGTCTAACAACAATTGAAAATAAGAAATTGTTAAAGCTTTTTTTTAAAAAAAAAAGAGTCATCTGGTTAGAAATTCAGTAATACATGTTAGCTGGCATTCGTTTGTTTTTTTTTTCTTTTTTTTCTTTAAGTTCTAGACGTATAAAGAGATATTTTTTTTAAGTCAAAACCTGTGTAGGAAGTGCCTTTCCGAAATACTTTTGTAATCAGTACCAATTTCAAAAGTGATGTATATGTATGTATGTGTGGGGGGACATTTATTTGCTTTGTTGTTCTTGTTGATATCATTTAAAGCCTTTCCCCCTAAAAAAAAGTCACTGGCGGTTAAAAAATAAAAAAAATAAAGGGGCTATCAAACTATCAGTCCTTTTTCTCTCTTTTTTTTAAAAAAAAAACCATAAATTTTGTTGAAATACTTCAAAATAAACCAAAATGATAAAGTTAAATCAGTTTGAATGTCATTATATATTTATATTTATATTTATGTGTGTGGGGGTAGAGGAGGTAGTAAACAAATCTGTCATTTTATTTAATTTTTTGTATTTTGTATTTTGTTTTTATTATAAAATGCAAAATGCATCTTCAAAATGAACCTTCAAAATGACTTTTACAAGGTATTCTGAAAACCTGTATATACATTAACCGCCAAAAACGTTCATTTTAACCCTAGGATCTAGTATCCAAATTTGGCAATGTTCAACGTTTGGGAAAGACGAAGCGGAAATGCTGATTGATAACTATGCAAATGGCTAAATTTGGGAAATTAGTTTCTTGTAAAAGATATCAACACTATGAATGAAAAATATATTGCACATTTTTTTTTTAAATATAATAGTTTTAAATTGAAAAATAAACAAAAACTGCAAGTTACAAATTTTTATAAAAACTGTACAAATAAAACTTAATGGGTCATGCCCTTGTCAATGGCCTCCTTAACGTAACCCCAGTAAGTACTCTTGGTGTTATCTCTACACTTCTTACCATAAATGACCATGATGAAGAAGGTGGCATTGCAAACAAGGGAAATAAAAGCAGCAGTAATGAAACAGTTTTGCAGACCCATGTTAGTGACCCAAGGAGTAATACCGTAACCAATAGCAAAACTGAGCAAGTTGCGGATCAAGATAACTGGAGCCATACCGGGACCACCCATTTCTCTGTAGCAATCCATAAAGTAGTTGACAGGAATGGCACAACCGATAGAAACACAACCACCAAGAATACCCATAGCAATAACAGGACCAATCCAATGGATTTCGTGAGCAGCACCAACACCCCAGAGAATAAGAGAAGCAGGGCAAAGAATAAGGAAGGGAATAGTAAGCCAAAGTCTGAATTCGGGTTCATAAACACCGCCATGCTTTTTGGCCATTTTAAGTTTGAACTTATCACCATAAACACCAGTGTAAGCATTTGCAATAAAAGTACCAATAATGGGAGCAACGTAAGTAACACCAGTCATGGAAGCAGAGAATCCGTATTGGGAAGTGAAGATCAAAGAAGCGGTACCGTTAAGAACATTGAACCAAACAAGATTTGAGCCATAAAAGAAACCAGCCCACATAACAGCGGGGAATCGGATCATAGTAATGGGTCTCCAGAAGTTGATTTTGAGGTTTTCAATGGGACGGGAGGTATCAATAAGCTGCAACTTTCCAATAAAGGACTTCTTTTCATAAATAGGAGTAACAACGCCATCTTCCATATCGACAATGGTGGTTGTAACATGGTTCATCTTTTCATTCTTGGGGGAAGGTTCAGAAAGGGAATCTTCTTCAATAGACTCTGAAGAATCGGCAATAACATCGTCAGCAGCAATTGTCTTTCTGGAGTAGTTGGTTTCTTCCATAAAGAAGAAGAGGAAGACAAAAGAGACTGCACCAAAGATACTGCACCAGTAAATGACCCAAGGCCAACCTTGACCTTCCAAAATGAAACCAGCAATGAGGGGGGCAAGGAAATTAGAGACAAGGAGAGACACGGCGTACAAACTCATCCAGCGTCCACGATCGTGTTCAAACCAAACATCTGCAACAGAAGCTTCACAAAGGGATTCAATAGGAGCACTAAAGAAACCTTGCAAAATTTTACCTGCAATCCATGTACCATTTCCTGTAGTATAGGGACCCCAGATAATGATGAGAGTTGTTGCAAAAGTACTGAAAAGGTATACTGGTCTTTTACCAAACTGCATGGCCAAAGGTTGCCAAAAGAGGCACCCCAGACCTAAAAACAAAAACATGTAACCGGTACCTTCATTAAGAGTTGAGAGTGAGAGACCAGTTTGCTCAGAAACCGGTGTGAGAACGGAGTAGATGGCTGCGGTGGGGACACCTGTGGCAAAAGTGTAGACTACCATGCAGAACATGGCCAAATATTTTCGGCGAGGAGACCAATTGAGGGGATCATCAGGGTGATCACTGGGTGTTGGTGACAAGACAATTTCTTTAGCATTTTTGTCGTGATGTGCTGAGTTCATAGTACCCTCTTGATCAACAAGATGGACTGTTCCAGGAATTGCATCAGGATTAATGTGCATTGTGAAAATGAATAAAGTTGAAAAGGTTGAAAAGGTTGAAAAGGTTGAATTGGTAGAAGTAAAAGTATTGATTAAAAAACTGGAAATTAAAAAAAAAATAAATAAATAAAGAGAATAGCAAAGAAGTATCTATTAAGGAAAAATAAAACTATTGAAGAAATAGAATAATGAAGAATATATATATAATGAAAAATATAAAATAAAAAAAATAAAAAGAGATTTTAATGACGAAGGGTCAAATTTTTATAGTTTCCAAGATGCTATCACTTTTTTTTTAATTAATTAAGGTTATTCAAACCGTACAAAAAACAAAAAAAAATCTCAAATTTTATTTCAAAGAAAACTAAAAACTAAAAGCAAACAACATTTTATCTTTTGATTTTCATGCCCTGACAGAAATAGGAAGGTTGTTGAGGTAAGCAAGCTCCGGGAACGAGATGCCCTCATCTAATATAATGTTGAGAGTTAAAGAGATTTGATCCATGTTTAGTTTATTTTTTTTGGTTATTGTCAGTTCTATTCTCTCGCAAGAAATAGGAATACATAACCCTCAACTTTTTTTTTTTGTTTTTTTGTTTTTTTTTGTTTTATTATTTATTATATTAATATATACAATACACATTTTGTCCATGTACATAAGTGTACACACATGTGTAAGCCCAGCGTATGTATCGCGATAAGAACGCGATTGCGCAAGCTTATCAAAAGGGGCCGTCTTAATCGGGATGTTAGTTGGTACATACACGGCTTTTAAAACTAGGTGAGATGTGTGCCCTAAACCTATACTTTACTATATACTTTACTATACTTTACTATATGCTTTACTATATATTACTATTGGTGTTGCTGGAAAAAGAAATGAGTTTATTATGGCTGTAGAAACACTACTACGAAAACAAAGAGAGGAAAAAATTAAAATCTGAAGAGAGAAAAAAAAGAAAAATTGCCGATGCCGTTTAAGGACGGTTGTTGCGGTTGGAAGGGCTGTTTTAAACTATGATTTTTATATAGGCTTTTATGGAGAATTGAAGGAGAAATAAAAAATAAAAAAAAAATAGAGCATCTCGGCTTATCTCACAGAAATTTTTTTTTAAAAAAGAAAATAAGCACTATACTAGAGCTTAGGTCCATACAAATTTAGAGCAAGTTTTGTACTTCGGATAATTGTAACCAAAATAAAGAAAGCTAGTTTTAAAAGAGAACTTTGTTCCACTAATCATGGGAATGAGAGGTGTTTAAATTTAATCTTATCTTTTTTTTTTAAAAAAAAAAAAGTATTTGTTTTCCATCTCCAAGAATATCAAAAAACCATTATTTTTTTTTTCAAAGAAGAAGAAAAAATATAATTGGTTATATTGAAGATAACTAGTTGTACTAATGTAATTCCCATTATATTTTTAGTAAACTTTTTTTTTTCTTATCAGCTACTGATATTCAGACTGGTCTCATCATCCTACTTATATTCCACTATTTTTTTTTTCTTTTCCTCAAAGTCTATTATAAATTTTATTTTATTCTTTTTTTTCATTTTTTTTTTCAAAAGCCGCTCATATTTAATTTAATATTAAAATAAAACAAATCATTATGAGAAAGAATTTCAAAAACCACTTAACTAAGACTTAAATTAAAATCATATAAACCATATAGTTTATATGATTTTAATTATATATACAATTATATTTTTATTAAATAGACTTGTGATTTTTATTTTGACATTTGTGAATAACAAGTCCTATTGTCATATTTTTGCTGATTGGTGCCGAAATATACCTCGGTTTTTGGGGTATAACCTACAGTCGTGTTTATTGTTTTTTTTTTTTTTGAAGTGAGGTAATTATAACTCTTTTTGTTAACATACTCGTAATTGTCTATAAACATGATGAAAAGTAATTGTAAATAAATACTTGTGGCTTTTTTTTTAACTTCATTTATTTATTATCTTTAAAACCTTTCTACTCAAGTCAATAACTCTTACTGTTACTACTTTTTTTTAAAAAAAAAATTATCAATCATCTCCTTAAAATGCGATGATAGAATGTGTTTTAATTTTTAAAGGGATCAAAGGTCCACTTTAAATGGCTTGGCTTTAAAATGACTAGTATTATTATTATTAATTATTTCATTGGTAACCACTGTGCTTTTTGACCTGATTGATGCAAGTCATTTATATATATATATATATATATATATATATATATAGGACTTTGTAACTTTGTATGTATGTAATATGCAAACAAATACCTAAGCAAGTTTAGCTTTATATAAAATCCTTTGATATCAGCATGTCATCTTGAAAATATATTGGACCTGCTAAGAGAGGAAGGTGCTGGCTATCAGTTTTTAGATTTACATTTCTACTTAAGTCCATCCGCAATACTACACTTTAATATGAAATATAATAATAATAATATATAATATGCACGTGGGCTTATATAATAAATTCAAGATTTTTGTCCTTTTTTTTTTTTAACAAAACAAACGAAACAGACAAATTTCTCTTCTTTAATTGCAGGTTTGTTTTTTTATTTTTTTGGTATATGCGGGTTTTTGTTCTTTTTGGGTGATTCATTAGACATATAGGTTAGGTTTAAGGAATCACGTGGATATAATCATTTTTTGAAACTTTACTTATCACATTTCAATGATTTATAATTAGAAGAAGTTTTTATATATTTTATCTCTTAAAGAAACTTTTCAATAATCATAATTCAGTTTTTAAAAAGATTGCTTTTTTTTAGAGATTATCAGTTCAGTTTTTTAAAGTTTCCTTTAAATAAGTTTACAAGACTAGAATGCTTTTTTTTCTTTTAAAATTATATTTGAATTTGCTGCTTACTGCTACTTGGTATTTTTTTGATATTGTGTCAACATTACAGACTATCTCTTGAAAACCAAATTTTCAACATGTGTCTTTATTTCCTTTGAATTGAAAATTGTAGTTTTATTATCATTTCAATTAGTATCCATATTTCTTTATTTCTTATTTTTTATTTCCATCTATCACTGTAATGTTTGACGGTAATACCTTTTGCCAGATTAAAAAAAAAAAAAAAAAAAACCCAGCTGTTGTTTATTTGTTTGTATCCTAACAAGTTTTTTCAAACATCCCATAGGAATTTTGTATCATGTCAATTAATTTCAAATGTGCTGGAATTTAATTGTTAATACAACTATTTGTTCATTTTTTATTTTTACAATCCAGGGTTAGGGCTTAAATGGGGGGGGGGTTGTTTTTTCAAGGATTTTCTACTTTTCACATTTTAATGTCCCATAAATTGCTTGGTAATTAATTAGTAATATTTTCTTTGGTCCCACTAATGCAAGTTATTTAACAATTCCACTATGAAAATCCTCAAAAAAAAAAAAAATAAAAGCCATTCAATTTTTTTTTCAAGAATTTTAATTTTTTTAATTTTTTTTTAATGAAAACTAGTTAACCATACTGACAATCTTTAAAGCGGTAACAATGAGCTGATAATGGGTATTATGAATATTGTCACCAAAGGTTAAAAAAAAAAAATGAGGAAAGAATATCCCGGAATAATGGAACCTTTTTTTTTTATTGTTATTATTATTATTATTATTATTATTATTAAAAAAGGTCACTTGTAGCGGATTGTTCTAATCACATTGAAATACTGCTGCCTAGTACAAGCAGCATGATATGCAGTTTCTAGAGGTCATTTACTTATCGACCAATTAGATGATCATCCCATTTTTTAGATTGCTATTTCTTTTTTTAATTTTATTTTTTATTTTCTTTTATCATATTACAAACTTTGAATGTTGAAGCGGTTAGCATAGTAAGTATACCTATTTGAGACCTTACAAAAAAAAGGGCTTGATATTCATGAAAAATTTCACTCATATTCACTTTTATTTTGAAATATTCATTAAAACTTTTCAAAAACTTTTTAATTTTTTTTTTTTTCATTTTTCACTTAAGAAAAATCATAATTATAAAGCTTTATAAAACTTTATGAATTTTCTTGGCTTCTAATAAACCAAGACAGTTTATTTTAACTCTCGCTTCAAATAAAAAAAAATTAAACTGGAAAATTCTTAGAATTTGATAAACTTGTAGATAATCTATAAGTTTATTAAAAAATTTTAAATAATATTCAACTCTACAATCCACATTTTTTTTTTTTTTTTGATTTTATATTTTTTTTTCAATCTTCAAGTGAAAAAAACCCCGCACGTAGATTTTTTTTGTCTAGCTCACTCACTCATCTATATATTCCATTATATTCTCTCGTTTAGCATTGTTAAGATATGCATTATCTTTTTTTTCTTCTTCTTCCGTCCTACATTCGGCAAAAAAATAAACTATAAGCATCGGAGGTTTTTTTTTTATTTTTTTTTACTTTTTTTTTTAAATAAATTTGATTCATGTCTCTAACTTCTGTTTGAAATTATATAAAGTCTTTTCAAATAGTAAGAGCTTTGATATCGCTTGAAATGCTTTAAGTTCATAGAAAGCACAGCGACAAGGAGTAGGATAGAAGCTTTATTGTCAATTTCTGTAAACAAAGAAGCAGAGAAAAAAAGAGGGAAAAACATCAGTCTGTTTTTAAGTCCATTAAGTTAAGTCTTGTAGTTTGGAATAAATATATATTTAAAACTCGTCAGAAAATCTGTGGCTTAGACATTCAAGTTTTGCAAGAAGATTATTTACAGCTTTAAAAAGTGTTATTCAAATTTTCCATTAATTTTGTTTTTTGATGGAAAAACAGTTTGATTGATTTCATCAAAATTCACAATTCATAATTTACAATTCACAATTCATAATTCACAATTCATAATTCATAATTTACAATTCATAATTTACAATTTACAATTCACAATTAACAATTCACTAGTCTACAATCTATTTTTTTTCTTCTTTCTAACGATACATTTTTACTGCTTTTCATGAGCATCGGCCCATTCCCATAAAGAGTACGCAAACTTCCCTGCACCAAAGTCATCATATCCCTCTTCCTCCTCATACTCAATCCGACACAATCCTGCCTTAACCAGCAATCCATACAAGTCTGTACGCAGATCGTCGAACCCGCGGCGTAGCGGCAGCTGAAGAACTAGTTTGGAGCCAGGTTCTCTCGAAAGAAACGCGGCAATGGTACGCACCACCATGGCTGGGTGTTGTGGCGAGTAGATGGGATCTGATACAAGAACTGTTTTGAAAGACTGTGGCTTGTGTGTCTGTAAAAACTCAGAAGGATCCGACCAGTCGAGGGGTTGTGCAGGAGGCGAGAAACTGGGATCTGTGGGGGACAATATTATTCCTGAAAGCATGTTTTGGTCAATGTTGGCACGAAGATTGGGCATGATTTCTGGCAAATCGGTAAGCGTAACAGGCAGTCCAAGACGTGCAGCTACAAGACCTACAAGCCCAGTACCGGTACCTAGTTCGAGGGCTGGACCTGCAAGTTTTAGTTTAGATTGAGGGAGAAGTGCATCGCGAACAAGTCGTCGTGCAAGGATATAAGATGACCCCCAAGTTTTGAGTCCAAGCAGGTCTTCTGTTAGACTCGGCTCAATGAGCTGGATATCCACATCTGTATTTTTTTCAGTGTCTGAGATCTTGCCAAGTTTGATAAGTGCTTCCCGCATACCATCAATCTGAATTCTCCGCGTGATTGTGGGCGCCGCTGTACGTCCGCACCGTTCAGCCATGAGCGTGCTAGCCTGGTCCCAGATCTCTTCCCGCAAATTAGAGTCATCGATCCATTGTAGTGGAGATGCTACGAGCCCAGTCAACCAGTCAAAGAACCCAGTTCCCGGAGCTGCACACAAACCTTCAGTACCGTCGTCTTCATCGGCCGGCGTTGGTCCGGAGAAATTGGTTTGCTGAGATGCCCGAGAAAACTGTCCAAGGATTTTGAAAAGCTCTTCAGCGCTAGGACGGGAGTATAACTGCGGCAAGTCAAGTGGGCTTATGATTTGTACAGGTTCGTCATTCTCAGCCATGGTTTAATTAAATAAAGTCTGTGGGGAATATTTTTTTTTTTTTTAAGTTGTTGTTGTTGTTTTTTTTTATCACAACTCAAAAATTTTAAAAAAAATCTCCACAACTTACCCGCCCTTTTCATCCACATTTTTTTTTTCTATTTGGCCAAACTTATAAAGTTGAAAAAGTTGAAAAAGTTGAAAAAGTTGAAAAAAAGTTGAATACACAAAAGTTGAATAATTCTATTCTATTTTATTTACTTTATTATATTACGAAAGGTAGGAGGAATGAAAAAAAAACCTAGCTTAAGAGCTCGCTTTGGAAATGCTATCGCGATGGGCGTTGCCATTCTGTTTACCGGTTTTCCCCGTACGTTTTGCTTGCCTACGCTTGGCCTCCTCGTCAAGTTGCTCTTGGTAAATTCGTGCGCACCCGTAATGTATGGCCGTACCATCTGGGAACACGCTAATGACCGAGTGTCCAAGTCGCTTAAGACATATACGACACGTGCGCAGCGAAGTGATGGTTGTTGTATGCTTTTGCTGTGTCGCTAAGAGCTCTTCTTGAACTTTGACAAGATGAACTTTACGCAGAGCAGCATCTACTTGTGCACCGTTCCATGCTGCACGTAGGCCCCGAATTTGCGACGTAAGGAAAACAGCAATATCGTGGATCTTTGTATCCTCGGGTAATCGGTTGATAATTTCAACTACAGACATACGCGAGCCCTGTGTAGCGAGAAGGTCCAGCGCAAGATCTAAGCGCTGCTTCTCTGAACCACCAACTGACTCTGGAGGGGTAAGGTAAAGTGAAATGAGTGTATGAAGTGCGCGGCGACCAAGCTCTGCGTCTGCATCATACACCTCACCACAAAATGCGTGGGCCTTGGCATCATCCTTGAGCTCGAATGTGTAAATCATGAGCGCTGTACGCGCATCTCCCTGTTTGCCGTAGAGAATAGCTTTAATTTCAAGTTGTTGCGGCGTACAATCGCTATTTTTTGCTGGTAAAGAAAGCAGGACTTTAGAAAGCTTGTATTTTGAATCGGGAGGTTTCAGGAAACTAACAAGTTTATCAAAGTTGTCAGTGTCTGAAAGGGATTTGATGTAGTTTATGGCCAGCGCTGTATGGAAAGCATTGTTTTGCTCCTTTTTATCAAATATAACATGCTCCAGGTACTTGATTGTAAGCGCACGCGAAGTGTCTTCGAGGTACGCCAGCACCTTTTCTCTATCTAAGGACTCGCTCTCAGATGAGTCCTCCAAAAAGATGTCCTCGCCAAACGTCGCGTTAAACTCAAGCGGCCATTTGGCAAACTCGAAAATCAGGTCCAGGTATTTGTTATCCAAGCGTTGGAGATACCTCACGGTTGGTTCTGGGCCCTTGAGGTAATCTGGCGTGGCAGTTACTGCAGTGGTCGTTGTAGAAGGTTTAGAAAGTTCACGAAGAAGCTCCAGAGCCTCTCTATGGAATGCTTTGCCAAAGTAAAAGTCAATAAGATCTTTCCATTTACCGTAATGTGATAATACTGGGCGTACAATAGCTGGGTCACAGTGGTTATGGATGCGTAACAGTGGACCAATTAGTGCAGGGCTCTGAATGACATAACATTTGAACATGGTAGTATCAACAAGACTGGCTGTTTTGTCAAGATCGCCACCATAAGTTTCTGCAGTTAGGCGCTGCCCACTGCTATCAACAGGATCATCTGCAGTTGTGATGAGTGCTATTTTGCGTCTCGTATCTGCAAGAAAATTGACAAGGGCACGCAGCGCCACCGAAAGCTCCTTTTCAGACCACGAGTTGTCGCCAGAAGATGCAGATGACGAAGAGGTTGGCGAAGAAACACTTTCAGAAGGAGATGACGGGGGGCCAAGTGAGTCTGTATGAGACAGCTGACGGGTGCCTGGCATACCTACTGTCCGTTTCCCACCTTTGATTTGTGATTTTGAAGATATCGAAGAAGATGAAGAAGATGAAAGGGTTCGCGACTGGAGCATTCGCGAGTTGGGGACTGAATCTGTATATCGAATAAGATCCTCACCGGAACCAGAAATTTGTGCCGGGAACAACTCAACGACTGTTTTTGGGTCTGCAGAAACACTGGAAAAAAGAGCAAGAGCTGGTTCAAACTTTTTCTTCTTGAGCATGTCAATAGCTTTTAAGGTTTTAAATTTTCGAAGCAAGTCTTCGCGATTAGAGATATATGCAGAATCGACATGCTCTAGTAAACTAATTGCTTCTTCAAGAAGGGCCTTGTCTGCCAGAGCTTGAACTGTAGTGCGTAGATCCACAGGTTGGAACCGAAAGACTTGGTTTTGAGTAGCCACGCAGGTGAACTTGCCGCATGTCAATGCCTTGACACCTGGGATTTCGACTGTTTGTAGCAGTGAGGTAGTATATGGGTTACGCAGTTCAATATGCTTGGGTAGAACACAGAGCAGATAAGGGTAAAGGTATCCAAGGGCTTCTGGAGGTGCAGTCCAATCAGCGATAGCAGGACGATCAAGAATATGGCCGTGTTCATCTACAAATTGAGATGCCGTATCTTTTGCTAAAAATGCAGTGTGATCATCTGGGAGCGCAGTAGCATGAGGGAATGGTGACCTCGATCCAAGACCAATGTATGCTGAGATGCCCACAGATGCAAACGAGTGTGTGTGAGTTCCTGCTGATGAGGGTTCTGGGAGAGCGATGCTAGAGATTTCTGCGGTTGGAATGTCAACAGTGCAATAATCACCGGAACCTAAACCGCATACAAGTCGGTCAGGGTTAAGAAATTCAAGTGATTTTGCGCGGTCGGGCATGTTGATTTCACGAAACTCGGAAAATTCCGAGTCTCGCCACTCGTAGCACACTAGCCGGCGCTTACATGCAACCACAAGCCGCGATACAGTTGTCAAGGGAGGAGGTGGTTTATCTAAAGAGCTGGAATCATCATCACTGTCATCAGGTTTAACACCAAAGGTAATTGCAAATGTTGTTGCACCACGGGTTTTTGATAATGTTTCGTCAAACGCAAGTGTCTCGAGGTCATATACTGATACTACGTTATCGCACAGAGCCACAAGTACCCCAGCATCGCGGAGAACACCAAGTCGATCAACCCCACCTTTGGGTGCAAAGTCGCGAATTGTTTTGATGAGGGTAACGCGTGGCCGACCGGATGCTAGAGGGTCATCAATGCTGTAGACAAGTAATGTACCGGAGGTCAGTCCGACCAGGAGCTTATCGCTGTAAGCCCTAAGAGCCGAGATTTTAGCACGTTCACCAGAAGGCAGCCCAAGAATGCGTTGGGGTAGCACCGCCTTAACAAGGTCAAGGTCTGTAGGCCGTTGTTGCTGTTGCTGTTGCTGTAGCTGTTGTTGTGATGAAGTGGAAGCAGCCTGTGCATGGTTTGCACGGGTATTAGTGGTAGTTTGGGGATTAGAAGCTGCGTGAGCTTTTGGTATTTCTTGAGAATGCGGCGGAGGCATTGGTATATAGATATATATGAAAAAAGACGGAAGAAAACGAATGAAAAGCGAAACAGATAGAGTAACGCGGTAAAAGTTCAATGGGATGGTGTGAATTGATGAGATTGGAGGTTTTTTTTTTTTTTTTCAAGTTGGAAATTCACTGTGGTGGGAAAGCAAAAAAAAACAAAAAAAAAAAAAGGGTGGTGTAGATTGCTGAGAACAATATATGGCTGCAAGATCACGTGAATAGGGCGTTTATCGTGGTGGAGAGGCTGGGAATTTTTTTTTTTTTTTTTTTTTTTTTAAAATCACCGCCTCCACCACCATTTTATCACCAACAGTTTCTTAAGAAAACCCGACAGAGACCCGATATCTCCGGGACTGACAGAGAGATATTTATTGTGAAGACGTAGCAAAAAAAAAAATAAAATCATATATCAGATATGTCAAACCAATCGCTTACAGCTAAAAAGCTCATCAAACAAGCAGCCATTGGCCAAACTGAGCGTCACGCAACAGCACGAGCTGCTCAAGCACGACTGGCTGCAGATTTGGCCGCAGTCCCGGTAGCTCTTGAGGCCCCGCTAGTTGAACGGATTACAGAAATTCATGCAAACCAGCGTCGGATCTGTGCTCAGGCAGAGCAACTAGATTCAGATGTTGCGGCACTGCGCAAGCTTAACGCTAAATGGCGCAACTTAACAACTTCGACCCGAAACAAGCTTAAGGATTACGGTGATGTACAAAACTGGGCTGAGATTGTGGATCAAGATCTTCGAGTCATTGAGGAAACGATTAAAATTGTACAAACCACAGAATATTGAAATATAAAAAAACTACAAACAAAATGCAAGTCTAAAAAAAAACAGTCTAACTATATATAGTTTATGTGCTTTAAAGCTTGGCCTCAGGTTCCATGAAAATAGCAAGGTCTTCCCATGGAACAGGAGCCTCAGTCAACTGCAATCGTGACTTAAACCAGGAAACTGACTCAATAGTTTGACTCTGAGGACGTTCCTGTGCTTCAAGAGATGTCTGCAACAAAATTTCTTCGGCAGCTTCCTTAATGAAATCCTGCGCAATATCTCCATGACCCTTTTCTTCAAGAGCATCAGCAGCCATCTGAAGAACCTCTTCGGATGACTTACCTTCCGCCTTGGCCAACAACTCAGCAGCCTCAGCAGGATCTAGATTGACATTATACTTAATAGCCAACATGGTAAAAACAGACGCAGTCACCTGTGACAAACCAAAAGTAGGTGGGTTGTGAGCATTAAGACTGAGAATAAGTAGTGAGCGATCTTTAGACTGGGGAGAAATATACTTATAATACAGTTCCAACACCTCGCGTTTAGAAATCTTCTTGAGAATCTCAATGTCATTCTCCTGAACAGAAAAGTGGTAGTATCCAGAAACAATCTGAGCATTGTAGGAGCTGGATTCCTCGTAAAGATTTTTGTACTTTTCCTGTTTTTTAGCAATAAGACTTGTCACATAGGTGTTGAATTCTTCATTAGTATAGTTTTCAATAATTTCTCCTAGACCAATAAGGAATCGATCAACGCGCTGTTTCAGCAAAGAGGTAGTACGTTCACTCTGGACAATAATGCGGAGTCCACAAGATGTGCGGGTAAGACGCATACCACAGAAAACAATGTAGCCCAGTTGCTCGCGGGTACGCAACTGGTTAAAGGCCGGCTCCACAGCCATAGAGGCAAGCAACTCAAGCACAACACGGGTATAAGGATCAGTTAATTTGGCAACCTGAATGAAAAATTCAACCCCCGAGTTGACATTATGTTCATCTTTAGACAAGTAGCTAAATTCAAACTCTGAGCTAGGAGGAAGATAGTAAGAGCGTTGACAAACACTTTGGCTATCAGGAATGGGCTCAGAAACAAGAATTTCCATTGTTTGGTTGGCAATCTCCAAAGCCTCATTCTTGTGCAAGTTGCCAATAGCGACAACTTCAAGGTCGAATCTCTTAAGGACTTGGGGGCCAAACTCGACAACTTCTTCATATGTAACATTTTCCAAAGCATGGAGACGTTCTTCAAGAGTCCAAGTGTTTTCATTTAGCAAGTAGCCAAAATGGGCAATGAACTGGTTATAAGAAACAGCGTACCATTGATTTTTCAATTCTCTAACCAAGCGCTCTTTGCAAGTCTCAAACTTGATGCGGTCAACCTTAAAGTCTTTAAGCTCAAGTAAAATACGCTCCAGAAGAAGGCCAATCTTATTGTTGTATCCCCGTACATGAATCTTAAAACCATCACGCGCAACGGACACGTCGTAAGCAAGACCGGCAAGGTTTGCGTGGTATGCAAATAGTGTTAAATGGTCATCGACAATTCTGAAATAAAGCGAAGACTTGACGTAGTTGGAAGGCGAAGAGTATGTGATAGGAGCCTTGAAATACAAATTCACAGAAGCTTTGGGGGTCCAAAAGGTATCATCCTTTTTATACCACACCTTGACTTGCTTTTGGTTGCGGAGCAAAATGGGGTGCTTAAGAATTTCCACGTTTTCCTTCTTGTCCACGTCAAAGTTTTCTGGGATAAACTCGTTGGGGGTAGGCAGGGCCAAGTCGGGGTTAAGATCAAGACCTTCAAGGTACTTGATAAAATCTGGGTCAAACTTATCGGAGCGGTAGTGGGTCCCATACCACTTTTCTTGCTTGTCAAGACCCTCCAAGGTTTGTGCCACCAACGTGGCTCTAAAGTTGTGTACATTAAAGTAGTCAATGTACTTGCGGGTGAGATTGGGGTCAAACTTTGTAAAAACTGAATAGTCCAAAAGTCTTTCAAGGGGGTAGGGGCGTTGCATTTGAGAGGCAAGCTTTGTAACTGTGGATAAACTGTTCTTCTTGGCAGTATATTTGAAATTGACTTCAGACATGATTTTTTGTTCTTGAAACAGGCGTTCAGAAATGGGAGAAGATTGAAGCAATTTTAAATACTGGAAACAAATAGCAATGATTTCCTTGTAGTTGCTAAGACCCCTTTCAGTCAATGCAATATCAATTTCAGAAAAAGCTTGACCTTCAGAAACTAGACCAGCACCAGAACTTAAAGAACTAGCCCAACCCTTTTCCTTGAGAAGGTTGAGAATAGATCCAGGGCCTTCGTGACCAATGCAAAAGGAAGCGTAGGAAAGAGGTTTTGCTTCGTTAAAAACACTGTCACTTGGGATTGGGAATCGTAGAGAGAGAACTTTCTTTTCCTTGACAGGTTTAGCTTGAATCAGAATGCCCAAGTTTTCATCATCCAAAAATGGTTCTGAGTAGACTATTTCTTTACGATTCTTATTGACAATGGGGGAGAAGAAATCGACTGTCCATTGCTGAAGAGTGTCAAGTGATTCTCTGCCTATCAGAACAAGCTTCATGAGGTTTGCCGAGTAGTGGTTGTCGTAAAACTCGAGAAGACGGTCACGGACGTCAATATTTTTAGAAAGAGGAATTGTTTCCAAAGTCTCAAGGTTACCTGTGCTGTATTTGTGGTAAGGGTGAGCGTGGTTTGAGAAAAAGCGGCTTATTTGATGAAGACGCCAATTGTCATTTTGGAGATTATTTTTGTTTTCCGAGTCTACTGCGCGGATTTCACGGTCCTTGCATGAGGGAGAGAAAAGTGGCGAAATGAAAAACTGGGAAAACCGGTCCAAGGCGCCATTAAAATGCTCGTAACCAACTTCAAAATGGTAGTTGGTTGATTCGGAGCTGGTATAGGCATTGGAATAACCTGAATGTGAAGAAAGATAGGAAGCGTACTCGTTTTCTTTGGGGAATTTTTCAGTACCCATGAAGAGTAAATGTTCACAAAAGTGAGCGAGACCTGGGAGATCTTCTGGGTCAGAAAACGAGCCGACATTGACATCGAGAGCAGCTGCAGCTTTATCAGTTTCTGGGTCGTGGATCAGAAGAGCAAGAAGACCGTTTTCAAGAGTGATGTAGCGGTAATCACGGTCATCCAAAAGAGGCTTATTGGTGAGGGGCGCAGAGGATACGATTGAAGCCGTATGGTCCGAGGTAGATTTGGCTGTAGTTGCAGCGGAAGAAGTTTCAGCCATTGTAGAGATTGATCTGTAAGAAGAAGCAAATGAAAGAAATGACGAAGAAAGCGGTGGCAAATAGTTTGAATGATTGTTGGATTTAAAAGAATGTGAAGAATGTGAAGAGTGGATAGAATGGGAAGTAAAGTTGAAGTAGTTGGTAAGGAGAAGAGAATGGGCTATGCGGGCTATACAGATTTATATTTACACAGAAAAAAAAAAAATAAAAAAATAAAATAAAAAAATAAAAAAATAAAAAAATAAAAAAATAAAAAAATGGGTGTTCAATTTGAAAGTTAGCAAGGGCCTCCATCACGCAGACGATTTCCGCAATTGTTTTCACTCAAACGGGTGTTAGATGAAACAAAAAAGTTACACATTTGGGGAGGTAGGGTAACTTCTTAAGTTTCAAGTTTCAAGTCTTAAAGTTTAAGGTTTAACTTACATCGATAAGCGATTGCGTTAGTGCGAGTGGATTTGCTGTTCGGTTTAGAACGACTAACAGAGGAGGAAGATGGAGAAATTGAAGAAGCAACTACACCAGAAAGAACCAATGCTGCTGAAGGTATAAAAGAAGAAGAAGAAGAAGAAGAAGAAGAAGAAGAAGAAGAAGAAACAGCTGCAACTACAGTGGCCACCAGAGATACCCATAGAGCGGTAGTGATAGTGGTACTGCTACTCAAAATTGGCCGTGTAAAAGAGTTAATAATGGGGTTGTTTAAAAATTTGATAGTTGATGTCTGTTTTGTAAGAGAAAGTATTTTTGGAGCTGCGGACTTTATTATCCCCCCCGATTGGCTCAATAGAAGCTTTGATGTTGAGGATGAAGATAAAGAAGATAAAGAAGATGATGAATGAGAAACTACAACTGTTGAGAATACTGTTGCAGAAGATACAACAGACGCGGCTGCAACAGCTGCAACAGCTAGTATAGCTGCAGAAGCATTAGTTGAAGAATTTAATCTCATTATTATTATAACTATAATTTCAAGATCAAAACGAAACAAGTGGATATGGGGTATTATGTTTATATATATATATATATATATATATTTATTACGATAGGCTCAAGAAGAAAATCTCGGGATTCCGGTACTCTTTTTTTTTTTATTTTTTTATTTTTTTATTTTTTTATTTTTTTATTTTTTTATTTTTTTATTTTTTTATTTTTTTATTTTTTTGGGAAAAGGAGGAAGAAGAAGGATGCGTTTCTTGTTGCTCCAATCCACTAAACTTTATGCTCAACCGCAAACAAGCCAACCCCTCGGAGATTTCAAGCGGACCCACCGAGACGCGGCGCTAAAATGCGGCGACGGCACCGAATGTTAGGAAGGATAGCAACAACAGAAGCAACAATTAAAAGGACTGGCCAATGTTAAGGCGGTTATTGGAGGTTAATAATTACATTATTATTATTATAATTATCACATGTGTTAAAGCCATATATTATATCACATGATAAGCCGTGTCAATTGTCACATGATATATAAGCCGCATATTTTGATCTGCCAAAAAAAAAAATTTCAAATTTCAAATTCCAACAACTTTTTTTTTGTTTTTTGGCACAACCACCAAATATATTTTTACTAACAACATCTGCTAAACTCTCAAATGAACAGACAAAATATAGTACCTACTTTACTAAAAAATACCCGGTTGCCGTTGGCTAGACCATCAAGGATTCTACTTTTTAAATCCCAGTGGTGTATGTGTCGTCCAAGATTCATTTCTATAAATACACATACTGACAATTCCCCACTTCCAGAGCAAATCAACAATACCCGCAACACAAAAAAACAAAGTAACAATACCCCAATAGATGTCCTATCCGAAACTTTACTTAAAGACCCGCTTTCACTCTTACTGTTGCCCAGCACAGACTCAGACATTTATGAAGATAGACTCCCTGGTCCAAATGACGATGTCTGGGTGGGTCTTTCATCTGGTGTCGATAGCAGTACAAGTGTAGCTTTACTAAAAGAGCTATCAGAACGTCAAAAACAAGCATCGTCAGTCCCAGGATCTGGTAAAGTGCGTGGTATATTTATGGCAAACTGGAGTTCAACCGCAAAATGTGCAGAAGCAGACTGGGCAGATGTACAACGCGTATGCAAGACAGTTGGTGTGGAGTGTGAGCGAGTAAGCTTTGAGCGCGAATACTGGCAAGAAGTTTTCGAACCAATGGTAGATATGTATCGCCAAGGAATGACACCTAACCCGGATGTAGGATGCAACAGACACATCAAATTTGGTGTTCTTATCAAGTATCTCAAGGCAAAATATAAAAACAACAACAGTAAGAAATGGTGGCTGGCCACTGGTCACTATGCACGTATTGCAACACACAAACCATCTGGCGAAACACATCTCTTACGCCCAAATCATCTTCCTAAGGATCAATCCTACTACCTTTCTTCCATATCTGCAGATGTTTTCCCTCATATTCTTTTCCCGCTCTCCCATTATACCAAGCCCCAAGTCCGTCAGCTTGCCAAGAGTGTATTCCACCTACCTACTGCTGAAAAACCAGACTCTCAAGGTCTTTGTTTTGTGTCTCAGGAACATAATACGTTCCGTCATTTCCTTGACGAGTACCTCCCACCTGCTCCGGGGGACTTTGTCATCAAAGGCCTTGCAGATGATGGTACTGAAATTAAAACTGTGGTTGGCAAACATAAAGGTATTTGGCATGCAACTGTCGGCCAAAAATCAGGCTTTGCACTTCCACAAGGCCGCCCAGAAACTAAGGGCGTCTGGTACGTCCAAGCGAAAACCCCTGAATCTCGAGAAATCACTCTAGTCCGTGGAAACAACCACCCTTCTCTGTTTTCCAGCTTGGTAAATGTTAACCATTTTGATTTCCTTGGAGGATCCCCACCAAAAGACCTTACAAACCTTCACGTCCAGTATAGATCCCTACAAGCACCGGAACCTGTCAAGTCTCTTGAGTGTAAACAGCAAGGATCATCTAACGATTATTCTCTTGCTGTCGAGTTTGAGTCTCCACGTCGAGCAATTGCTCCAGGACAATACCTTGTGCTATATTCAGGTGATCGAGTATTAGGCTCCGGTATTATTACATCCACCACCCCTATTGCAAACCCCTATTCATAAAGACTATTCTTTTTTATTTATTTGTTTATTTATTTATCCTTCACTGTAAATACATATTTATTCATTGGCGTGATCATCGCCATAGTCCTCCAAACTAAGATTATTTCCATTGTACGTGATGCGGTCTGCCTTTTTGCGCTTGTCGTCACTATCTCCCTCACCAGTCCCGCTGGCCGCAGACGACCCGCTACTTCCAGATCCAGTGCTACTTCCACTAGATGCAGCAGCGGCAGCAGCGGCAGCAGCAGCCTCAGCCACTGCTAAATCATGGAACGATGCCACAGAATTGTATCGTGTTGAAAGTCCCGATGGCGTAGTTGTACCGGAAAATCCAGTAAACCGGCTATGCAGATTGCTGTTGCTTCCATGAGCTTCGTGAATATTTCCATACCGGCGCGTCAAACCGGCAACTGAATCATGTGTATTATGCCCTTCATGGCTACTGTTCTGCGAAATTCCTCCATGGCCTGATCCTTCTTCTCCAAACCGTTCGTCATTCCCGTGTTCAGTACTGTCTCTTTCAGACAACAAATGATCTCCGGCATGCAACGGTTCTTGCTCTGCTTCATTCCCATCGTTTGTATTGGCACCACCATATCCAAGAAACCCAGACAGTGCTCCAAAAACAGATCTCACACCATTCCCAACAAGTGCATAAGGCCTGAATCCACTACCACCGCCTATAGCTCCGCCACCATCTCTTCCGTATGCCGAAGACACGTGGCCACGCACAGGCTTTAGCACCAATGTTGCTGACGGCGTCAGGCCAAGATCTGCAAGTGTACGACCGGTGTCTTCATCACTTTCGTTAAAAGTACGCCGTGCCAGCGGATCGAAAAACGTGTAAGGAGTGTCATTTAAACCAGCTGCAGGGCTTGCTTCAGCATTAACCCAAGAGCGTACAGTTGCCAGGGAGTCGGTTGCTGCAAAGCGGTGCTTCATAGGCTGACCATCAAACAGTCGTATAAGCAAGGCGCAATGAATGCTCCGCGACGCAACCAAAGTCGGTGTTGCTTCAGGTGATGGAGGTATATTTTTAGGTTCCTCTTCATGGTGTAAACTGCGGTTATACGATTCGCGAGATTGGCGTTCTTTGCGATCAGTCTCGAGGAGTTTTCTGATACGGGCGCGCTCATCTAGCTCGTCTCGCTTCTTTTTCTGAAGTGCCTCGCGGTACCGCTGGGCTGATTTCTCCTGTTTATCAATATCGTCATCATGGTTATTTTTATGCGATGATGACGACGACGATGATGGTGTTGATGACGATGATGACGACGATGATGTCAGTTGTGGCGTATTGTTGGCGGCAGCAGGAGCATTAGTTGCGGAACTAGGTGTTGCTGATGCCGTCACGCTCGGAGCGCGACTTGTTTCAACACTAGATAAGGTTGTAGTACTTGAGGTACCGGTATTCGCGGTAGAAGCTGAAGCTGAAGCTGAAACAGTAGCGGTAGATGTAGCAGTAGCAGCAGTAGCGGCAGTAGTACCGGAACTCGAACTACTTCCGGCTCCGGACTGAGTTGCTCTCCGAGTTTCTGCCACTTTGGCCACAGCAACCACACGAGCTGTAAAGTCCGTCAAGTTGGTATTTTCACCCCCACGAAAGATGTCAACCTGTGCTACACCATTATCAATAACAAAGATTGCGGGTAATCCACGGACCTTGAAAATACGAGTGAAATTGAGAAAGTCCTGGGATCCGGCTGCAATGCGGAGGACTACAGCCTGGCCGGACTTAATAAGCTCATGGACCTATTTTAAATGGCAAACACGGCATTATATTAGAAAACAGAAGAAAATAAAAATAAAAAAATAAATTTCATTCAAACTTACCTCTGGAGTCAGAAGATACTCATAAGCCCATGTTGAATCGTTTGTTTTGTCTGTAGTAATTAGAAGAAAAAAAAAAAGTTAGAATGTTTTGTTTCTTTCTCTCAAGGGCACTTGCCGCTTTAGGACTCACCATTGGCAATGACAATGAGCGGTTTGTGTTGCTTCAGAGCCACGGACACTGCATCCGTTACTGATTCCATGACAGGAATACTCGTTGACATTTTATAGATTTTTTTTTTGGTAGTTTCTAGTTGCAAAATGTATTTCTGAAATGAATTTTTTTGAATGTTAAATGTTGAATGTTGAATGTATATATAAATACAAAGAAAAAAAAAAGCTGGGCTTAATATATTTTTATATTTATATATATTTATATTTATATATATATTTTTAATACAGTGAGAGAGGGGGAGGGAAAAGGCAAAATTAAAAGAGAAAAAACAAAAAAAAAACAAAAAAAAAAGGCGCGGGGAAAACATAAATAAAGTTAAATAAAGTTAAACAAAGTTAAATAAATTTAAACAAAGTTAAACAAAGTTAAACAAAGTAATTCACGTGACAGCAACTGTAGCTGACGTAGCATATTCAACTTGAATATATTCAATTCATTATTTATTTATTCACACTTGATATATTTATTATATTTAAAACACAAAAGAAAGAAAGAAAGAAAGAAAAAAAAATCACTAAACATTTCCAATAGCATCTGCAACAAGCTCTGACAGCTGTTCATCCTGTGAGCGCACAGAAACCTTCAAAGTAGAACCATTCTTCGAAGTATAAACCATCCGAACCTGAACAGCAACCTTGCTTCCATCAATTGTCTCACCAAACAGCTTAAGCTGATGCGACGCCAGAGATGTAGGCATATCAGTGCTTTCCAGAGGCATCAATGAAAGCGTGTTAATAGCCAGCTCAGTAGCATTGTTGATAGACATTTCAGGACCAAACTGGAACGTCGAAACAGCCTCAGCGCCAGCCAGCTCATCCCACTGGTGCATGAAATTGCCAACATACTTGGGAATCAAGTAGTCGCCAACAGTGAATTCCAGGTCCTCCGTGCTGTAAACATCTTCAAAGCCCTCATCTTCGGGCTCGCCTGTCGAGGGATCAATCTCCTTATAGATAAAGCGGAGAGAATTCTCAATAGAAAAGATAGCAAACTCCTCAGAGGGTCTTTGGCCAGACACATACACAGTGCCTGTCTCGTTGTGACCAAGCTTCTTAAGAGGAATGACAAAATCGCTCTCAAAGTCACCGGCAATATCAACAACAACATCTTCCAGAACAGCTTCAATGGTATTAGTCACTTCATATTGAATGACAATGTGGTTCTTGAACATATGCTTGACAGCCTTAACAACATATTCAAGACCGCTTTCGGTAAGAGAAACAGGCTTGCTTGTCTTAAGAATGGGACCGTGGTCCTTAAAGGCATCAATACTAGCAAGAGCTGCAGCATATTCGCTAGCCTTGTCTTGAACAAGCTCACGTTCAACACGAAGTTTCTCACCAGAACTGTCGCCAGATTCAGCACCAGCAGCAGAAGCCTTAGGCTTTTCGCCAGTTTCACCCAAGAGAGCCTTGTTGCGAGCCTCCAAAGCAATAGAACGAGACTGCTCAAGAGTAACACGGGGGACAGTGTTAATATCAAAGGGCTTGAGGAAAACACTCTTATCGCTGCTCGACAAGTATTGAGTGAGTTCACGCTCAAATTGAGCAGGAGAAAAGACAGTCTGAGGGGTAATGTACTCCTTGGCCTCAGCCTCGTCAAGCTCAATAAATCTCAAAGCAAGGGCAGCTCTGTCGCGCACCTCATCTGTGACATCATCAAGACACCGGGTCAAGAGGACCTTGATGCTCTTGCGGACCTTAAGGTCATCCACCACAGCAAACTTGGAAAGAGCAGTAACAGCAGCCGAACGAATGACGGCGTTTTCCAGAACAACACGGTTGTAAATATAGCGAATGTACTTGGTAGGCTGGGAGGTAGAAGGACCAGCAGAACCAAGCATATGGAGAATGCGGACCGAAAGCTCAGCAAACTCGCAGTCTTCGACAAGCTCACTTAGGTGTCCAAGGGCAGGCTCCTTAGCAGCAGGAATGCAGCGAATCATATCAAAAAGAGCTTCCACAACTGCAGTCTTGTACTCGAGGCCACCTTCGTCGCGAAGACCGCTGGACAAAAAGGTGAGCATGCGGGGGTGTTTCTGGGGGAACTTGAGGGCCAAGTTGCGAATGGCATCAACAACAATGATCTTAAACTCGTCGGAAATTTCATTCATGAAACCAGAAATCTTAGACATGAGGCGATCAACGCTGGATTCATCACCAGTCTTGAGAAGAGTGGTGATGGCATAAGTAGCAATAGCACGGCTGCTGGAACTGATGAGAGGTTCAAGCTCAGGGTTGCACTCGCTAGCCTCAACGGGGAAATCAAGAGCAAAGCGGTTGAGAACGCGAATAACAGCAAACTGGGTAGAGTTGCGGGGGAAAGCCAAAAGCTTGCGCACAATGGCAAGAGTCTTGTGAAGAACATCAGGATCAGCTTGAGGATTGCGCTGTTGAAGAATGATCTTAACGGCTTCAACAACAACCATGTCAGAAGAAGCAGTCAAGTAAGACACAACAATGGGTAACAGTGACTGAACAAGACCCTTATCTTCTTCCATAATCTTGCCAATGAGACGGAGCAACATGACAATGGCATTGGGGTTCTTGACGGGTGAATTGGGGGATGTCAGTTGCTGAATCATGCGCATGACAGCCATTTTATCGTGAGATCGCAATTGGTATAAAAGGCCAATGGCGTGGTACTGGTACATGGTGGAAGATGCATAGGCAGTGGGTCCATTGTTAGAACTGCCACCGAAAAACCCTGAAGAGCTCGAAGATCCTTGAAGAGCTTCTTGAACATCGTTGGCCCACTTGCGTACCACGTCGCGAGCAATTGGGGTGAGATGGTAAGTTGACACGAGAGCAGCCGAAGAAACGCTTGTTTGCTTATCGGCAATGGCAGTACGAATAAGACGTTCAATCGACTGAACAGTAGAAGAGTCGATAATGTGAATGAGGGCACGAATAGCATTGGGCTTGTAGATTGCATCGCTGGAAGACTGAATATCCTTCATAATAGAAGAGGTGACCATAATGACGTCGTTTGCCGTAGGGGCCAGCTCCTTGATGGCAACATAGACCATCTGACGAAGCGAAGGATCCTTGTGCTGGAAAAGCTTTGTGATGGAAAAGAAAAGGGAAGTGGACTCTTCAGGTGGGAAAACCTCGCCCATATGGATAAGCCTGACAAGCTTTGTGAGCAAGGTCCGGCACTTTTTTGACTGAATGGGCGATGCATTGAACCCAGAGATACACTCCTGGAAGACAGTCATCTTATCCAGCGAGCCGGACTCAATGTCGTCGTTCTTCTTATATGTGAGGGTGGACATTTTTGAAGAAGAACCAGGGGGGTAAGGGGGGTTGTGTTGGTGGTTTTGTTGTTTGTGTGTGTGAAAAGAATGTTTTTGTGGTGGTGGTGGTGGTGATAATAAAAAAAAATATCAGAACGTGCTGTGCTGTCAAAAGGAGGTTAGGAGGTTTTGGCAAGGTTACACACACACATACATACATATAATAATTAAATAAAATAAAATATAAATATAATAAATAAATATTTTACAAACAAACAAAAGGTTCCACGTATACGGTTACAGCCAAAAAAAAATTGTGTAACAACAAAAGTGTAATTGTAACAACCCTGAATTTTTCAAGGAGAAGCGGCTGCTTTTGATTTTTTTTTTACTTAACAAATTTAAATATAACAAAAAAATTTAATTAAGAATAAATTTAATTGAAAATAAATTAAAATTGTTAATTAAATATAATTTTAATATTAAAAAAAAATTGTTTGTTTGTTTTTATTCAAGGGTTATTAAAAAAAAAATTATTTGTAGAAAATTACTTTTGTAGAATTTTACACTTTTATAAACTCTGGATATCGCTTTTTTCAACTGCCCGTATGGCACAATGGTAGCGCGTCGGATTGCAGATCCTAAGGTTATCGGTTCGATCCCGATTGCGGGCTTTTTTTTTTTGTTTTTATAAAAAAAATATTTTTTTTATTATTTTTTTTTTTTTGAAAATATACTTACAATATCCTTGTAAGGGTATATATATATATATATAATCTTTTAAAATAAATTTTCCAGAATAAGGAATAAAAGAAATGAAAATATCAAAAGTACTAATATCAAACAAAATGTGATGGAATTTATTAGAATGATTCAAAACTTATAAATATTTAGTTCTTTTTTTTTTCTTGACCAATTACCAATTATTGCTTGAATTTCACCAAGTACTCAACAAGCACCTTTATTATTATTATTTTTTTTATTTATAAAGCATCTTAATACCTTTTATTTATACCTCTATATACCCATCAAAACTTATTTTTATTATCATATTGGTACCAAGATTAACTTCAATTTTAATACCTTTAATACCCTTGTACATAAAAGTATTGTTAATATACTTACAAAAATACCGTTATAACCATGTAATAACCATAAGATACCCTAATAATACCAAATAACATATATTTTTTATACCTCTTTTATACCATATCAATAATATATATTTTCTCTTAGTTACTTCTCTAATATATGATGGCGGTGAAGGTGGAGGTTGGAGGCATTTACAGCAAAAACACATATGTATAAGTATACACTTATGTATAATCTTTAATTTTTAAACAAATGAAATTTCAATGTTAAAGTGACTTTGATCTTTTAAAATTTTTAATTTTGTGTTAATATTCAAAATGTTATTTAGCTAATGAAGTATGTTTTTTAGGTGGTCTAGCTTTCGGCCTGCAAGTAAACAATATATATATATATATAGTTTATAAAAAATATAATTATTAATTAATTAAAAAAAATTACAATGTTAATCCAGTATTTCCACACTGGAATCTGAGTCTATATCTACAACTTGGTATTGAGTGGTTGGTATAGAATTCTGCTTTTTCTCCATAACATGCATATTTCGCATCTTTTCTCTCTGTTTTCGTATCAAGTCCTCATGCTCCTTTTTTTTCTGAAAATATTCAAGTTTTCTTCGTTTTATTTGCTCTTCATGTTTCTCCTGTTGCTCTTTCTGTTCAAGTTCAAGCTTCTCTTGTTGTATACGATGTTGTTTTTCTTCTTCAGGCGAAATTTTAGCTGCTACGCTTTCTAGCTTACGATAAAATGCCACCACTTTAGGATCAACTGTGACCTTTGTAGGGTTGTAGTTTAAGACTTCAAGGGATTTTGTCGATGTTGCGCGGGAAATTGCAACATAAGCATGACCATTTTCAAAAATATTAGCAAGATCAACACGAACTCTGGGAAGGGTTTGACCCTGGGATTTGTGAATTGACATAGCCCAGGCATAGATCAATGGAACTTGGATTCTGCTTGCTTTGAGATGTTCCTTATCTTCTTCAAAATCTAATTCTGATGGATCCGAAGTTGGGTTATCTTCGATTGTTCTAAAATTATCATCTGACTTTCCGGGTTTACCACCAATATTGATTGAAGCCTCAAATGGTTTTAAATGATAAATCAAATGGGTTGATCCTAAGGTATCCAAAGAAAAGTCAATAACTGGTAACGGATCCTTCTTATCCACAACTTTTGTACATTGAACACGGATTTCAGAATTCCCCTTATTATATTTTGTTTCTTCTTCTGCTTGATAATTGTGAACAAGTTGTTGAAATTGTAGAGAAGTTTTATTAATATCCCTCTTGACAGCTTCGGAACAAACCTTTTCAAAGCCATCTTCTGTTAAAAACCCAATAATACGGCCCAAAATTCCGTTAGCCAATCTTGAATCATTTATGTTCCTGATGAGCATTACTTGGCAATTCTTCCGCAACTCTATTTGTTTGCCAACAATTTCGTCCAACTGCTTGTTTATTTGGGCTGCCTTACCAGGAGGAACATAATATGGCATAGAGTCGGCACTGAGATACACATATCGTTTGCCACTAAGCTCTGCTAGTTGTTTGAAATTGTACTGTTGTACCCGATTCCGTGTTGCGTAGAGCATCGTTGGTAATATTCCATCCTTATAAGCCACAGGTCTATCTAAAGATTTAAGTCTGGCATTCATCTTGTCTGTCAACTGACCTAAACGCATGGAATTTAAAATTTCAATAAACTCGTCATCTCCCTTTTGACGGAAAACTTGCTGAAGTACAATACACCGTTTGATTGTTTGACGCCATGCTTCTGATTCAAAACAATAAACACGAGGTTTAGAAATAAAAGCATTTCCATTTTCGGGCATATATTTGTCTGGTACTGGTGGTAACTGGAAAAAGTCACCGGTGCAAATAACTTGAATTCCTCCAAATGGGTTTTGATCTTTTCTAATGCTTCGTGCAATATATTCAAGTTTAGTGAAAAGAGCAGCGTCAACCATTGACACCTCATCAATAACCAGTATTGAAGTTGACTTCCAACGTTGGCAGGTTGCATCATTTTTGCGAATTTTCTTAAGAAGTTCTTTTGCATCTTCCTTAGCCAAACCAACGCCTGCAAAACTGTGGAGTGTGATACCACCGATATTGACGGCCGCCATTCCTGTGGAACTTGTGACAGCCACACTCTTATTCATGCTTTCTAAGCGGGCAATAAGAGAACGGAGAAGAAGAGATTTGCCAGTACCTGCTGCACCTGTGTAAAATAAAGAATAACCTTGAAGAGCTATATCAATAACTAACTGCTGTTCTTTGCTAAGTCGAATAGATTTGTCAACATTTTTGTGAGCTGGAGAATGTATAGTTTGAGAAGATTTAGGCTGCAAAAATTCATCATTTGAAAATTGATCTATTTGATTGAACGACTCTGGAAAAGATAATTTCCTTTTAGGTTGAGAATTTGATGGTGATTTGAAGGTAGTTTGATGGACTTGTTGTTTAACAATAGGCGGGTTGTAGTTGTAGTTACTCTTGGCTTGGTTATTTGGATGAGGAGTCTTTGAATAGGAAATCTCAACTAAGTCATCATCACTTGAATCATCAGTTGGCTCAGTCTTATGTATTTTGCTTGATAAATGTCCATTTTTAGGTGGCCGGGATTGAAAGTTTAATGTTGATTGGTAACTATTTTTTTTCAACACATTCTTTTGATATCCATTGGGGTTTCCGTTGGGCTGAGAAGACATTATTATTGATTGTCATGATGTTTTTTTTTACATTGGTGGTGATGAAGAAAGTAAACAAACAAACAAAAAAAACATTTTAGGAGAGTAATTTTAATTTTGTATTCTAAATCTACTAAAACAAAACAAAACAAAACAAAAAAATTATAACGCCGATTGACGTCAACACCAAACTCAAAAAATAGGACTACAATTAGACGTTAAAGCTTTGAAAATTCTACAAGTTAAAACTATATAATTTTAATTAGATGTTAAGCTAAAGTAAGGATTACACATTAAAATACCAAAAAAAAATATATATATTTATCAATTTCAACACTAGAATACTTCACTCAATGCCATATTTAATCCCCATATGAAGTACTTTTTCAATGCTTTTGCTTTTTCAATTCCATATTTAACATTGATAGCGGTGCTGGATGTTTCATTAAGTTTTTTTTCTTACCGCCAAAATCTTTCAATGACGTATTTTTATTGACTTTTAAATATGTGTTTACTGGTTCCAATGTGTTGTAAAACTCTACCACCTTGGGGTCCACAGTAACTTTTGAAGGCTGAAAATTTAAAATCTGAAGTGTTTTGGTAGATGTTGCACGAGAAATAGCCACATATGCATGTCCGTTTTCAAAAATGTCTGCAAGATCAATGCGCACTCGAGGAAGAGTTTGACCTTGAGCTTTGTAAATTGACATTGCCCATCCATAAATTAAGGGCAACTGGCTACGAGAAGCATCTTCTTTATATTTTGGCTTCATTTGAAAAAAATCGTTAAGAGTTTGTGTTTTTTGTTTACTAGAAAGACGTGGCAGTTGAAACGATTCAGACGCATCTTTTTGACTATTGTTTAGAGAACTACCTCCAGATAAATTGATGGAGTTTATAACCCGAGTAATGATGCATGTCAAGTGATTCAATCCAAGAGTGTCTAAAGAAAAGTCAATGACAGGATAAGGGGTATCATGTAATGAGCTGTTAATATGTTTTATATTTGACTTAGGGGTATCATTTTTCTCGTCCTCTTGTTTTTCTTTTTTAAGTTGAAGTTCAGTGATCATTTTGTGGAACTGAGGGCAATTTATAGAAATTTGTTTTTCTAATGCCTCCACTTGAAGGGCTTCAAAATCATCTGTAGTAAGGAAACCAATTACACGGCCCAAGATTCCATTAACTAACGAATTATTTCCTGTCATATTTCGTGACAACATTACTTGGCAACCCTGTCGCAATTCTATGACCCTGAATGCTGTTTCGTCTAGCCGCTTATTTATCAAATCTATGGGAATCTCGTTGCGGTTTATTGTGTCTGAAGCAACATAAACGTAGCTTTTACCTTTAAGGAATTTAAGTTGTTTTTGGTTGTATGCTTGAACACGATTACGAGTGGCGTAAAGAGCAGTTGGCTTTATTCCATCTTTGTAATCCACAGTTCTTTGAAGGGAATTTAGTTTGGTAATCATTTCTGGGGTCAAATTCCCCAAGCGCATGGAATTAAGAAGGGTAATAAATTCATCGTCACCTTTCTGGCGGAAATTTTGCTTAAGAACAATGTTGTATTTGATGGTCTGACGCCATGCTTCGGTATCAAAGCAATATATCCGTGGTTTTGCTACTAAATCGACGAAGTGACTATTTTTAGAGATGATTTTTTCAGCGACGGGAGGTAATTGCAAAAAGTCCCCAGTACAAATAAGTTGCATGTTTCCAAAAGGCTAATTATTTTTCCTTATGGAGCATGCAATGTATTCAATTTTGGTAAAAAGATTACCATCGACCATGGATATTTCGTCAATGATAAGTACTGAAGTGTTGACCCAACGGAAACAGGAACTTTTATTTTTTTAATCTTTTTGACAAGTATATTTGCATCTTCTTTGCCCAATCCGATACCTGCAAATTTGTGTATAGTGATGCCACCAATGTTAAGGGCAGCTAAACCAGTAGAGCTTGTGACGGCTACTACACAGCCCTTTTCTTTTAAATCTTGAATGAGATGTTTAAGAAGCAGAGATTTGCCAGTACCAGCAGCACCAGTGTAGAAAATAGAGTGACCATTAAGGGCAAGATCGATAATGTATTTTTGTTCGTCGCTTAGAACAATTGGGGCGGTGACAGTGGGTTCCGTTGGAAGAGATTTGATAGTTGTTGTATCGATCAGTTCGGGTTTTGAAGTGGGTTTTGAAGTGGGTTGTTTAGTGGAGTCACTTTGTGTTACTAAGAGGGTCGCGTCGTCATCGTCTTTAAAGGGGTCTTCATCGCCAAAGCACTCATCCCAAAGATCGTTGACAGATTCATTAAACTGAGAAGACATGTTTTTTTTTAATTATTTTTTTATTTTTTAGAGTATTAGGTATTAATGAGAGAGCTTAACTGAACGTTATAAAATTTTAAATAGACTAGGAAAGTATTGTATGTTAAAAAGTAGTTTTTTAGATTTTGAAACACAAAATCGTTTTAAAAATCATTATTTCGAGGTTTAGGGCAAAATTAAAATAATTATTAGTTAATTTAATTTAATTTAATTTAATTTAAAAATCAAAATAACAACATATTTAAAAATCATGATTAAAATTAATAATTATTTTGAAAGTACTCTCCAAGAAAGGGGACACTTGGAAACAAAACAAGTAACTTCTTTAAGCCGAATAAAAATAGTATTTAATAAAACAAGTGGCTTATTTTTCCTTTTATTAACTTTAATGTCAATGTTAAATATTTTCTAATATTTATATGAATGATAATAGAATGAACGAATTTATTAGTGTATAACAAGTCACGTGGCAATCTGGCCGAGTTGGTCTAAGGCGTAGGATTAAGGTTCCTATCTCTTCGGAGGCGAGGGTTCGAATCCCTCGGTTGTCATTAACTTTTTTTTCATTATAACCAGTCGTTTTAAATAAAAAAGCTTTAGCTGAGAGTGTATTCCTTTTCTATTATAATTCTATTTCACGGTAAGTCCAAAAATGCCATTTTAGAAAATTTTTGTTGATGTTGTGTTATCTGTTAAAGAGATTAGAGGTGAAAGTACGAGTTGTTGAAGTTAACAAAACGAATTTGGACGTCACGTTTTTTTTCTGTAAAAATGTAATCGAAATCTCTTAAATCTTATTGTTTAGATGAAAGGAAAAAGTTTGGAAAAAATTTAAAGTCACAAAACATAGAAATCTCTTTCTTAACATTTTTCAAAACAACGACAAATTTCTATTCTGTTTAAAAAATTAGGAAAAAACAACAATATCAAAAAAAAAAATATGTCTCAGCTTTCTTAATTTTGAGGAATTTCAGTTTCATTGATAAAATCTGTTTTGTTCAACGTTCACAACGTTCACAACAACAACAACAACAACAAAATCCCATTTTATTATCGTCAACACAACAGCCACACCATCTTTTTTCTCACTTAAGTTAAATCAACAAAACGTCGAAAAATACTTTCTTTTTTTTTTTTAACATTGACAACCACCACCAAATCCCACTTTCTATTTCGTCAACAAAACAACTTCACCACCCTTTTCTGAGTGATGTCAAGGTTATCAGTGATGCCACACCAATATATGGTTTCTCAATTTAAAAAATCTACTTCCATTTGACGCTTTGCCAGTGTTTAGAAAAACCATTTGCAACTCCAAATGAATTTCCCATGTATCTAAAAGGACTTTTATTATCTGATAAAAATTATTATTAAATATATTATATGCCGATCTATTTAAATGTTCATATATGGTTTACACACGTTATTAAAATCCTCCTCGTCTTCATACTCTTCTGTTCTTACAACTTTACCGTCTTTTGTCCGGTATTCTTCCACAAATGATGGATCAATAACTATAGAAAGATCGCCATCATTAATAAACCAAACTGGACATATGATGTCCCTTGCAAGTACCAAATGGCTATCAGTCACAAAAAAGCTTTCAGGGTTGGTGATGAATTCTTTCTTGTCAATATAATAGCCAATTGTCGTATATCCAATATTGTTACTATCGTTAAAAAATTTCATCGCGTAATTGCGGGGTATAACAACACCCGGCAGAAACCTCCTCACCAAGACAAATTGTCCCGAAACCCCGTGTCCCAAGAAGTCTATTTCAATAATATCGTCAATAATGACGTGATAAGATGAATTGTCTTTATCTCTTACACGTGCATATTGTTTAATGCAAGCATTCAAATGCCTCTGAAAAAAATTAATTTTTTCATAAAATTTGATTGTGATGCTGATGCTGCTGTTGCCCGAAGCTCCACCTGATAGAAATTCAAAAATTTTCTCTTCAATGATAAGCTTTTTGATATTTTTAACTGTCTTATCACGTATGATTTTGCCGTCGTCAGATCCCGGTTCGCCCAAAGGTTCCATCATTTTTCTAGAGCCCACAGACCAAGTATACTTTGCTGGACTAAGATTTTCAATTATCGATTCAAAAGCATATCGATGAGAAAGAGTTAAAAAAGGTGCCTTTCCTGGGTTTATTTGACACCTTAATAAATGGAAAGCTCTTTTAGTAGGGAAGCCCCATATCCCCTTAAGTGGACCTACCTCTCGAATAGCTTTAATAATATGACGCAGCGTATGTATTGGTGAAGTCAGGAAAGTTAGATTTTTAGCGTCCTTCAGATATACTTCCTCAAAAAACCATAAATAATTTTCCATTCCATTTTCAAGTCTTTTTAATACATTTTCAGAAAATTTAGGTAGAGAGAGCAATCGAAGAAGTTGCACCAGCTCAGTAACAAGATATAAATAATCAATATCTTTATAATTTGACTTCATAACAATACCAAATAAAAAAGAAAGGATCTTTTTGGTTTGGTGTGCCCTAAGCTTAGCTGGTTTAGAGGTTCTAACTCCTTCAGTTATATCTGCCATATTGAACTTCTTTTCAACAAAACTGTAGCTAATATTATTGAAACTCTCCAAAAATTTGACAATTGATTCCTGTGCTTCAGACTTGTAAATATCTGGGCCATCTTTACCATAAAATATATTATTGATAATTTTAGTCGCAATGTTTGGATACAACAAATGCATTAAATCAGGCGGAAACGACATATCAGGCACCATTGAACCCAAACAAAATATGGTCGAGATTCTGCTTAAGCCTTGTTTAGTGAACTGCGAGTGGTTTGAAACCAAGTTGGTTGGATTCTTCAAAATGTCCTTAAATATAGTATTATACCACTCAATGTCGCGAGCTTTTGAGTTTCGATATGCATGGGGTTTGGGAAGAAGTTGATTTCTATGACGGTATGTCGCCAAACCTTTTATTCTTTTATGGACTTTTCCACTATAGGGTCCTAGTCCTCTCCATCGTTGGTTAAATTTTTTTTGAACTTTCAAATAATGGATCTGATGATTCTGATCTATGTACCACAGATTCCCCTTGTGGAAAAACTATTGCTGCCATCTTCTTTTGAAGGCAGTAATGGCAAGGATAATCTGAAGTATGTCCACTTAACCCTGACAACTCACAGCTAGCCGGCATATCTGCAACTGATAAAACAAAATGGTGCCTGACGGTTTTAAAAACCCCCTATGTCCTCATCATAAACAGTATATCCCAAAGTGCTGGCTAATGCACTGTCCTTAATAAATGGGTAAAAAAATGAATCCCAATCTTTTACTGCTGATTTTTCTTTTTTAGCAGTTGGATCAATCCCAGAAGGAAATGCCATCATCTTTATCGTGTTTGATGGTTTATTACACTCCTCAGGATGTAGATTTAAGCATCGAGCAACAACAATATTGTAAGAAGAGTTGCCAAACGTCACCGGAACAGCATCAAATGATATTAAAAAGACTAAATCCCACGAACTTTCGAAATATTTCAGAGATATTTTTTTGCTGATAATCTTCACCTAATTGAGCGTTTTGAATGCATCTCTTTGAAAGAAGCTTATAAAGTTGGCCATCAAAAAAATCTTCTACTCCTTCCTCATTGCTTTGTCGCTTGTGGGAATCTTTCATGAGTCTAGACAAGCCTCTATTTCCAAAAAAATCTCTGACTTTTTCACGAGGTGAGAAGTAAAAATATCTATACATCGGATCACGAGCCTTTCCACACTGAGCGCATTCTGCCAAATCGCTGCTAGATCCCGTAAATGCCATGCATCTATTGCTGCAAAAATAAACAACTTCAGCCCCTGTAGACCAGTCACCACGGCGTAACATCTTCACACCATCGCTTTCAATAAATTCAGCTTTGGGAAAAAGTTCTCTAAGATTTTCTTGAGGATTTCCCATTGGGAATCCTCGTAATGCACTGCTCTTTTTAGACTTAATTCCAGCTATTTTGGCTTTATCTCTATACGTTGTGTAAGCAATCATAGGCTCAGAATTTTGATTAACTTTTCCAGTTTTAAAAGTTAAATAGCAAATCTTCTTGATCTTGGAAAAAAATGATTGATAAAATTCAGGATCCCAATTTTGCTGAATTGAAAGATCGGTAACAAAACGCATGGCCTGTTCAAATGAAGCATCACTATGAGACTGAAAATATACGGCAAGTATATCTAATATGCTAATTCCACCTGATGACCCTTCATTCATCTTAACATATGATATAAGTTCTCGACAAAGATATCTAAGTTTAGGCTCCCTAGTCCATTCGTCAGAAGCGTAATTCATTTCATTGGAAAGTTTAGGAACATGTGAGAATTTTTTATCTCGAAGAGCGATCATTTCAATGACTGAAGATAAAAGCTCAGAAATTTGACTATCACCTACTTGATCAGACTCTGGACTTAAGAAAGTATCGCTACCAGAGTTAGATTGAGTGCTTTCAATAGTTTGTGCCTTGGTTTTTACCGTAGAATCGACCAGAGTAGTAGCTGAATCACTTTCGATAAAAACTGTTTGTGGTTTAAAGTATTTATCAACAAGATCATCATAATACTCATTACCATCCGCAGAATTCTCATAAATATTTCAGCTTCGGACAAATGCTGGTAAAATAAATCCATTTTTTTTGGTGAGCGATTCCTTCTTTTTCTTTGTTTTTTTTTTTTCAATAATATTGGAATATGTTTTTCCCAAGCTTTGAAATCATCATTTAATGGACGTCCAGTATAATTAAACATTTCTTGAGCCTTTTTCCGTATTTGTTTTATGACTTCGGAATCATGTTTATGACTGTATCTATCCTTAAAATTTTCAGCCCACCTCTTTAGTTGATCAATCCTCCATTCATCGACTGTAGCAAAATTATGAGAAAATCTACTCCCTACGTTATCATTATATAGCAAACGCGTGGAAATATTTGCAACTGAAAATCTGTTAATTTTGTATCGCTCATTATAGTATTCAAGTACCTTTCCCGGATCATAAATTCCAAGATCTTTAAAAACTATTCCTGTCAAAAGTCCATAATATGGTTCACCAGTGGCCTTTAAAAGTGCATACAAAATCTTTGCTTTTTCCATGTCACTTAAAGGCCAATTTCTTTTATATAGGCCCATTTTTTTTTCTGTATTCTGCAGTGTGAGTGTTACTACAAATCCATGTATCAAAGAGATCGAAAACTGATGTGTTGTTTATAATAAACTTCTGAAGACAATTGTCCATTGCTCGAATTTGTACAGAATTTGAAAAGTCTGGACCGCACAGTTCAAGGAGAAGTTTTGGTGTATATATTTCCTTCCACTTATCAATAGAATAACTAGAGCGATCCGGATCTTTGCAAGCATTTGTAAAAATTTCGTCTGGATCGTAGTTTTCTTCTGGGGGGTCTACCGAATCAATACATAGCCAAAACTCTTTTTATATTATGTTAGTTGAATGAAATAAAGCTAAAAAAAAACCTTATACTAACTAATTTTTAAACTAATAAGGCCCACTTTTCTTTTGAAAAATTTATTCTTAGCTTTTCCTTTCTGTCTATTTATCTTTCCTAGATGTCAATTCTGGGTGATGCTGGTGGTGGTGTGGAAATATTGTATTTTGAAGCTGGTGGCATGACCAGCTTTTTTGTGCAACGTTGGAAAAACAGATTTTAGCACTATTATGGAAACCAAGCACTTCAAAAATTTGTCTGCCTGTTTCCAAAAAAAAAAAAAAAAAAAAAAATCAAATCTTATGAAAATGATTTTTACAGCTAATACATTTATATATATAAATGAAGAGAAAAAAATTAATTATTATTAGTTTACTTTTTGAATTTATAACAACAAGTTTTATCGTTTTATTAGATTTTTTATTATCCCTACTATTAAATATATATATTAAATTGTGGTGTTTTCCTCGGTTGTTCCCACAACGGTTTCTAATTCCGAATTAAAAGATGAAGAAGAAGAACTTGATGTCGTTTCATCGTTTATTTGGTTAAGACTTCTGTTTGAAAAAATGTAGCGAACTAGCTTTTTAGAAAAATGGTAATACTCTTTGTTAAGTCTGGTAGCAATAAATGTGTCCCATGACTGAGCTGCACCTTTAATTTCACCCTTTTTAGAATAGTCTTGTAAGATCGATATCATATGAGATGGAACCAATATTTGAGTATTTGGCTTGCCTTTAGTTTTTTTTTCCAAAAAAGAGCTGTGGTTAACTGAGCTGTTCTCTAAATGATTTCTTTTTTTCACAAGTAGAATTTGCTTTTTATAGCGCCCTGCTTCACGAGTGATTTTATAATCGGAAAATGCTCTAGGAAGATAAGAAAGCAGCATTTTTATTGAGAAGGGATCAATACCTTTTGGAAAATTCAAAGAAAAACTCTCCTCTGGAATAAGATTGATACAATGGTCATAAATGGCCAGATAATTATCTTTACTGGGACGTTCAATAAAATCACAAATCAACTCAAAAGAAGGAATGTGTAGCTCTTTATTCACAATTTCTCTCCACATGTTTTCCTCCTCTTTTTTTCCTTCTTGAATGATGTTGGAAAGATTCGGATAAAGATTAAAGTAATCTAAATTAATCAATGCTGTTTCAAATTTGAACCTGTCAGGCCAATAAGGACAAGATTCAGTACTAGGTGATACTTCAGCATGAATATTGTAGTTAGATCGTACTCGCTCATTTTTTTGATGGTTCAATCTGTCAAAAAACATTAATACATTTCTCCTCACAAAATGAGCTGCCGAAGCTTCCTCATAAGTCGTAGTAAAATAATTTTTGAATTCACTGGTTAACTCCAATTCACCCAAATAATTAACGGAAGTATTTCTTGTATTCTTTTTTCCCGGGAATGGCATAAGAGAAGGATTTTTAGCTATCTCGTATCCAATAAGGACTCGAAATTCTAGCAAATCGTCACCATAGTACTGTGGTAATGAGGGTTCACTTTGTAGCCAAGTTAAAATACCATCAGATGATAAATAAGCCCCACATATGCACGTCGCATTTAAAGCCATTTGTACACCGCAGCTTCTATCATCATTTTGTACATGTAGCTTTTTAAACTTCAGATCCTCAAAACATAAAAGCTTTGATGGTGATGCAGTATCAGTAGTGAAATCGCTAGAAGGGTAAAGGTTTTGTCGAAGCAAATTAAGATTAGATATAAAAGCTTCTAAATCAAAATGTTGGCTCTTTTGAGAAGCTTTTTCAAAAAATGATTCCTGAGATGAATATAAGGAATCAATTACAAAAACCTTAAAGCAGCTATCAATTGGACGACAATAAACAAAAACCAGAGACCAGTGCTCAATGTAATTAATCGGAAGAAATAAACCAAACTCTTGATTGGAATTTCCAGTTCGAAAAGATTTAAACCATGAAGATTGCTGAAACGTGTTCCCGAGATATGTCCCAAAATCATTGTTGTTGTTTGTATAAGAAAAAGAAGGGAAAAAGTATAGAAGGGAGTCATTAGCATTAGAGGAGACAATACAATTTTTATTAAAAAATAGCTCCATGTTAGACGGATTTTTCTTTTTCTCAAGAGCTATACAAGCTGCAAAAACCCACAAAATGCTGAAATTTGTAAGTTTATCACCAGCAACATCTACCATGTCGTTTAGGCTGAGCTCCGAAAGGAAGGGGGTACCCGTGGGCATTTCAATAAAAACAGCTTTTCCCAAAGACTGCTGCAAAGAGTGCGGCATATTTAGATTTAACGAAGTAGCTTTTCTGACATTCATATCACCCGTCAAATCTATAAATCCCAAATTTTTGGTAGGCAGCGATTCAGTACTAGATTCCGCATTAGAAGTTGGAGTAATAGGAATTTTAGTAGGACCAGAAGAAGAAATGGAGGCTGGAGTGGCAGGAATTTGAGTAGAAGCCAAAGAACCAACAGTATCAGAGGTTTGAGTCGCTGAGGATTCTATCTCATTTCTTCTTCTTCTTTTTCTTGTAAAAGGCAAAAGAGGAGGGGTCAAGCTGTTCTCAAGATCGGGGTTGCTCTTGATTTTAGATCTAGTTATTCGAGTCATAATAAAATCTAACAGTTTTAAAGTGTTTAAAAGTTATTCTTAAAGAAGCTGAAACAAAATTTAAATAGAAATAGTTTCATTAACTAAAGTATGATTTTTAGTTATGTTGAAAGGTAAATTCTTGCTTTCTGAACTTTGTGAAGGGTACTTGGTGATGGAAAAAAATTTTCTTTCTACGTTAATTCACGGGTTGCAAATATATTGGCGGTCACGTTACAAAACTATTAATGGATTATGTAATTAACGAAATATTTCACTTGAGAAAAAAAAAAGTATAAATACTATATTTATATATACTTTTTTTGTGGTGAGACAAAATAGAACGGCCTCTAGTGCAGATCTTGGTGGTAGTAGCAAATTCAAATGAGAGCTTTGAAGACTGAAGTGGGGAACGGTTCCACAAGAAGTGTATTTCGTTGTAGGTTAGTCGGTCGTAAGGTGCAGCCTAGCAGCGTTAAAGGTGATTTATCACCATGCGCCAAAACGGAATCTGGTTAATATTTCAGAACTTGGTTCTTTGAACGGTAACGTAGTGAATGTGATTGACATTAGCTCAACAGAAGAGCTAAGCGAAGTTTCAGTCATAATCTCACCATTTTTCTTATTGGGAGTCATTAGATTTTTGAAAGTATTAAACATTACCCATTAGATTTTTTTTATTTAAAAAAAATGAATGAATGAATGAATGAAATAAATGAAATGATTTGAAATGATGTTTGTGATAATAAACTATTAATATTTTAATTGAAAATGATCTGCCTAAGGCAGACATTTTCTCTTTTCCTCTTTTTCTTTTTTCTTCTTACATATCTTTTAACCAATTTATTTTCACAGCATGATTGAATTGACTATATCAAGGTAAGATTAACAGAAACTTACAGAATTTTAGAAATGGGTTTACGGTAATTAAAATTCGTACAGAAAGAGATTTGGAAAATGATTTGGAAAATGATTTCGATACCGTTTCTAACAATAGCGCTGATGACACCTTGAGTACTTGGAACGATTTCATGGAAAATAATATTAAAAAAGGATGAAGCAAAAGTGTAAGCAAGCAAGCAAACAATATATTTCAACACGAACCATTTAGAAGCCCAGTCGAAAATGATTTTACCAGCATATTTTAACAACCTTTATCACGCTAAGAAGCTCTGCCAGCTTTTAAGAAGTCCTGTCGAAATCCCTTTTAACGATACCACGCTAAGAAGCTCCGGTAAAAAAGTTCCAATCCCAACCCTTTAATAAGAAGCTCGCTCGAAAAAATTTTTAACCCCAACTCTTTGGAAGCACTTTATACTCGAATCCCAGTCTTTTCTATTGGATGCTTTTGATTAGTATCATTAATATGTAATATTTATAAGTATTTATGTAATATGTAAATTGTAATAAAAATTTCAAATTCCATTTTAATTATGATTTCAATTCAGATTTTTGGCATTATTATGAAAGTTGCGTTGGGAGGTAAATATCAGCCATATGAACGTTGCGTTGACAGAGAAATGTCAGCCATGTGAATGAACATTGCGTTGGAAGGTAAATATCATATGAATGTTGAGTTGGCAGCGATTTCACTTTCTTATCAACATTGTTAATGTGGTCATCAACCACTTTTCTTATTTCCAACAAAACGTACTTTAGTCAGTGTTAACGTTATCAGAACGTTCTGATTGCTGAAAAAACAGACAAAATACCCCATACACATCATAAAAAGAAGAGTTATCAATCATCGAAAATCAAGTTTTTTGAATTCTTAAGGAAATCAATAGTCTAGTCTTTATTTAAATCCTCATTATATCCCAATATATCATTTTAATTTCTAAAAATTGGGTTTAGGGTGTCTATTCTTGACGTTTGTTGTTGTCGCGAAATAGGTGCGGCTGGCTCTTGAATGGAATTTCTTCAATTCTTAAGAAAATCAATAGTCTAGTCTTTATTTAAATCATTATATTAGCCATATATATATCGCTTTCATTTCTAAGAATTGGGTTTAAGGGTCTATTCTTGACGTTGGCTGTTGTCTTGAAATGGTTGCCACTCTTTCAAAAAGTGAATTTCTTCAATTCTTGAGTAAATCAATAGTCTAATCTTTATCTAAATCATCATAATAGCCATATATATATATATATATATATATATATATATCGCTTTCATCCTTAAGAATTGAGTTTAAGGGTCCATTATTGAAGTTTGTTGTAATCGTGTAGTGGGTACCATCTCTTACTAGATCTGCTTAGTCAGCTAGATAAAAGCATAACAAAATTATGTTTTGCAACTATGAGTTAACATTAAAATTATTAAATCCACACAAGCAGTAAAATGGTCTTTTTATGGCTTACCATGTTTGTCTTTGGGATTTTGGGAAAATACTTTTTAAAAATAAAATTTATTATATTTATATATATTATATAATATATAAATCCTATTAAAAAAAGAAAAAAAAATAAAAACCCTCCCCTACTTTAAGACTTTTCATTGCTGATTTAAAACTTCTTTCCTGTTTTAGAAAATATTTACAAAATATAAAGAAAAGTTTATAAAGTAGAAATGCCTTATCGCACATGAAAAATTTCTAAAAATTCTTTTTTTTTTTATTTTGCTTCCCCGCGGCATGCCTTATTTTGGAGTGTGCGGCTTATCACAAAAATTAAACCATACGGCCATATCCGACTGGGGGTGATAATAAAATTTATTATTATATAATAAAATAATATAAAATAAATATAACCTACTACACCAAAAAGAATATAATTATAAAAAGACCCCGAAATCCGCATGCCTATTCAAGTAGAAAAAAAAAAAAATTAAAATAAAATAAAATAAAATAAAATTCCCACCATCCACCCATCTTATCAATCCGATCTTTAAAAGAATATCACTTAGTATATATATATATATATATATATTATCAAAAAATGACTTCCATTCTATCTATTCCAGCCCTTAAAAAGGCCTCTTACGAAGACGTTGCAGCTTCTTTAGGCCTGTTATTTGAACCCACTGAGGCTCTCAACAAACTCATCTACTCCGCACTTGTGGAACCTCCAGCTGTAGCAACCACATATTCAACATATCCAGAACTCATTGAGTCTGTGCGTTTTCTTCTTTTATCCCAGCCTATTCCATCATCAGCATCAGCTTTAAATCCTGCCATTGCAAACATTATTTCTGCTCACCCACGGTTAGGAGCCAAAAAAGTGGATTCAGCTCAATCACAAGCTGAACAAGCAAGTTTGCAACGAGACCCTAAGGACCTTGAACGAGTTCGCGTGCTTAATGAAGAATATGAAAAGACTTTCCCTGGATTGAGGTATGTGGTTTTTGTCAACGGCCGGCCGCTGCCTGAAATCATTGCCAATATGGAAGCTCGCATTGCGCGCAACAATTTCGCTGCCGAATGCAAAGAAGCTTTTAACGTAAGTGATTTTTCTATCATTATATATATATATATATATATATTCTTTTATTTTTTTTTACTAACATTTTTTTTAGGCCATGTGTGATATTGCGATTGATCGATCCAAGAAGCTCCGTATTAAAGGTGATTCAAATATATGATTTCATTAGTAATTACATTTATCATTACATTAGTATACACTATTCTTTTTCTTTTTTTTTTTTATATTTATATTCTACAAAAAGTAATCAGGCGTTTTGCGAGAGACTGAGGGCTCGCCTGGCCTAGGACTAGGGTCATACTGAAGGAAAACAGTTCCCAGGTCCTCATCGACGCTCATGATGGCAGCCTGGTTGCCGCAGCGGTAGCAGTAGTTTGGTGCTGAAAAAATAGTGACGACTTGTTGTTCGTGAGCCCAGGCATAACCCTCCATGATAAGCTGGTGGGCGCGGGATATTAACTGAAGGTCATTTGTATGGTTAAAGTGTTGAGAAATGTCTTGGCCAAAGGTGAAGCCAGCACCTCTGGGCGACACACCCCACGAGACCCGCTCGTCGGGGTCAGACCAGAGCAGGTCACACATGGGTCCATCGTGGGGGACTTCTTGGAACCGATTGAGGTCACGGATATTGTCAATGGTCTCAATATTAGGCGAGAGACCTCCATGGAGACAAAAGATTTTGTTTTCGACGAGAGCTGTGATGGGGAAAAAATCAAAAAGGTCTGTAAACATTTTCCAAACATTAGCATTGCCATATTTTCGTAGACATTCGTCATAGAAGCCATAGACTTGTGTAATTTGACGCGATTCGTGGTTACCGCGTAATATAGTGATACGATTAGGGTATCTAACCTTGAGGGCGACTAAGTAAGACACAGTCTCCACAGAGTAGTAGCCACGGTCGACATAGTCGCCTAATAATAATAATAAAAAAAAAAAAAAGTAAGAAAATCGAAAGGACACAAAACATGGGCGATTCATATACTAACCCATAAATAGGTAGTTGGTATCTGGACAAGGTCCTCCAATTTTGAAGAGCTCGATAAGATCATGAAACTGGCCGTGAACGTCACCACAAATTGTCACGGGGGCATTGACGGGCTGTACATTTTCTTCATATTGCAGCAATTCTTTAGCCATGTTACAAAGAGTTTCAACGTCTTCTTCACAAAGTGGATGGCACTGGCTGAGTGACTCAATCCAGGCGTCGAGTTGGTTAAGTAATTGGGATGTGAGTTCACCACCTGGGGGGGTACGGTTGATGATGGACATATTGGGGAACCCGCCTCCATGAATGTCGTCGTTCATGCCGAGCACCAGGTCGTCGCCGACATCTTCCATTTGCACGTCGTGATCCAGTTCCATTTTGGGTATATATGTGAATTAAGTAAAAAAAAAATTAAAAAATAAAAATAAATGTATATATATATATATATAAAAAGGTTTTTAATATTAAGGTATTAAATAGAATTGATAATAATAGTTAGTTAGAATTAACAATGGATTAAGGGGCGGTTGTTTGAAAAAAAAAAAAAAAAAAAAAAAAAAAACCCGTAAAGGTGGTGGCTGTTGTGGTGGTGGTGGTGGTAAACAAAAAAAAAAAAATGTCAGCAGAGCAAAGTTGGTGCGCTGGACAATCTAGTAACAAGTCACGTGTTCATGTAATATAAATTGTAACTAAAAATCTTTCTCTAAGTAATTAATAGTCTTATGTATTTTAAATCATGGCAAAACCTCCTTTCAAATAGAGTAAAAAAAAAATATATAAAAATAAAAAAACTTTGATCCGCACCACCACTAAAATCCATTCTAGGCTCTTGTATCCCCCCTCCCAACCCATCCACATAATATCCCACCACCACCACCACTCAGAAGAACAATGGTACGTCCCCCCCTCATACTTTCCATTCATTCCCATCATTTAATTCTAACATTTCTCTTTAGTCTGTCAACATTTTTGGTGATCAAGTTGTTGAGGAGCGTGCTGAAAATGCCCGTATGTATATAATCTTTGATTGATTCTGTTATAGCGCCACCTGACTGATTTCTTCTTTTTGTTTTTTTTTTATTTATAAAGGTCTTTCTGCTTTTGTCGGCGCAATTGCTGTCGGTGATCTCGTCAAATCTACTCTCGGCCCTAAGGGTATGGACAAGCTGCTACAATCCGCTACAAGCGATCAGTCTCTTGTGACAAATGATGGCGCCACCATCCTCAAGTCTATTCCATTTGATAACCCAGCAGCAAAGGTTCTTGTCAATATTTCGCGTGTCCAGGATGATGAGGTTGGTGATGGTACTACATCTGTTACTGTTCTTGCCGCTGAGCTGTTGCGTGAAGCTGAGAAGCTTGTTGAAAAGAAGATCCACCCGCAGACTATTATTGAGGGCTACCGTCTGGCATCCCAAGCTGCGCTGGCCGCGCTCGAAAAGTCTGCAGTCGATTCATCTGCATCACCTACCAAGTTCCGTGAGGATCTCATCAATATTGCCAAAACTACACTCAGCTCTAAGATTTTGGCTCAGGATAAGGAACACTTTGCCAAGCTGGCTGTGGATGCAGTTTTGAGACTCAAGGGATCAACCAACCTTGAACATATTCAAATCATTAAAAAGGCTGGCGGCCGGTTAGCCGATTCATACCTTGATGAGGGTTTCATTCTTAACAAGACTTTTGGTGTCAAGCAACCCAAAAAGATTACCAATGCAAAGATTCTTATTGCTAATACTCGTGAGTGAAAAAAAAAATAAGAAATGACTGGTTGATTTTTTTTTTTTTTTTTTTTTTTGGTTTACTAACTTTTTTTCATAGCTATGGATACTGACAAGGTTAAGATCTTTGGCGCCAAGTTCAAGGTGGACGCCACAAGCAAGCTTGCTGATTTGGAACGTGCAGAGAAGCAAAAGATGAAAGAGAAGGTGGAAAAAATCAAGGCACATGGGATCAACTGTTTTGTCAACCGACAACTGATTTACAACTGGCCCGAGCAGCTTTTTACCGAGGCTGGAATCAATTCTATTGAGCATGCAGACTTTGAAGGTGTCGAGCGACTGGCTCTTGTCACAGGCGGTGAGGTTGTGTCGACATTTGACCACCCAGAATCCGTGAAGTTGGGCCACTGCGATGTGATTGAGGAGGTGCTTATAGGTGAAGACACAATGATTAAATTTTCTGGCGTTGCACGCGGTGAGGCTTGCACCATTGTGTTGCGAGGCGCCACAGAGCAAGTGCTTGAGGAAGCAGAACGCTCTCTACACGATGCGCTTTCAGTTTTGTCACAAACAACAGTGGAAACACGTACTGTTCTTGGTGGCGGGTGCTCGGAAATGATTATGTCGATGGCTGTGGATCGTGCTGGTCAAAATGCAGATGGCAAGAAGTCGCTTGCAATTGAATCATTTGGAGTTGCGCTGCGCCAACTGCCGACCATTCTTGCAGATAATGCTGGGTTTGACTCGAGTGAACTTGTGGCCAAACTGCGATCAGCCATTTACAATGGTATGAGCATGTCTGGACTGGACCTGAACAACGGAACCATTGGAGATATGCGTGAACTTGGGATTGTTGAGAGTTACAAGCTAAAGCGTGCGGTTGTGTCGAGTGCTTCTGAGGCCGTGGAGCTTTTGTTACGTGTGGACAATATTATTCGTGCCAAGCCACGTACTGCTGACCGTAACGCTTTTTAAATGGAAAGAAGAAAAGAATATAAAATAATATAAAATAAAATAAAAAAAAAGTAAATAAGAGGATGAAGAATGGGGAATATATATATTATAAATATAAATATAAATATAAATTGATTAATTTGTTTTTATGTGATGGAAAGTGAAAAGTGAGTAAGTACTGCTACTGTAATTTTAATCAGTTCCGGGCAACTAGATTCCAACCAGTAGATACAAGCCCGGACTCTTGATCAAAATATTCGTCTGCATTGTACTCAATAATTGTATCTCGAAGCATACTAACTGATGGCCATTGTTGGGTATTAACTGCAGGCACTTGATCAGTCCCCAAAGATGTGGACGAAGACGAGGTTGAAGACGTGGACGTGGACGTGGACGTAAACGAGGTTGAGAACGAGTTATTGTTCCGTGACAAGGGTCGTGTTGAGTTTGTTCTACTGGCAGGACGAGTACCTGGAGGAGTTTGTGGTTGTTGTGAAGTAGTTCCCCATGGCGGTGGAGTAGTTCCGATTCTTAATGCATGTGCCTTTTTCAAAACCACAGGCTCTGACAGCTGCTGCTGCTGCTGCTGCTGCTGCTGCTGCTGCTGCTGCTGTTGTTGTTGTTGTTGTTGTTGTTGTTGTGACATTTCCAGCAAATGTTTATTTGGTAGACACTCGGTACGGGTAAGAACCTGTTTAAGAGCAATTAACATATCATCCAGATGTAATATATGGATCGGTTTGATTACTGTTGCTGCAGGTATTGTAGAGCTTGATGAACTTTTTCGTTTCCCCTTATCTTTTGTTAAAACTGTTCCTGGAGTTACCAACGATGAAGATGACGATGACGATGATAATAATGAGGACGACGATGATACTTGGGGGTCACCCTGTTTGTCTGCCACGTGTTTTGTCTTGTGTCTTATGCTTTTGCTATAACCACTGGTATGTTGGTAATGACTATGATGATGATGATGATGATGATGATGATGGTGATGGTGATGGTGTCGTTTATAATGAGGGTTTACTTCATGTATTGCAGCACCATTTTCAGAAAGAGGTTTAGTTGCTAATGTTGATGGTGATAATGATGTACTAGTTGTTGTTGCTGTACCTCCTACAGAAACCACCGGTGGACCTCCCACAAGAACAGCACCCGTATCGTCATCATCCACATCTTCTCCCAGCGTAGAGACATCTCCGGCTGCTGCTGCTGCTGCTACTGATATTTTATTTTCTTCCTTACTCTCTGTCTTTTCAGTTTCCTCACTACCGTCTATAAACTCGTCATCGTCAATTAGTTCTCCATCATAATCCTCATCATTCTCATCTATAAATTCAGTGGCTAAATTTCCTCCTTTCCGTCGACTCTTGGTATGAATCTCTTCTTCTTCTCCTTCCTCATCATGATACCCAGACACTCTTCGTCGTCCACGCTCAGCACGCGACCACGTTGTCGAATATTCCACTGGGATCCCCACCAAGGCTGCCAGGTATGCCAAATCAAGACATAGCATGGCCAGTGCTGAAGCTGTTTTGCGAAACTCACTAGCATCCAGGCTACCAGTGTTACTACCGGCTTTGTTATTGTTTAGATAGCCACCGCCATTGCCACCGCCATTTTGTTCCTGTGATTTTGGCCTATCAATTGACATTAGATTGGGATCCAAACGGGCCCGAGCAGCTGCAGTAGCAGCTGCCACAACGCCGACTCCAGACACTGGTCCATACATAATTTTTTCACCACTTAGTAGTATTTGACCTACTTCAGCAGCCAAGGCCTCAGCTTTTGCAATTTTCCCCCGGTTACCATTAATACCACCATTCAAGCTTCCTGAGCTTCCAGGTTTGCTACCATTAGTATTACTACTAGTACTAGTACTACTCTGTGACCGACGCTGAAAGGGCCCGGAAAGAAATGAAGACGAAATCCCTGGAATGCCAATCAACGCAAACGGCCGGCCGCGCGATGGGAGCACAATGGGATAGGGTAGCGGGGTACGTAGATATGCAGCCAAGTATTGGGTAAGATATGCGATGCGGTCAATGGCAGCAGCAGCTGTGAGAAGTTGGTAGTCTGCAAGGGCAAGAACTGAGGGTACGACACAGTTGCCAATGCATGTATAGACCTTGCGAGAAGAAGAAGAAGAGATTGATGATTTGTGGTGATGGTGGGCACGGGCTTGTGTTGCAGAAGAAGAGTCGCGTTTGCGACGCTGGACAATGTTAAAGATATGGAATAGGGTATTACAAGCTCTTGAAGTTTCAGAGTCTAGGGTTGATGTTATTCGTAAGTCCTTTTTCCCGGGTAGGTTAGATGGTAATGGTATTGTTTTGTAATCTAAGGAGGTTGATTTATTATTGGCCATTGTAGATTGGGATTTAGCCATGTAATTATGGGTGGTTGTTATTGTTTCATGGAGATGATAAACTTTTGCACGGATTTGTGCGACCTTAAGTTTACAATCTTTTGTAGCAACTTCAATTGATTTCTTTTGTTTGTTAAGAATATCGATCCGAGCTTGTAAGCGTTTTTTGGCAAATGCAAGTGCTTGTGGGGTACTTTGGGTTGCTGCTAAAGCTTGTGGAGAAATAGGAGGAACTCCAATGCCATGGTTTTGGGAAGAAGAAGAAGAAGAAGATGATGATGAGTAAAAGTTGTCGCTGATACCAGCTTTTGAGAGTTTGTTGCGGAGATCTGGAGAAGCGCTGGTAAGTGCAGTTTCCAGAATTTCTTTGCGTATAAGAGTATTAGTAGACTGGATGCGGAGTTTAAGACATTGGTGGCCAACACATCGTGGACAGTAGAGAGCCTTTTTTGAAGTTTTGCAAAGACCACAGATCAAGGGATTAGGAGGAGGTTTTTGTTGTTGTTGTTGTTGTTGTTGTTGTTGTTGTTGCAGTTTTTGTTGCTTCTGATACTGATGATGATGATGTTGTTGTTGTTGTTGTTGGTCAGCTTGTGGGGTGGTAAAATGATTGGGATAATTTTGAGGGACATTATGAGGAGGTAAGGAAGAAGTAGTATAAGGACTAGAGGGAGAAGAAGAATAATAAGTATTTGGATTATTGTGACGGGTATTGTAGTTGTTGTTATTGTTATTGTTATTGTTATTGTTATTGTTAGGTTGAGATGTTCCGAGTCGGGACATTTGGATGTGTTAGAAAGATAGGAAAAGATCCGGTACCGGACCAACTTTTGAGATAGAGAGAGATAGATGAAAAAAATAAAAGGAGGAATCAATCTAGATACAATACAATAGAATAGAATTAAACAAGGTAAATAAGTTATTAAAGCTTAGTTTTTGGCGGTTAAAATATATATATATATATATGGTGGCGATATTTATAGATAAGGGTTTCTTCTTGGCTATGTTTGAATTAAATTTTTTTTTTTTTTTTTTTTTTTTTTTTACGTCAGATTAAGAAAAAAAGATTGACTGAAGAAAAAAAAAAGAAAAAGAAGGGGTTTAAAGATCCTCTTCTTATTCTATATTGTTTCAAAAAAAAAATTTATAGATGATTTATATTATTTTAAGTGGTGATTAAATAAATGGATTTGTTTAATCAAAAATGGTGATAATAAATAATAATTTTTATGTTTTTTTTTTTTTTTTTTTTTTTGGTATTGTAAAATCCCAAAATCAGAAATTTTTTTTTTGTGATGAGATTAGTTTATTTTTTAACAATAACAATAACAAAATTAATATAAAAGTTAAATTAAATTAACGTGATTATTAAAACAATTATTATATAGTTATTATGATTACGTGATTATTATTATTATTATTATAATACACACTTAAGTGTGTATTGTAAAGCTTTGAAAGAAAAGAAAAGAAAAAATTGAAATTGAAATTGAAATTGAAAAGTCGTTTTCTGTTTAAAAAAAAAAAAAAAAAAAAAAAAAAAAAATGAGAATTAATATAAAAAAATAATTATTAAAGATTGTTTTTTTTTTTAAAAAAAAAATAAAAAGGAATTTTAATACTAAAATAAAAAATTAAAAAATTAAAAAAATTATCATCATCTTTATCACCTTTTTATCATATTTATCAACTTATTATTATTATTATTATTATTATTATTATTATTATTATTATTATTATTATTATTATTATTATTATTATTATCATTATCATTATCATTATCATTATCATTATCAATTTAGTAATTATTATCATCAACTAACTATCTTATTTTTTTTTTTTTTAAAAAAAAATTCATTTTTTTTTTTTATCATTAGATTTATTTTTCGTTCCAGTCCTTTATTAATTTAACTGATATGATAACAATATTTAATAATAATAATAAATAAAAAAAAAAAAAAAGCACTTCCCATCATAATAATTGCAATAAAAAAAAATACATCATCTTCATTTTTTTTTTCTTCTGTCTGTCTGTCTGATTTCATATAAATATCATCTTTTTTTTTTTTTTTTTTTTTTTTTTTTTTCTTTCTTTCTTTCTTTTCTCCTGTCCATTAATTTTTTTTTTTTTTAACTAATAACACATCCCTTATCCTTATTCTCTGCCGATGTAGAATCAATCTGCGAAATAAGAAGTTCAAAAGCCTTGTCCACATTAACTTTATCCTTTGCTGAAGTTTCCACAAAGGCAGCTCCAAACGACTCAGCAAGAGCCTTACCTTCTTCAGCAGGAACTTGACGTTGTGACTCAAGGTCTGTTTTGTTGCCGACCACAACCATAGGAAGAGTTTCTGCGCCGGTGGCGTTAAGAATTTTGTCACGAATGATGGAAATCATTTCAAATGAAGAACGTGATGCAATCGAGTACACAAGCATGTAGCCATGAATTCCAATCAGATGTTTCTGGTTCATGATGGAAAACTCGTCTTGTCCGGCTGTGTCGATAATCTCTGTAGTGTATTCAACACCCTTATACTTGATAGGCTTGAAAAACTGGTTTTCAATCGTTGGGTAGTACGATTCAACAAAGTGTTCGTCTACAAACTGGACAGTTACCGAGGATTTACCAACGGCACTGGCACCAACAATGGCGATCTTGCGGGCTCTCTGTGGGGGGACCATGGTTGTTTATATATATATATATATATATGTGTGTTTGTGTGTGTGTGTGTGTGTGTTTGTGTATATGAGTTTTAGTTTTAGTTTTAGTTTTAGTTTTAGTTTGAGTAATATATATATGCTTGTGATTGATTAGGTATATGGATTGTAAAAAAATAAAAAAAAATAAAATAAATATAAAAAAAGGATATATGAATATATAGAATGATTAGTGATTATTATTATTATATATAATGGTGATAAATGATGATGATGATGATGATGATGATGATGATAATTAAAAAAGTAATTATTTGTTTATTTTATTTATGTTGTTGGTGTATGTTTATAATATGTGTCAAAGAGTGTGATGGATATGATGTTTTGTGAGAGAGAAAAAGAGAAAGTAATAATAAATAAATATATTAAAAATGGTGTGGTGGTGATAAGAAAAGAATTAAAAAAAATAAAATAAAATAATTAAAAAAAAAAAAAATTTTAGTTTTTTTTAAAAAAAAAAAAAAAAAAAAAAAAAAAAGGAGAGACAACAAAAGTAAATAAAAATAAACAAAGTTTTGTAGTTTAATTAATTACAACTGTAGTTATTGTTATATATATATATATATATATACGATGTTTTAATTTTTTTTTAATTTTTTTTTTTTTTACATGTAAATAAAAATAAAATAAAAAAAAACAACTCAAATATATATATATATATATATTTATTTCTATAAAAGAATTAGTTTTTTTATTTTTTATTTATATTTATATATTAGTTGTTTATATATATATATATATATATATATATATATATATATATATAACAACTAACAATAACGGGACTTTACACCCGGGACTTTGCTTTTTATATATTTGTTGTTGTTGTTGTTATTGTTATTGTTTTATTATTTTAAAATTTTAAAATTTTAAAATTTTATTAAAATTGCAAACAAACATTCGGGTCATTAGAATTAGAATTAGAATAGAATAGAATAGAATAAAAGTCCCCACTGAGTATCGTTAATACATAAATGTAAACATCTTTTTTTTTTTTTTTTTTCTATTTTCTATTTTATATATATATAAAATATATATATTTTCTATTTCCATTTTTTTTTTAATTTATTTTTTTTTTTAGAAGCTTTCAACCGTTTATTATTTATTTATTTTTTATATATAAATAGATGATGTGGTTTTTTATTTTATTTTATTTTATTGTATTTTATTGTATTTTTACATTGTTTAACATTTTTTTATTTTATTTTATATTTTTTTATATTTTTTTCCTTCTCCCTTTCAAAAAAAAAAAAAGACAACTGACTTTTTTTCCAAATTAGGACTTTTTCCCATGTTTCTTTCTGTTGTTATTTATTTATTTATTTATTTATTTTCATGTGCAACGTATTCTTACAATTATTTTAATTTTTGTTAATTTTATTTTAATTTTTGTTAATTTTATTTTAATTTTATTTTAATTTTATTTTAATTTTATTTTAATTTTATTTTAATTTTATTTTAATTTTATTTTAATTTTATTTTAATTTTTGTTAATTTTTATTAATTCATATTTTTGTCTCATTAGATAAAAAAAAATTTTTTTTTTCTTAAATCTTTCTTTATTTCTTTATTTCTTTATTTCTTTCTTTTCAGTGATCTTCTAAGTTAGCCATCAAATTTTTATCTATCTATCTATCTATCTATCTATCTATCTATCTATCTATCTATCTATCTATCTATATCTATCTATCTATCTATATATATATATATACAAAATAGCTAGGTCCATCCTTTATTTATCCTGATAATATTAATTATTAATTTTATTATAAATATAAATATAATTTTTTCCTTCTTCTTCTTCTTCTTCCATTAACTTGCATTTTTTCTTTAAAATCCTTCTTTTTTTCTTTTTTTCTTTTTTTTCTTTCTTCCCGCATTTCCAACTGTTAAACAGTCCTTTATTTTACATTACAAATTTTTCTTTTTTTTTTTTTTTTTTTTTTTTTTTTTTTTTTTTCTCTTATCACTAACAAATCAGAGCTTTATTATTATTTTTATAATTATTATTTTAATTTTTTCTTTTTTTCTTTGGAAATTAATGCCAAGAAAAAGATAATATATATATTTTTTTACAAAAAAAAAAAAAACTCATTTTAAAAATAATTATTATTATTATTATATGCGTCAGCCCGGAGTCGAACCGGGGGCTCGTCGATGGCAACGACGAATTTTACCGCTAAACCACTAACGCTTAATGAATTGATGTTATAAAAATTATAATTCTGGGCGTGTATAAATATTAGAAATACAACTATTTTTCATTTCACACTTAAAAATCACTGCGAAGGTTAACAACTATGGGCCCATTAAACATAAAGATTGGATCCCAATCTTTACAGAAACTGGAAAAGAAAAAAATAAATGCAGAGCAATTACTTACATTAGGTCTAACTCTGACTTACGAGCATTAACTACTAAAATTGAAAAGTTTACAAATCGAGATATGGTTACCATTTTGGTTAAAGACATTACAATTGTCAATGTCTATAATCAACCGAAACCATCCAAGAAATACCCTGAGCCACCGGTTTTTGAGTTTCTCAAACGGGAGATCAAGGAACAATACTCAAAGATTGTCATTGCAGGTGATTATAACTTACATCACAAGGAATGGGAGTCAAGGGCAGGTCCGAATACGGAAGCAGATGAAGTTGTTGAGTGGCTACATGAAAATGATATGATGTTAATTACTCCAAGAAATCAAAAAACATACAACAATAGAACCAATATTGATTTGGTTTATGGCTCAGTGGACTTACTTCATAGAATTTCATTTAGTGGAGTGGATGAAAATACACTAAGTGATCACTCAATTGTGGAGTGGGACATTTATATGTCTCAGAGTAAAAACAGGGATGAAGTTTTACTTCGGTGAAGAGATTGAATATTAAGAATGCAGATTGGGAAAAGTTTGACAAGGAGCTTTCTTCTGCCATTAAAGATTTTAATGTGCATAACAAAACTCTAAAATCAACTGACCAAATTGATGACCAAGCTAAAGTTCTTGAGGAGGTTGTAAAAAGAGCAATGGCAAAGTCGATGAAGGAAGTTAAGGTGATGAAAAAGTCCAAACGCTATTGGAATCAAGAATTAAGGGAGAAGTTAGAAAAAGCGCTAGAAGCTAAAAGGGAAGCCCGTCAAAGACAACCTTCTTTGGCTTTGAAACGACAAAAAAATTGAAGAGGCGAAAAAAGCTAGAAAAATTTTTGACCACAGTTTGCGTGAGGCAAGTACTGAGCAATGGAATAAATATTTGTCTAGTTTAGAAGGAAATGACATTTGGAAGATTTTGAAGTATATTAATCCAAAAAGCAATGATACCATTATACCACAAATTAGAAAAGAAGATGGAACTCTCACTACTACTGTTGACGAAAAAAAGACATGAAATATGGAAGGCACTTCTACCTGAAATTGATCATGGTCTTGATAGAGAGTTTGAAATTGATGACGATTCTCGATGGCCAAAATTAGAGTTTGATGAAGTTGACTCTGCATTGGCTGATACCCCAAATGATAAAGCTCCAGGAGACGATGGAATTACTGGCAAAGTTTTAAAGATGGCATGGCTAAATAAAGACTTTAAGGAAAGGTTTTTTCAAGCTTCTCCAAGCTTGTGTAAAGTTTGGATACCACCCAAAAGTCTGGAGACATGGCATTATTGTTGTTATACCTAAACCTAAGAAACCTGACTATTCAAAGCCAAGAGCATACCGACCAATTTCCTTACTTAAGATTCCATCTAAAGTACTGGAAAAATTATACAAAAAGAATGACCAAACTTACAACACACTTACTTCCACCAGAGCAATATGGGGGAAGACAAGGTTATTGTGCTACTGATGCTGTTTTGGAACTTGTCCAAAGAATTGAAACTAGTAAAGAAAAAATTTCAGCTATGCTCATTGATATTCAAGGAGCTTTTGATAATGTTAACAGAAATATATTGGCAGACACAATGGAGGATATGAAACTACCCAAAGCACTTATAAACTGGACGTACCAATTTGTAAGTGAAAGAGAAGCTAGTATGCTCATGGACCGAAGAAAAGGATCAGTGCAAAAAATTAGTACTGGAATTCCGCAAGGCTCACCTATTTCACCACTACTTTTTTTGATATATTCCACACCAATGTATCATGCCATTAAAGAATGGGGTGGAACTCCTTTTGGCTTTATTGATGATGTGACTATTACCGTTGAAGGTAAAATTGAAGAAAATACCAAAAGCTTAAGCAACATATTAGAAAAATGTTGTAATTGGGCTAAATCAAGAATGACCAAAATTGATTTGGGTGATAAATTGGGTTTTATTCATTTTACAAAAATGTGAAACCTAAAGATGAGAAAGTGCAACTTACTTTACCTAATGGAGAACTTCGTGAACCCCAGAAGGAAGTTAAATTGCTTGGAATTACTTTGAACAATCTGCTTGATTTTAAATCTCATATTTTGAATAAAATCAATAAAGCAAGAAAAGCTGTTGGTGCTATTTGGCATCTTGGTGGCGTGCAAAAGGTATGCGAGGGTCTGCAGTCAGATCACTGTATATTGCTTGCGTGAGACCAATTGTCGAATATGGCTTAGAAATTTGGCATCACAAAATTTTGAAAGGAGAAATCCACAAGTTGGAAGTAATGCAGAATATGGCTTTAAGAAGAATTGTTGGTGCTTATCGCACAACTCCTATTGCGGTACTACAAAAGGAAGCTGGTATTATGCCATATAGTATTAGGCTAAAATTTATGGTGGCACGAAAAGCTATTCGTTTACACCTAAATATTAGCAAAACTAATCCTATTAATGGTCATTTGTTAACATTGATTGAGAAATCTCCAATTGCAAAGCTAACCACGCTTTACATGTTGGCGAAAGATGATAGAGACTATATGATTAAAAAGGATGAAAAACGAAAATGCAAGAGGGTTGAACCTCTTACACTGAAACAACAACAAAATCAGACGATTGGAATTTTGAAGAAACAAGCAATGGAAGAATGGCAAGAAATGTATTGGAACAGCAGTAAGGATCTGTGGTATCATAATATCACAGTGGAGTCGAAATGTACTGATAATCTTTCCAAAATGGTTACGGGAGTGATCATGAAGAAAGATAGTCGAAGGATCTTGAGTAATATTACTCAGTTTCACACAGGCCATGGCAACTTTGGCGCATGGTTTAAAAAAAAAAAGTTTGGAATTGAAAAGGATAGTTACAACTGCAAATGTGGAGAGCTGGAAACAGTTCATCACATTTTAGTTGAGTGTCCTTTGCTTGAAGAGGAAAGAAAAGGACTGAAACGGATATCTCCAGAGATGGACATGTCGACTCTCTTAAACAGTTTAACTGGCTTACAAGAGATTGTAAGCTTTATCTCTGCTTGGAGGGATTAAGAAATACAATTACAGCGTTGATGAAGACAAGTGGAGATAGGTTGGGAAGGTTTGGTTATTTTAACCCCCTGTTCCTCGTAAGCTGGCATCAGGACTTATTTTCGGGCTGTTGGAGATGCAATGTTGAAGCCAAAATTAAAAGTTTATTATCAAAATGAAAAAATATATAGTATGGACAAGAAGGATAGCGCAGATGCTGATGTTATATAATTCTATAACCCTTGAATAAAAACAAACAAACAAACAAATCACTGCGAAGGTCCGAATACGGAAGCAGATGAAGTTGTTGAGTGGCTACATGAAAATGATATGATGTTAATTACTCCAAGAAATCAAAAAACATACAACAATAGAACCAATATTGATTTGGTTTATGGCTCAGTGGACTTACTTCATAGAATTTCATTTAGTGGAGTGGATGAAAATACACTAAGTGATCACTCAATTGTGGAGTGGGACATCTATATGTCTCAGAGTAAAAACGGGGATGAAGTTTTTACTTCGGTGAAGAGATTGAATATTAAGAATGCAGATTGGGAAAAGTTTGACAAGGAGCTTTCTTCTGCCATTAAAGATTTTAATGTGCATAACAAAACTCTAAAATCAACTGACCAAATTGATGACCAAGCTAAAGTTCTTGAGGAGGTTGTAAAAAGAGCAATGGCAAAGTCGATGAAGGAAGTTAAGGTGATGAAAAAGTCCAAACGCTATTGGAATCAAGAATTAAGGGAGAAGTTAGAAAAAGCGCTAGAAGCTAAAAGGGAAGCCCGTCAAAGACAACCTTCTTTGGCTTTGAAACGACAAAAAATTGAAGAGGCAAAAAAAGCTAGAAAAATTTTTGACCACAGTTTGCGTGAGGCAAGTACTGAGCAATGGAATAAATATTTGTCTAGTTTAGAAGGAAATGACATTTGGAAGATTTTGAAGTATATTAATCCAAAAAGCAATGATACCATTATACCACAAATTAGAAAAGAAGATGGAACTCTCACTACTACTGTTGACGAAAAAAGACATGAAATATGGAAGGCACTTCTACCTGAAATTGATCATGGTCTTGATAGAGAGTTTGAAATTGATGACGATTCTCGATGGCCAAAATTAGAGTTTGATGAAGTTGACTCTGCATTGGCTGATACCCCAAATGATAAAGCTCCAGGAGACGATGGAATTACTGGCAAAGTTTTAAAGATGGCATGGCTAAATAAAGACTTTAAGGAAAGGTTTTCAAGCTTCTCCAAGCTTGTGTAAAGTTTGGATACCACCCAAAAGTCTGGAGACATGGCATTATTGTTGTTATACCTAAACCTAAGAAACCTGACTATTCAAAGCCAAGAGCATACCGACCAATTTCCTTACTTAAGATTCCATCTAAAGTACTGGAAAAATTATACAAAAAAAAGAATGACCAAGCTTACAACACACTTACTTCCACCAGAGCAATATGGGGGAAGACAAGGTTATTGTGCTACTGATGCTGTTTTGGAACTTGTCCAAAGAATTGAAACTAGTAAAGAAAAAATTTCAGCTATGCTCATTGATATTCAAGGAGCTTTTGATAATGTTAACAGAAATATATTGGCAGACACAATGGAGGATATGAAACTACCCAAAGCACTTATAAACTGGACGTACCAATTTGTAAGTGAAAGAGAAGCTAGTATGCTCATGGACCGAAGAAAAGGATCAGTGCAAAAAATTAGTACTGGAATTCCGCAAGGCTCACCTATTTCACCACTACTTTTTTTTGATATATTCCACACCAATGTATCATGCCATTAAAGAATGGGGTGGAACTCCTTTTGGCTTTATTGATGATGTAACTATTACCGTTGAAGGTAAAATTGAAGAAAATACCAAAAGCTTAAGCAACATATTAGAAAAATGTTGTAATTGGGCTAAATCAAGAATGACCAAAATTGATTTGGGTGATAAATTGGGTTTTATTCATTTTACAAAAAATGTGAAACCTAAAGATGAGAAAGTGCAACTTACTTTACCTAATGGAGAACTTCGTGAACCCCAGAAGGAAGTTAAATTGCTTGGAATTACTTTGAACAATCTGCTTGATTTTAAATCTCATATTTTGAATAAAATCAATAAAGCAAGAAAAGCTGTTGGTGCTATTTGGCATCTTGGTGGCGTGCAAAAAGGTATGCGAGGGTCTGCAGTCAGATCACTGTATATTGCTTGCGTGAGACCAATTGTCGAATATGGCTTAGAAATTTGGCATCATAAAATCTTGAAAGGAGAAATCCACAAGTTGGAAGTGATGCAGAACATGGCTTTAAGAAGAATTGTTGGTGCTTATCGCACAACTCCTATTGCGGTACTACAAAAGGAAGCTGGTATTATGCCATATAGTATTAGGCTAAAATTTATGGTGGCACGAAAAGCTATTCGTTTACACCTAAATATTAGCAAAACTAATCCTATTAATGGTCATTTGTTAACATTGATTGAGAAATCTCCAATTGCAAAGCTAACCACGCTTTACATGTTGGCGAAAGATGATAGAGACTATATGATTAAAAAGGATGAAAAACGAAAATGCAAGAGGGTTGAACCTCTTACACTGAAACAACAACAAAATCAGACGATTGGAATTTTGAAGAAACAAGCAATGGAAGAATGGCAAGAAATGTATTGGAACAGCAGTAAGGATCTGTGGTATCATAATATCACAGTGGAGTCGAAAATGTACTGATAATCTTTCCAAAATGGTTACGGGAGTGATCATGAAGAAAGATAGTCGAAGGATCTTGAGTAATATTACTCAGTTTCGCACAGGCCATGGCAACTTTGGCGCATGGTTTAAAAAGTTTGGAATTGAAAAGGATAGTTACAACTGCAAATGTGGAGAGCTGGAAACAGTTCATCACATTTTAGTTGAGTGTCCTTTGCTTGAAGAGGAAAGAAAAGGACTGAAACGGATATCTCCAGAGATGGACATGTCGACTCTCTTAAACAGTTTAACTGGCTTACAAGAGATTGTAAGCTTTATCTCTGCTTGGAGGGATTAAGAAATACAATTACAGCGTTGATGAAGACAAGTGGAGATAGGTTGGGAAGGTTTGGTTATTTTTAACCCCCTGTTCCTCGTAAGCTGGCATCAGGACTTATTTTCGGGCTGTTGGAGATGCAATGTTGAAGGCAAAATTAAAAGTTTATTATGAAAATGAAAAGATATATAGTATGGACAAGAATGATAGCGCAGATGCTGATGTTATATAGTTCTATAACCCTTGAATAAAAACAAACAAACATTTTAGCCCTTACTTGAATAAAAACAAACAAACAAAATTTTTAGTGTTTTTTTTTAATATTATTTGAATAAAAACAACAATCCTTATTAATTTCTATTTTATTTTAGTTAAGTTAAGTTAAGTTAAGTTAAGTTGAGTTAAGTTGAGTTAAGTTAAGTTAAAATGAAAAATTTTACTACAAAAAACCCCAAGAATTTAATAAATTTTAATATAAATTTTAATATAAAAAAAAAAAAAAAAAAAAAAAAAAAAAAAAAAAACAATTCAATTATTATTTACAATCTTCTTCTTCTTCTTCTTCTTCTTCTTCTTCTTCTTCTTCTTCTTCTTATTCTTCTTCTTCTTTTTTTTCTTCCTTTCTCTTGTAACAATAACTTTAAATAAATAAATAAATAAATAAAAACCCCATAAACTCATAACCATAACCATAACCATAATAATAATCATAATCATAATCATAAAAAAAAAAAAAAAAAAAAAACATAATCATCATTCTTAATCTCATCTTCACTTCATCTCATGATATAATACAGCACCGACCTGATCCAGTGGTACCATCTCCACTTCCATTCCCATCTCCATCATCTACTCTTGTTCTTCCATCTCCATTTCCCATCCCATTATTATTATTATTATTATTATTATTATTATTATTATTATTATTATTATTATTGCTATTATTACCTCCGTTCCCACTCCCTGGACTATTGCTGCTGCTATTACTATTACTATTATTATTATTATTATTTCTATTTTTATTCTTGCGTCCTCCCTTTTGTACTGGTTTTTTAGAACTTACTGATGGTGGTCTAACACTTAAGTGAACCACAAATGTAGAGTTTAATGGTTGTCCAGATTGTGTAGTTGAAAGATGGACTCCACCTCCTGTTAAATCAGTTTCAAAAGAATCATCATCCCTAGTTAAAAATGATGCAGGAACAAGTCGACAATCTTGAAATGTAGCAGGATCATCTAAAACTTTACCAAAATAAATAAGTCGAATATGATTTGGAGATGTTGGTGGAGGACTTATTGCACCTGCCAATTGTATTGCCCATTCAGGAACTCCATCTTCAGTTACATTTATTCCATGTCCATTACCACCACCACCACCACCTGTAGTTGTTGTTGTTGTAGTAGAGTTACCTCCTATTATTCCTGTAGATTCATCTTCTCCCAATTGTTTTTCTGAATTTTGACGCGCTGCTGCTACTGCTAATGCATGTACCCATTCATCATAAATAACTTGTTTAAAAGCTGAAATAGAAAGTAATGGTGGAGACATACATTTGAGAGCGTAATGATGAAGAAATTCAGAATTAATAATGAGATTTGCACGAGTACCTGTCATGCATAATAGTGCAATTTTAATAGTTACTTGTGGAGGAATATTAATATTGATGTCGTTGATATTGTTGTGGTTGTTTGCATCAATAATGCCACCTGTATGGCCATCTGAAAGAAGAGAGGCTTCTGAGGTGCCAGAAAAAGAAGGTTTCACAATGTCTGACATTGGTCGAAATGTGTGTTTTAGTGTTTGGTATGTCTAGTATACTATATATAGATAGATAGATAGATAGATAGATAGATAGATAGATAGATAGATAGATAGATAGATAGATAGATAGATAGATAGATAGGTAGGTAGATTGGTTTGGTTTGGTTTGGTTTGTATGTTGATATGTAAGTATTTTTTTTTTTTTAGTCAAGTGTAATAATGTTGGTGATAACAAAAAAAAAAAAAAAAAAAAAAAAAACTGATAAGTAAGTACTTGAAAAAAAAAAAAAAAAAACGACTATGTTATTATTATTCTTATTATTATTCTTAATATATATATATATATATATATATATATATATTGAATGAAATAAAAATATTCTTCTTATTTTTTTTTTTGAGAATGTGAATAATAAAAAAAACAAAAAAAGATTCTAATAGATTGAAATGGAACCTTTTATTTAAATAATAACCCTCGTATGAGATTTTCCGTTTGTATTGAATTTTTTTTTTTATTTTTTTCAAAAGCACTAACTTATTGAAGTATTTATTTATTTATTTATTTATTTATTTGGCCAGCCAAAATAAAAATAATAAAAATAAGTAATTAAAATCTAAGCAAATGATTGAAAATAAAAAAATAATAAAAAAAAAAAAAGATTGTAATGATTTTTGTGAAAAAAAAAAAAAAAAAAAAAGCTCGTGATGGTTTGGGAAGGTGTTTTTTTTTTTTTTTTTTATTTTTATTTATTTTTATTTTTATAATAAATATTGTAAAATAAATTAATTATTAAATTAAATATTAAATATTAAATATTAAATTTATTTATTTATATGTGTGTGTGTGTGGCAAAAAAATAAAAAAAAAACAAAGCAGCTGTTGTTGTTGTTGTTGTTGTTGTTGTTGTCAACGTTGTCAATAAATTAATTAAATAGACAGGCCTAATAATACAAGGGGGTGGGGGGGGAAGGCAGCCATTTAGCCATTAAGCCAGCCTTTAAACTTTTTTGTATCATTTTTGTTAAAAAAAAAAAAAAAAAAAAAAAAAATGTAAGGGGTGGGAAGCAGCAATAACAGCAGCAATTAACAAAACAAAACAAAACAAAACAAAAAATGGTAAGTCTTTTAAAAAAAAATTAAATAAATAAATAAATAAATAATAGCACGTGATAGAAGCCTATTTATTTTCACAGATATAAATTATAAGTTATAAGTAAAAAGTTATAAAGCATAAAGCATAAAACATAAAACATAAAACATAATAGATCAAATATCAAATATCAATTATACAACCATCTAAACCCATATCCAATCTTGGGCCAATTTTTCAACTTGAAATATAAAAACAAAAAATTTAATGCTCATTAATACACACAAAAAATATTTACGATATATATATAATTATAATGATAATCCAGTTATAATCATCATCATCATCATCATCATTCACCAACTTTTGCTCGCTTTACAGCCCGTCCACTATCCAAACTAAGCCTACCACCAACAACATCAACAACACCAGAATCTTTTCCTTCTCCTTCTCCTTCTCCTTCTCCTTCTTCTCCATCTTCATCTTCATCTGATCCTGCAGGCCGGCGTCCAAGCTTGTTATTAATTCCACTTCCTCCATTTGAATTTCCTTCACTAGACCCTCCAGAAGGTACAACATTCTTCCCTCCCATACTACTACTACTAGTACTAGTACTCTCAACAACAACAACAACAACACTATTACTCTTCTTTGTAGGCGACTCATGATATGCATCATCTTTCCCATGATCACCTTCTTCTTCTTCATCATCATCATCTTCATCTTCATTATCATTATCATGCTTTTTTTCTCCTAACTTAACACTACTACCAACTTTTACTCCCATCACCATAGTCTTTTTGGCAATCACTGCCTCATTCGTACTACTGCTTCGCTTAGCAACAGTCGGAGTTTCAATAACCTTGCATGGCCTTATAATTTTTAACCGTTCAGGTGTATCTTCTGTTCCTGCAGTCGATTGTCGTTGTTGTTGTTGTTGCTGTTGCTGCTGTTGCTGTTGCTGCTTCTGTTGTTGTTGTTGTTGTTGTTGTTGTTGTTGTTGTTGTTGTTGTCGTTGTTGTGGTTGTGGTTGTGGTTGTTGCTGCTGATGCTGATGCTGACCCGTCCCCAATACTCGAGATCCCAACTTTATCATCTGTGCTACTCCAGTCGCCATCATTAAATTCTTCCTCCCCTCATTTAAATCCCCAATCCCTCTGTTTTGTCCTCCTCCACTCTGTGGACTTTCTTCTCCACCACCACTCCCATTCCTATTTCCACTCCCATTTCCATTCCCATTTCCACTCCCATTATTGTTCCCATCACTCTTATTACCACCACTTTCTCGAAATGGTGTCGTGTTTGTAGATGATGAAGGATACTGTAGAGTTCCTCGCCAAAACGGAGCAGGAGATGCAGGTGTCAAAAATGATGATGGTAATTGTTTTTGTTGTGCTGATGTTGGACCAGTCAATTCAAAACTCGTCGATTGTAACGGCGCAGGTGTTTGGTTAACAGCTGCAATAATACTTCCAAGCATTACTGCAGACGAAGTCGGTGATTGATGAACATCAAGCCCAACACCACCTCCCTGTTGCTTACTAGCATCTCGAGGAGTTTTATCTGCAAGAGGCGTTTCTGTAGTCAACCTAATTTCCGTAGATTTGGCAGATTCCATAGTCGGAGAATTGGCCAGAGAAGGTGTCTCAACCTCGTCAAAATGAGTCGAAGAAGATGAAGATGATTTCATTATTGTACCCTCAGATTTAGTAGTACCTAATACGGCCACCACCATATTACTACTACCAGACGATGAACTACCTGTACGCTCACTTTGGTTTGCTCCTAAAGTACTGCTTGACTTTTCAGATGAACTCGAATCTGGTCGCTCCATTATCATTTCAGCTACCAAAACTTCCTTTTCACTTGTTTGACTAGCTGTACTGTTATTACTACAAGTACTCGAATCACTTGCATCTGTCAAATCATCATCGTCCGCATTCTTATTCTTATTCTTCTTCTTTTTCTTCTTTGGAATTGCAGCCTTTGTTCGAGAAACTAATGGTGAAGTTACAGGCCGAGATGGTAATGCTTGCTGTAACAATTGTGCTCCAGAAGATGATGATGATAGGGTGCCAACTCGTCCAGGAGATGCTTGAGTCCCAGACCCAAACCCAAAGCTACCAGTGCTCATACTCTTGGTTGACCCATTACCATTACCACCACCACCACCAACACCACCACCCGCAGATTTAGACCGAATGTGATGATGTGCATTGCTTATTTCAGTATTGTTTGGTGAAGAATGTACACTATTTCCTCCACGATCAGGTGTATACGCTTCAGGTCGACTCACACCCATTGTAGAAGACCCTAGACTTCCAAACCCAAAAAGCATCGGATCAGTAGTAGCCCCATATGATGGTGGTGGACCTTTGCTTCCATTAATCGGTGTAGTTCCAGAAATACTCGCAGATTTGGTTGCACTGTTGCTCTTAGAACTTGAAGAAACATATCGGTGAGTAGGAGAAGGTGTTGACAATGATGCCAAGGCACTACCTGCAATTGTAATGTCATTGATCATCGAAGACAATGCATACTGGTCGTATCCAATGCTAGGGGAGGTAAACGACCCAGTAGATGCAAACTTGCGAGGAGTCGCAAGATCCTTTTTAAGCTCAGTTTCTGATTTGGGTGCTTCCATAGGTTTACTAGTAGGTAAAGTATCTGATCGTTGTGCTGGTTCAGGGGGCCGCTCAACAACAAGAGGTTCTGAAGATGGCATATCTGTGATTGTTGTTGTTGTTGAGGACGATGAAGATGAAGATGGTAATAATGGCTCACTCTTAGAAGTTGCTGCTGCTGCTGCTGTTGTTGTTGTTGTTATTGATGATGATGATGATGATGATGATGATGATGTTTTTGTTGATGTTGTTGTTGATGTTGTTGTTTCAGACTTTGCTGTTGTTAATGGGGCAGTTACAGTTGCAACCGTAGTTTCTGTAGATGCCGCAGTTGCTCTTGGTAAAACTGTCTTTTTCCATTTTTTATTAACCATATTTGACTTTCCCTTGATAATATCACCCTGAAGAACCTTGCGGCAAAACTCTTCCTTATGCGACTGTACAATCTGCCACTTCATGCCTTTGCCTGGTTCGTTTGTTTTCCGTGGAACCTTTTCAAATGCCTTGCTCAGCGACAAGTTATGGCGAATCGAGTTTTGCCAGCCTGTTTTGGAAAAGCGGTAAAACGCATACTTTGTTGAGATCCACTCGTAAATATCTGCAAGAGACATCATATGATCTGGCGTTGAAAGAATTGCTTGAGAAATCATAGTTGCATAACTAAAAGGTGGTTTAATGTCACGAGCATTATCAGAGCTCAAATCCTGATCAAAATGAATTCCAGGTCCAAACACGCTCATCTGGGACTTTGATAGAATGGAGTACCCATTCTTAAGAGAATCAGCCGTACTGGATATAGAAGACTGGTTAGTATCTGATGTAACAGAGGTGCGAAACAAAATAGTAGATGAGTCTTGTGCAGGTATTGTAGTCACTGTTTTATTTGTACCGTCAGTATTGATGAATCTTGTTTGTTTTTGCTTTGGTTGTTTCTTTTGTTTTGTTGTTTTAGGTGGATCAATTGCAGAAGGTAATTGGGTTGGTTGAATTTGAGCAATTGATGGTTGTTGTTGTGGTTGCTGTTGCTGTAATTGTTGTTGAGGGGGTACATAGTTTGCCATATATTGCTGTGGATACTTTTGAGTCAAATAATCTTGTTGTTGTTGTTGTTGTTGTTGTTGCGGTTGCTGCTGTTGCTGCTGTTGCTGAGGCTGTTGCTGAGGCTGGTATTGAAAATGCTGGTTGGGTATTAATTGCTGTTGCAAAGAAGAAAGATTAGAATCTGTAGAGGCACCAGATCTATCAGCGTTATTATATACATTTGATTGGTATTGTTGGTATTGATATTGAAGAGGGAATGGTTGTGGATTTTGGAAAACCTGAGGCTGGCCAGAGCCCGAGGAAAAAATTGCAGCAGCAGGTGGATTGTAAGTAGTGTATAGCGGATTGTATTGAGAAGTAGGAATTGAGAGTGGAGGGGTGTTGAGAGAAGGATTTACGCGAATGTTTTTCTTGAAGCATGGTGCAACGTGGGGCTTTGAGTCAGGTAAAACAAACATCATTTGAACCCCGCCAATATCAAGTACATTGCCAGAAAATAAACGAGCAGTGCCATCTCGACAACAAAACTTGTCAATTTTGACTCCATTACGTCCAGAAACTGTAATTTCCCAAAACTCTCCGTTATATTGTATAGTTGCATGCCTTCTTGAAACGAATTTGGAAGGCCCGAGATCAATGTGGACCTCATTATCTTGAGAAAGTGTGGGGTTAGTAGATCCGGAAGAAGCAGCAGCGGCTGCAGCGGCTGCGGCTGCTACAGCTGCAGCATCTGAAGATTGACGACCAATGACTACACGAAGTGTTCGGACATAGTAAGTCCAATTAGCACCAGCAAGTTTTGCATAAGCTTGAACTTCACCATTAGATCTTTGATTTGAGTAATCGAGAGCTACTTGAACATTAGGATCTGGAAGTGCAAGATTTGCAATGATGCAGTTGACTTCATCGTTTGAAAGATCTGTTTGTTGTTGTTGCTGCTGTTGTTGTTGTTGCTGATGCTGTAAGAGTTGTAGTTGTTGATGTTGTTGTCGTTGTCGTTGTCGTTGCTGTTGCTGTTGCTGTTGCTGCTGCTGTTGTTGTTGGAATGCGGGATTAAGGTTAAGAGAAGGATTGCCTTGAGAGTCACTCTGGAAATATAAAGTCAGCATTAAACAAGGCTATTTAAGCGAGCCAAAGAAAAAAAATAAAAATAAAAATAAAAAAGAGAAAAAGGACTTACCATATGATTGTTTTTAGGGTAAGGTGAAATGCTTTTAATTGCGTCGGCAAACACGGCGACGTCGAATATAGAAGCTTGAGAGACAGCTTGAGCAGCTGTAGAAGAGGTATTGGATCCAGAAGATGAAGAAGATGAAGAAGATGATGATGATGATAATGATGGTGAAAGTTTATTATTTCCAATGATTTGTTGATTTTGTATTAAAGGGATATCTTGTGAATGATGAATGAGATCTAAGTTTTGATGTTGATGTTGTAAAGGTTTATTGTTATTATTATTATTGCTGTTGTTATTGTTATTGTTGTTGTTATTGTTGTTTGTTAATAATGGCGATTCTGCCATTGTTCAATGCAAGAATAAAAAAAAAAAAAAGGTGTGTATATATATGAGTAGTAAGTATATTTGTTTTTGTTTTCATATATATATATATATATTGCTCTATTGAATAGATGACAATTTAAAACTGATATCAAAAGACTTCATGAGCTGAATAAAGAATTTAATTAATTTTTTTTTTTTTTTTTGAAAGGATATGATGATTATATATAATTCTTTTTTTTTTTTGTCAATGATTGTTATATATATATATAATTATAATTATAATATAAATAATGAATGAAATTTATTTATTTTTTTTTTTTTGGTGGTGGCTAAAAGAAGAAAGTTTTTTTTTTTTTCGGTTGTTTTTGTTTATTTGTTTATTTGTTTATTTATTTATTTGTTTATTTATTTATTTATTTGTTTATTTGTTTATTAATTAATTAATTATTATATAGATTTGTTTACTTTTATGCGTATTTCGTGGTCTTTAAGTATATTTAAGAATTTATAATTTTATTACTAATGATGATTAAATAATGACACATCATTACATATCTTTCTCGTGACTCATTTAGATCTTTTTTTAAAAGTCACGTTACTAGTTGGAAATTAATCTTAATTTAACTGTTACTTTTACTGTTACTGTCACTGTAACTGTTACTCTATTATTATTATTATTATTATTATTATTATTATTATTATTTTTTTTTTTTTTTTTTAGACTATAATAATATATTTATTTATTTATTTATATACAGTATTGCAGCCGCTTTCGGGGTAAGAAATAATGCATCTTTTTTTTTTCTTTTTTTTTAACTTACCTGGTATCTTTAATAATTTAATTAAAAAATTAAAAAAAACCTACCCCGTGGTTTACCCGTTACTTGAATATATACCAATACAAATGTAAATCAGAATGTACACATTTTTGATTAACACTGTTGAAAATACGTGGGAGGGAAATGGGAAATGGGAAATGCCCCTAACAAAATGGTCGATTTCTTATAAATCTGCCAGAAATTTTGATTTTTATCTCCTCCTCGTCCTAATTAGATCATAAAAAATTACCATCTTGGGAATTCTTTGATAATCATCCACACAAACATTACTAAGATTAATTTAATTCTTACTAAAATCCATAACAATCCTGACTAATTTGTCACGTGAAACTTTTCCATTTTCCCACCCATTTATTTTCAAGTGTGATAATTTGATTAAAATACCACCACTAATTACGACGCGTATTTTTTTTTTTTTGTTAACTTATTGCTGCTTATTAAATAAAAAATATACTGATGATACATATTTTAATAAGTTACCAACTTAAGTTACCAACATTAAAGTCTACCCTTCTCCACCTCCTCCCCCCTTTGCATCTTTTTTTTTTTTTTTTATATACCTTGCTATTATTTTATTTTATTTATTTACCAGTAAAAAAAAAAAGAAAAATACACGATATTTCTGTTTGTGTGTGTGTCTCCTTCCTACAGCAGTTGTTTGTCTCATTAAGTTGCCCCTCCACTAACTAAAAAAAACTTTTTTTTTTTTTTCCTCCTCCCCCACCTCTTAAAATTCCTACATCACCACCACCACCACCAAAATAAAACCCTTTTTTTTTTTTTTTCTAAACACCATATTATACAAAATTTATTTTAAAAAAAATAATAAAAAATAAAAATATTCCAGTTCTAATGTATACCATACTTAACAATAGCCATCAACCCTTATAATAATCAATAGACAATCCAAAAAAAAAAAAAAAAATTATATATATATATATTTTAAGAAAAAGAGAAAAAAAAAAACAAAGATCAACTTCTTATGTCTTTCTTTCTTTTTCATATCATCAATAACTCCAGCTTTAAAAATTAATCTCGTCTGATATTCCAGTATTCTTGAAATCTTTGAAAAACAAATCAAATAAAAAAGAAACTTTTAGTCTCCAGCATTCACCATTTATTATAATAATAACCTCTAATATCCTCAATCAAAGTCATAATCATTATTACAACAACAAAAAAATAACCGAGACTACCTACTTAATATATATATATATATACACCCTATACTTCTACTTATTTACCACTACACTGCCATGTCTGTGGCTGCTTTTCAAATCTTCAAGTCCTCGAATTCAGCTATCAAAGCTCCGTTAAAATCTCCCATCTTATCCAGTTTCTCGTTTCTATTGCTGTCGCTTTGAAAAAAAAAAATTAATCAAATAATCGAATAATCGAATAATCGAATAATCGAATAATCGTGTTTTTTTTTTACCTGCGAAGCCCTCTTTTTTTTTTTTTTTCTTGTTAATTTGTTAATTATCACACAATCAACAACATTCAAGTTATCAACAGTAATCTCAAACTTACCATAAACCTGCTTCAGCTTATTATTGGTAACTTAACTGTCTAATTTCACTTATTTTACTTTATTTTTTTTTTTTATTTTTTAATATACCATCACCACCCAAAAGTCCAACATAGCTACAAATTTTTTTTGAAAATCGCCAACTCTCTCTTCCCCCTTCCCCTAAATCCTTGTCTTCAACATGGACTCTCAACAGCCTTCACCGGCCTTTAATACGCCATCGGCTGCTTCAACACCTATGACTCCTTCAATGTCTACTTCCAACTCTCAACAACAACCTCAACAGCTTCAGCTCCAGCATATTCACCTGTTGCCCACAAACCAATCCTCCTCATCAGCTTCTTCAGAACCACAGGCAAAGAAACGTAAAAGAGTTACTAGAGCTTGTGATGAATGTATGTATTAATTCCTTTTGTTTATTTTCTTTACTGCCTTTTTTTTTTCTAACACATCCTTCCCCTCATTCTTTAGGCCGAAAGAAAAAAGTCAAATGCGATGGTCAACAACCATGTATTCACTGTACTGTCTACTCTTATGGTACGTATTCAAATACTAACAACTCTCCTGGATTCTTTACAACAAAAAAAATCATTCTTCTAACTCTTTTTTTTTTTTTCTAGAATGCACATATGACCAACCATCTAATAGAAAACGAATACCTGATATTCGTCGAGTCGAAAACAAACTTAAATGTGCAGAAACTATCGTGTCAGCTCTACTCCCAGGCGTTGATGTTTACTCGCCCTCGTTCAACCTCGTAAACTTCCTCGAATCCATCCAAAAGGCCCGTGTCTCTAAAAATGATTCACCACTTCATTCATCCTTAGTGGCTATTACAAAACTCGGCTTAGGTAACTCAAATTCTTCTGTTGGAGGAGTTGCAAATGAGATTGATGAAGAAACTGGTCTTCCCCGTGGAAGTACCCTTCCTTCAAAGTTTCAGAAACTCTCTCGTGATGGTTCTGGATTCCCTATCAACTCCTCAGCCTCTGGTAACAATGGTCCAAACTCTATGGCCTCTTCATCTACTTCAGACGACGTTGAAACAAATGTCCTCAACACACTTTATTCCCCCCAGTCCACATATGGATCCCCTGATACCCACGTTGGCAGGGAAATCAAAATTATTCTTCCTCCAAAGCACGTTGCTAGTGAGCTCATCGAGGCTGTCTGGGATAATGCCTGTGTGCTTTTCCGCTTCTACCATAGACCTTCCTTCATTAGAGATTTGGACCTGCTTTATGAAACAGATCCTGATGACTATACAAATAAGCAGTACAAGATTCTACCTCTAGTCTACTCTGTCATGGCTGTAGGTGTTCTTTTCTCTATGGATAAGTCTGACAAGCTTGGCTTTAAAGATGCCTCCGAAGGTTACAAGTATTTTGTCGCCGCCCGCAAACTTATCGACATTGCCGATGCACGTGATACTTATGCCATCCAGTCCATTGTCATGATGATTATCTTTCTCCAGTGCTCTGCGCGTCTTTCTACATGCTATTCTTATATTGGTGTAGCACTCCGATCAGCCCTGCGTGCAGGTCTCCATAGAAAAGTTGCTTACAACTTCAACCCTATCGAGCTAGAAACCCGCAAACGTCTCTTTTGGACCATTCGGAAAATGGACATTTATGTTAATGCCATGCTCGGTCTTCCACGGTCCGTAGCCGAGGAAGATTTTGACCAGGAATTACCAGAAGAAATTGATGATGAAAATATCACTGAAGATGGCTACTTCCCACAAAAGGAGGGCAAGCTTTCTTCTGCTGGTATTGCTAATGCTCACACTCGTCTCATCACCATTCTCTCACACATTATGAAGTACATTTACCCTGTCAAGCAGGACACTTCAGAGGCAAATGCCTCAAGCACGGCTCCTCTCTATAATGTTGCTCACGCCAAGGTCGCCGAAATGGAAGCTGAAATCCGCCAGTGGTTGGATTCGTTACCTGCAGAGCTGAGGCCCGGTGTTTCGCCGTCTGCAGAGTACGTCAAGGCCAACCGGTTACTCCATCTGGCTCTCTGCCACATTCAAATTGTACTTTATCGACCATTTATCCATTACTGCAGCCCCAAGTTTAAGGGTGATGAAAAGGCTCGTGCTTCAGCTCTCAACTGTATTAAGGTCTCTCGCACCACTATGCATATTGCTCATGACTTGGTTTCTAAAAAGTTACTAAATGGTGCCTACTGGTTTTCCATCTACACAATCTTCTTTTCAGTGGCCTGCCTCGTCTACTATGTTCACGAGAACCCTCGCGACCCCGAGGCTTATGAAATCCGTCGCGATGCTGAACTCGGCAAAAATGCCCTCACATCTCTTAAAGATTCGAGCATGTCTGCGCAGCGCACATACAATTTGCTCAATACTCTTTTTGAGCAGCTCAATCGCCGTACCGCAAAAATCCCTGTGGCCGGTTCTTCTGGGTCTACACCTACTTCGGTGTCAGCTACATCAAATGCTGCTACCACCACCACTACTTCAGCTGCATCCAATAATAATAATAATAATAATAATAATGCCATCGACCTCACTGCTCCAGAAGCAAGTGTACCGGGACCTCAGGCCCTTTCCTCATCCGCAGCATCTACCCCTGCGTCGACCTCTTCTACATCTTCTGCCCCAGTATCGCTGACCAAGCCTATTGATCAACAAATTGAGTTTGGCGCCGCAGCATCTGGTGTTACTGACATTGACTCTAATGTCAATTTAGTGGCTGTTGGTGCTGCTGCAGGATCGCCTGGAAATACAGCCTCATCATTTTACAACAACCCTGCTGCTGCTGCATCTGCTCCGTCTCTTATGACATCGACGACAACGTCGCACAACAATCCTCCTGTGCATGTACGTGGTAAGCGCGGCCGGCCGCCAAATAGCGCTCGTCGCGGAGTGAATCGCAATAACTTGAAGAACAATAACACTAGCAGCACCAGCAACAGTAGCGCCAGTAACAATAATAATAATAATCACAGCCCACATTCTACCACTAGTGCTGCAAATACACCAACCCCTACACATAAGACTCTGCCACACTCGGTGGGACACACTCCACAATCACAAACAGCGTCACCGATTGCTACTTCGTCGCTCAATCATATTAGTAGTATCCAGCTACCGACAAGTGCCCTTAGTTCAGCTTCTACTCCACCAGACTCTGTTGTACCTAAGGTTAACCCATTGTTTGCTGATGTTTTGGGCAGTAACAAGCCTACGTCGACGGTTGCTGGCGGCCCTGACTCGTTATTCCCAGGTTTGCCAAACTTTGCGTTTGATCCTGCCACTACTTTATCTTCCAACGGAACAACCAATACACTTCAATCAGCAGGAAATGGTTCTGTCGACACTAGCAGCAGCACGGGTCCTTCAGATACGGAGTCACCACACTTGTATGTTCCTGGCATTATGGACCAAGTAGATGCACAGTTGTTTGGTCGATTCCTGCCGCCGTATATGCTACAACAGACACAAAGTGCGCCACTCGGCGGTAGCAGTGGGCCTCATGTTGGTCTAGGCGGAGTCAATGGCACCACCACCCGGATTAATGGCAACAACAATAATAACACAGTCACTAATAATAGCAACAATGGTTCAAATAATAACAATGGATTATTGTTTGCCAATACTAATACTACAGATCTTGATTCGTTGATGGTGCCTGGACGTCTTCGTATGGACTCGACGGGACCTTCTTCTGGGCTGCAGATGTTTAACGGAAATAATACCGGAGCACATACTGGCGACAATGTGATGAATTCGTCTACAAATAGTGTTTTGGGCAATAATAACAATAACAACCAGCAGCAGCAGCAACAGCAGCAGCAACAGCAGCAGCAGCTACAACAGTCAGGATCGTCTTCTTCAGGTATTACAGATGATCGGAGGTTAAGTTTGTCGACGTTATTTAACAAGAATTGGGACGAGTTTCTTGCGCAACACAATGAGTTGTCAGGTCTTAACAGTTTTATGACGCAATGAAGAAACTTTAGAAGGAATTTAATTGAATGAGGATAATAGTTTATTAATTTTTTGTTGGGAGAGGTTTATTCAAGATGAGCAAAAGATGATTTTGGAAGAAACAAAGAAAAAAAGAAAAGAAAAGAAAAGAAAAGAAAAGAAGAAAAAAAAAAAGAGAGAGAGAAGAAAGAGAATTGAAATAATAGGAATAGAAATTTAAAGGGTGGGAAAAAAAAAAATTTTGAAATCTTGAAAATTGCTTAATTTTTTTATTTTTATTTCTCCCCAATCATTTTCTCTCTGGATTCTTTTTTTTTTTCTAATAATTTTTGTTTTTCATTTTGCTCATTCAACCATTTTAGGCGGCCTCTAATATACAATTTCGTTGTTGTTGTTGTTGTTGTTGTTTTTTTTTTTTTTTTTTTTATTTCTTCTTATTATTCTTGAAAAAAAAAGTTTGTGTTATTTGTTTTGTATTGCCTTTATATATATATATATATATATATATATATATTTTTTTTAATCTTCTTTTTCTTCTTCTTCTACTACTACTACTATTCATTTATATAGTATTTATTTTAAGTATTATTTTAAAATTAAAAATAAAAAAAAATTTTTATTAGTGTATGGTTTTTTTTTTTTTTTCCCCCCCTTTTTTTAAAAAAATATATTTATATTGTACAATGAAAATAAAGTCATTCTTTCTTCAAACAATATCCCCAGATTCAACAATAGCAGTTGTTGATGTAATACTACTTCGCCGCATACCTTTACTTATTTCTGTTTCGCTACTACTACTACTACTACTACTACTACTACTATTGCTACGCGAAGTTAATGTATTACTCATATTAGCTCCTCCTCCTCCTCCTCCTCTTGAACCAGCTTGTGGCGGGGTGATTGCCTCGAAAACTGTAATTTGCTCACCATCAGGAGATACTGCAGCAAGTCGTCCAGGAACATAATGGTTTCTGCGTAACCGGTACAAAACTGGATTCAAAAATGAAAATGGAAATGGGAATGAAAAGTTTGAAGATAATAATGGGGCAGCAGTCGATGATGAAGGGGTCGATATAGATGATGTTGAAGATGTAGATGTAGTAATAATGGTGCTGCTACTACTACTACTACTCTTGTCGTTATTGGAATAGGGTAATATAGAAGATCCATGGGCCATTTGAACGGTGCCACTAGGATGATGATTATGATGATGGTGATTTGCATACATTGCACTAATTGGTTTTAAAAGAATAGATGCCACAGCATAAACACCAAATGCAACGAGTGAAATGACTAGAAAGATAGGTACTGGGGCCACTGATTCTTGTTTATTTGAAGCCGGGCATGCATGTAAAGTACGTGCTTCAAAAAGAAAAGTACAATTATCAGGGGCTCCCAGAAATGATACCAGAGCATGAGAAGCAGCCAAGTCATGGTCACATTTGAACGAGACAAGAGTTGACATACGCATTTTAGTAGGCGAACCATCTGGGTTCATACATGGAGAACCATCATGGTATTCCAGAAGAAGGTTACGGCCTCTAAAATAGGGAGTACTTGAAGCTTTACCAAGAGATTTAAGGGTTCCATCTTCGAGGCGTAAGACTGCAGAGACATTTGCACTATAACTTTGAGAGGCGTTTTCAAGAGTTTTTGCAGTTCTGTATGAGAGAAAGAAAAAAAAAAAAAAAAAGTTAGAATTTTTAGTTATTTTTGGTTATTTTTGGTTATTTTTTTTTTTAGAGGGATGAGGAAGAGGAGGAGGAGGTTTGGGTTTCTTGACGTCATAGAATCAGGGAGAGACCAAAGTTTGTTGCAGGAAAAAAAAAAAAAGGGAGAAATTTAATAAAATGAAACAAAAAATAATAAAATAATAATAATAAAATAATAATAATAATAAAAAAAATAATAATAATAAAAAAAATAATAATAATAATAAAAAATAATACTTACTCGTCTAATGATTGGAGAGCAGATTTTACTGGTTTATCACGAGAAGCTGCAGCCACTTCATTTCCTTGATCATCAAATTCTACTGGAAGAAGTAATGGCGCGCAAAAGTTAATTGTAAAGTTTCCTGGGTAGTCAATCCCACGAATTTGCCAGTCAGCACTGTTTTTATATTTTTTTTTCAAGTAAAATGGTTAGAATATATATTTTTATATTTAAAAAAAATTTTTTTTTTTTTTTTTTTTTATTCTTTAAAAAATTTATGTTCTTTGTACTTACCTATCATGAGGGTACTCCTTGGTAAGAGGTTGAAGATCAAAATAGTTGCCAGTCGCGTGTGAACTAACAGTACATGGAAGAATTTGAATATGTTGATGTTCTTGTGAAGATTTATTATTCGTATTCTTATTATTCTTATTATTATTCCCTTTGATTTTTGAATCTGTAGAAGGTTTTTGTTTATTGGTAGTGGTATCATGAGATTGCTGTTTTGCAGGTGGTGGTGGTGATGATTGTAATATTTGAGCTTTTTGAAAGCGTTTAAGCAAGTTTTTTGAAGTGAAATCAAACATTTTGTTTTATTTTTATTTTTTTGTTATTATTATTATTAAAAGGGTATATAAATAATATGCTTATTATTATATAAATAAATAAAAAAAAAAGTTTCTGGGTATTTTAAAAAAATATTAAAAAAGGGGAAGAGGAAATCAAGTTGTTTAAATACTTTTTTGTAGAATTTTGTGAAAATCTCATCGTCATTAATTGAATTTTTTTTTTTTTTTTTTTTTTGAAAGGAGGCAGGCAGGCAGCAAAAGCAGAAGCAGCAAAAGGCAAAAAGACTGACTACTTTTTGATTAGAAAAAAAAAAAAAAAAAAAAAAAAAAAAAACAAAGGCAATCTGGCAAAAAAAAAAAATTAAAAATTAAAAATAGTAACAAAATATTATGCAACACATTGTAACAATAATAATAATATAAATGCAACAGTTTGTAACACAAATGCAACAAGTTGTAATAAATTGTAACAAGTTGTAACAAGTTGTAACAAGTTGGCGCAAGAATACTCTTATCGCGTGCTGTGAGACTATAATCTCGTCTTTTTTTCTATATATTTATATATACATATATATATTTAAATTTAAATTTAACTTAACCTTAATAATTAATTTAACATAACAAAAAGTGTGCCTCTCTAAAATAATTAAATTAAATTAAATTAAATTAAATTAAATTAAATAAACCTTGCTGGGTGCACTGCTTTTTTTTTTTTTTTTTTTTTTTTTTTTTTTTTTTTAAATTCTAAAAAAATACAAACTTTCCTTTCATTTCTCTTTTTTTTTTTTTTTTTTTAAAAATTATAATTGTTTTTATAATATATTAATTCAACATCTATTCTTTATTCCATCTATATCTTTTTTTTTTTCTTTTCTTCCCCCGCCTCCTCTTAAATCTAAATAATGTCGTACGTGCCCATCACCACCTTCTCTATCTTATCGTCCTACCTTGTTATCAACCTCTTGAAAAAACATCTATATACTAACATAGTAACTACAGCTACGCAGAAGCTACAATCAAAGGTGCCGCCCAACCTGCCACCGATGACCCTATCCCCATTGATAATGTAAACATCGTCAAGGAAGAAGTCGAAGAGGCTGTCAAGGCTGTGGCCGAAGCCGCCGCAGAAGCTGTCGAGGAAGGTGTCAAGTCTGCAGAAACCGCCACCGGTGTTCTTCCTGAAGTTTCTAAACCCCCAGGTCCTTCCAAAGATGACGACAAAGGATCTTCTTCCTCTCCATCTCCCTCTTGTGCTGCTCTCTCTCAAGCTTTCTCAGACTTTGCTGCCTCGGTACACTCATCTATTGCTTCAGCCATTGCTACCATCAAAAGTAACCCAACAACTGCAACATATGTGGCCTCAGCCGTAGCTGCCACTTCCGTTCTGGTACTAGGAATTGCAAATACTCACAAGTTCGGACCTCATACTGTGTTTGGGACCCGTGAGGCTTCTGTTGTGGCTGCTTCACTGGTAGCTGTCGGGGCCGGCCACTATATCGTGATTAACACGAGCAAAAAGCCTAGCAAATGATGGGCTCAGAGATCAATTCCCTCTCTTAGTCCTAATCTCAAGATAACATATAACCGGTTATATATATATATCTAAACGTATTGTAGGGAGTAGAGAGAGGAAGACTATTTTTTGAATATTTTTTTTTTTTTTGTATGATTCAAAGTCTCTCTTTTTTCCTTTTTTTTTTTTATTCTAATAAATATCTTTCTATTCTTCCTGATGACTTTAGTTGAAAATTCTTTCTTTTTTTTTTTTTTTTTTTTTTTGGCGTTCCAAAGTTGCTTGCTGGTTTGCTCTCTCTGTGAGGTTATCGGTGTTATCATAAACAGCAATTGTTCACGTGAGAGCAATTATCTATCTCATGATTTTATTTTAATTTTTATTTTATTTTAACTTAATTTAATTTAATTTAATTTAATTTAATTTAATTTAATTTAATGTAATGTAATGTAATGTAATGTAATGTAATTTTATTTAGTGGACATGACATTGGCTGATTGGAATGTGAGGCAGCAAAAACAATTAACAATAGATATTTAACATTTACCACGTATTTAGCTCTCATTAATTAATAATATTATAATAAAATATTGTATCAGTACTGGGTACAAACAAATATACTAATCAACATACACATATATATATATATATATATATATATATATATATATAAAGATAAAGATAAAATAAAAAATTGAAGAAGACTGGCTAGGGGTTTGCCACTTATGGTAAATAAACTGCTTTGATAACAATTGAATGAATTGATGAACCAGTAAATAAAAATGTAAAAAAAAAAAAAAAAAAAAAAAAACAATTATCAAAATAATAATATTACCTGATTTACTTTGGTTTAAATAATTTGAAAAAAATATATAATACCCCAGAAATTACTTTAGAAGAAGAAGAAGAAGAAGAAGAAGAAGAAGAAAAATAAAAAATAAAAAAATAAAAAAATAAAAAAAATCTCTCTCCACCTTTACTATTTTGAATCATGTCTTATGATTAAACGGAATATTTTTAAAAAAAAAAAAAAAAAAAAAAAACACGGCCGTATTATTCTTTAAATTTCTTAATTGAAATACAATATTATCATTAAAAGTATACTCTGAAACAAAAAAAAAAAATGAGAAAGAGAGAGCCTTAATCACCTTTTTTTTTTCTAGTCAGATTTTATAATTACATCACATTCAATCTTTTCCTTTTTCTTTTTTTATTTAATTACAGGCGTTAACTTTTATTTCTACCCAAGATACTGTTAAATTTTATATAAAGAATTCATGTCAATGATTTTCATAATAAAAGAAAAAAAAATTTGTTATTCAAGAATGTCAATCTATATCTTAAAAAAAAAAATGTTTGCAATTCCCTCAAAAAAAAAAACATACTCTAGAGAAGAACCCAATTTCTGGCTATTTACAAAATGTAAAACAGTTCTAAAAGAAGAAAAAAAAAATAAAGTAAACAAAAGAAAAAAAAAAAAGTTCAACATATGCATCTTCAATTGCTTTGTAGAACAAAAAATTGAATAAGAAAAGAAAAAAATTTTTTTTTTGAAACCGAAAAACTCACAGTTATTTAGTGCCTTTCCATGCAATATTATCCTTTTTTTTTCTTTTCTTATTATTACATATTTAAATAGAAACTTCAATTGAATTATTTATTTTCAGCTTTACGTTTTTTTTTTTTTTGCCTCCATTGTCTTGAACCATTAATCGTTCAAATTATCTTTATTGATTTCTTTTATCCAAAATATCCATGCCCAGTTTCTCAACATTAGACTCATTAGATGTCAGCACTGCTAAATTACCAATATAGAAGTTACAAACTGCTTTATTTATATAGAAGGAAACTTTACAAAAGCATGTCTCATTCTTCTATTCAAGCTTTGTTTCTTAGGATAGTAATTTAACTTGTAATCAATCTAAAAAAATAAGAATGAAAAAAAAAAAAATTTGATAATAATCATTATACCTTTTTATTTTTATATAAATAAACTAATTTAATAAAGATTTATAGTGCAAAGAAACCAATGAAAAAAAAGGTTTTAATTCACTTCATTTTATTGAAAAAAAAAAAAAACTTCTTCTAAAACCTGTTTTAAAACTGTTTATTAGATTTTTTTTTTAAATTCACTAAAAAACTTATTTTGTTTAAAAAAATAATAGTAATACCTCTTCACTTGTTTATTTTTATATTTTTCTTTTTTTTCATTTTTTTTTTCAATTTTTTTTTAATTTTTTCCCCTTTTCATTCTTTTTGTGTGGTCTTTTTTTTTTTTAAATCAAAAAAAAAAATACAATCATTATAATTATTATCTGTTTATGTTTCATTTAACTTTCTTTGTTAAATGATTGTCAATGATTCAACTGTATGTCTAGAGCATTTCAATTTTTAAATCTTTAAAATAAAATATAAAAAATGTACATTATTATCCATTCTAATTGAACTTTTTTTTTTCTTATTCTTATTCTTATTTTTATTTTTCTTTGCATTATTATTACTTGTATTTATTATTACTTTTTATTACTCTGTATTATAATAATAATCGCTAACTCAAGTATTATTTCCAAAGTCATAAAAAAATATCTTTAAAAAAAAAACAAAAAATCAATTCACGATATTCTTTAATAGCTAGCTGTGTTGTCAATTATTTTTTCTTTGGCGAGAAACTTCCTATTTTAACCCAATGTTTCTCTCTTAAAGCTTTTCAACATCTTCTACCCTTTTTTTTCTTTTTCATTTTAACTCCCGTTTTTTTTTTCATCTTAGATATCCTCTCTTCCCGCAGTTGTTCCATCTTTCAATATCTTATATGAAAAATGAAATGAAATAGAAATCAATGATTGGGAAAGACCCCCCTGATTGTCTAAGAGCTTTTCCCGTGTGTTTCTTCTTTTTTTAGTTCTATTAAGCATATATTGTTGTTTTCCCACTCTCATCAGAAACAATAGAAAAAAAAAAAAAACTTGTCACAATCGCCTAGCCTGAGGTTCCATAAAAACTTGAAAAACATGACTGAATCAATGGCCTTTTTTTTCATTTACTATATATATATGTGTGTGTGTACAGATTCTGAGTAAAGAATAGTTGGTTAACAGTTTATTTCTCTTTTTTTTAAAAATAAAATAAAAAAAAAATCTCTTCCCGTTTTTGTCTTATTCTAGCGACCTGTTTTTGTTTTGCATGCAAGTCTCCCATTTGTCAATCATTTCGGCTGGAAATTTCATATCTGTGTTTTTCTTCAAATAATCTGCATATCTACATCATCTGGTAAATATTCTTTGAGGGTAGTTTGTTTCTTTGTTTGTTGACTTTATATCGAGTTTACAAAAGTCTTCTTTTCTTTTGATACCAAAATACCTTTCTTTCTATAATTCTATTTGGTTATTTTTTTATAGAATTCAGTACCTGTCTGGTTATTGTCTTGTTCATGTTTCTCCTTTCATCAAAAATAAAACTTCCATACCTCTAATTTTTTTCCATGTAACTTGTAGAATGAAAAGTACCATCTTAATAGTTGTCAACCTTTCTATTATGGTACCTTTTTCGGGGTTTAGAGTATGAAAAACGGATGACAGGGCCGGTCTCAATCAGGTACAAATTATGCCGGTAAGTCAAAAAAAAAAAAAAAAAAGGTCTTTCTCTCCCCCGGATTTGAAGATTCTTATTTTGGGAAAGTGTTTGTTTTTAAAATAAACAGAAAAAAAGAAAGAGATAAAAAAAAAATCAAATCACAATAGTAAGTACACTGGTAACAATTAAGCATACAATTACTTTTAGCGTTGGTAGCATTAAATAGAAGCTGGTTTTGGTTTTAAAAAAGGAAAATGATAAACCAAAGATAGATTGAAGGTTAGTAAATACTAACAATGGTAGTTTCATGAGCATTAACGAAACAGAAGAAAAAAAAGATGATGATGAAGAAAATGAATAAAAAAAATAAAAGAAAATGAAAATGAAAAATAAGTAACAAAAAACGGTGTATCATGAAATTACCGCCACGGTGCTGCATGACTTAGCTAGCGATATACGGTGAAACATATTATTTTTAAAAAAAAAAAAAAAAAGCTTCCCCTTTTACTTTTCAATATGGATACAACTAAGCAAAAACTCTTAATGTTTGAACATTAATTGTTGATTTTCCGACCATCAAGTTTCAACTTTCTGTAAAAGAAATATGCTTAACTTGAATTTAAGTTTCCTTTTTTTTTTATGATATTCAATTTTTTTTGTTGAAATCTAGAGCTTTAATATTTATCTTCTTGATTAGAAAGCCAATTGCCGGGAGACCCTTTTTTTTTAAAAAAAAAATCCAATCTCTTTGAAATCTTGTAAAAAAATTTGTTTGCTTCATTAACCTGGATCATTCGAATATCTGATTTCAAATTATCTTTTTTTTTTTTTGATCTTTATTTATCACAATCACCACCACCCATTTTAGGATGATTTCCTTTATATCTGCTTTTTTTTTGTCACATCCAATGATACGACTTGTTTAGTGAACCAGTGAAAATAAGTTTAATAGGAAAGATGTACCAACACGCGCCTGTACATATACTCAATTATGTCACTTTGCGCAGGCCACTGCTCAAAAAAAAAAATTAATAAATATTAACGTTTGAGCACAGAATGTAAAAAAAAAAATAAATAAAAAATAAAAGTTTCAAAAAGAAAAGAGACTTTTTTTTTTGTTAAAAGTGTAAAAATAAAATAAAATAAAATTAAAAAAAAAAGTTGGCGTTTAAAGTTTTTTTTTTTTTTTTAATAAAATGCTTTTTTATTTTTATTGTCGTTTAAAAAAGAATTTCCAAACTGGAGCGCTCGCGTCACTTTTGACTTTTTTCATCCAATGTGGTCAAAGCATTCCCGCTCAGATACTTTTGAGTAATTTTTATGATGTTCATTACAAAGATAATTATCTTTCAATGAAAAAAAAAAAAAAATTAAATTAAAAAAAAATAAGTTGGGGTCCAAAAAAAAAAAATGTTAAAATTTATTTTAGTTAAAAAGAAAGAAAA